TAATTAAATATAATATAAATATAATATAAATATAATATAAATATAATATAAATTAAGTATAATTTAACTATTAAATAATTATTATTTTTTGTTTAATACATTTATACTTTATTTTAAATATATTAAATATTAATTATTAATCAAATATTATTTTTTCTGTTTAAATTAATTTATTTTTAAATTAAAAGTTATAAAATATCTTAGTTTTATTTATTTTTTTCAGTTAATAAAAATTATTTTACTCTCAATACTCTCAATAACACAAATACAACTGATTTGATAAAATTGATAACAAATTTTGAAAAATATTATTTTTATTTTTTTTCTAATTTTTAATATTTTATTCACAAAAAAAACTTATTGGCAAACACTGGTTGTCATTGAAATGCAATTATTAGTTTCACAACTACTACTACTATTAATAATAATAATAATATTTGATATCATTATTAATATTATTATTATTATTACTGTATGAAAAAGTTAGACTGTATTTCAATTATGAATATACAGTATATATATATATATATATTATTTCGCAATCATTTTATCAATTAAGCAAAAAAAAATAAAAAACTTGTTTTCAACTTTTAGTTTACTATAAATTAATTTTATTTTAAATATTTTAGTTTTTTTTTAAAAAACATTTAACTACTAAACATTAAATTTATGAATTTATAATTAATATTTATTTTACTATCAGTTTACTACATGTATATTTTAGCAACAACAAAAAAATTAAAATTTTTAATTTTACACATAAAACTAATTTATTTTATTATTATTATTATTATTATAGATAAATAGCAAATTATTATTTTATTTTTTAAAAATAAAATAAACGGCTTAGCCTGTATAACATGTTTGCAAATAATAAAATACATTTAGTCTCAATATTTATTTATTTATTAAATAATTTTATTAGTAAGTTGTTTTCAATAGGAAATTATATATATATATACAGTATATACTGTATATATATAAAAATATCATTAAACTAGTATACACTGTATATTATATATGATATGATAAAAACAACCCATTTTTTCACACATACATACACACACCTGTTTGCTATACATTTTAAAAAAATATTATAATAATATTATATTATAATATGTATGTATATATAGTTTAATATACCGGTATATTAAAAAAAAAATTATATTATAGTTTATTTAATAATTGTCTTATAATTGTTTATATATATATATATATATTTTTCTTTGCAATTCATATGATTTATGCGATAATAATATACGATAGTAGTAGTAGTAATAATAATAATAATAGTATTATTATTATTAATAGTAATAATAATAATAATAATAGTAAACTTCACGTGTAGTTTACTTCTACTGTATATAAATCTATATTATATTAATATATACTGTATATTAAGTGTGTTTAGGGATATTTCATAACTATTATATTTTTTTAATGTATTATTTTTTTAGATGACTTTATTATTATTATTGTCATTATTATTATTATATATATATATATATTTTGAATATCATTAAATTATATCTATATTATACAGTATATATATATATATAAATATTAATATATGTATATATTCAGTATTTATCATATATTGTACTTTAATTAGCAAAACAAATGGAAAGTTTTTATTTATCTCTCTCTCTCTCTCTCTCTCTCTCTCTCTCTCTCTCTCTCTCTGTCTCTCTCTTAACAAACAAAAAAAATTGTGTAAAAGGAAAGTGTGATAAATAAATATATTATGGTTTTGACATTGAAATGGGAAATGAAATTATTTTTTTTATTAATTTATTTTTTTTCTCTCGTTAACATTTATCTATAAATTGGTATATATATATATATATATATACAGTATATTTGTGTTATACTGTACCATATATTATATAAATATATGTTACTTATTGTATTATTGTATATTGTAATATATATTATTGTATATATTAAACTAATTAGGATTGATTATCAGATTAATTGATTTAATTATTATTAAACTAATTTAGTGTTTTTCTAGTTTCTTAAATACACATTAATTAAATGGGAAGTCATATTATTTATTACTGTATTTTTTTGTTGAAAATTTTTATATTCAAATAGTTATATATACAATAATGTGTACAATAATATATGCTATTGATATATATATATATATATAATTTATTATTAATTAATCAGTAAACTTGCACACATACACACATATATATATATTATACATACACACACATAAAACAATAATTGCAATCAATATTGAACTATACTTTATAATAATTAATTTTAGTTTTATTTATCTTAAATAATCAATAAATACATTGTAATTATTATTATTAATAGTAAATATAATAATATCGATAATATAAATATATTAAAAATATTTAAGAAACATTATTTGCTAATAATTTTAATTTTATATAATTAAATATTTTATATGTATTTTTTAATAATTTATTTTTTTAAAAAAATTATTTATAATTCAGACATTAATTTTTAATGTTAATAAATATTTTTTAAAAATTATTTTTTTTGTTTGTTGTATCAATACTTTTACTTATCAATAATTTTTGTTTTACTATTATAATTATATTTGTTAACTAACCTAACAAACCATATATAACAATATTTACTTTTGTTTAATAATTATATATATTTTTGTTACTTTTTTTAGTAAATGTGTTAAACATTTTATGTTGTCAAACATTAAAGATAGATTAATAAAACTTAAAAAATAAAATAATTTGATATATTTTAATATTTTTTTTCAACCAAAAAAATTGTTTGAATAATTATATACATTATCTTTATTTAATATATATTATTATAATATTTTATTAGAGTTTTTTTTGTTTTAATAGACTATTGTTGTTATAAATATCTTTATATTTATATATAAATAAATAATTTGTAAACTTTTTTTTTTAGGTTACAAAAAATATTTTTTATCAAAAAATTTGTTTCTTATTATTTATATATTAATTACTTAAATGATAACATTGTTTTATTTTTTTTAATAATCAAATATATTGATTCATAAAAATACAAATTTTTTATTGAATAATTTAAAAATCAATTTTTATTAGTTATTAAAACATCAACAAAAAAAAATTCATTCAAAAAAATCGGATCAAACAAAATAAAAACAAGAAAATTATTTAATGTTTTTATTTTTGGTATTTTCATTGTACTGTATTTTAATGTACTGTAAAATAATAATAATAATAAAAATATAGTTTTTTTAAAAAATAAATACTGTATATAATAAAAAACAGTAAGTTATTATTGTATTTGTCTGTACATAACGTGTACAGTATTGCAATATCATGTAAACTACTTTAAGCTCTCTCTCTCTCTCTCTCTCTCTCTCTCTCTCTCTCTCTCTCTCTCTCTCTCTCTCTCTCTCTCTCTCTCTCTCTCTCTCTCTCTCTCTCTCTCGCAAATACACCCCAAGCTATTGGTAAAGCCTTTTCAACAAAAATAATAATAAAAAATTGTTACGTAAACTGAGACACGAGTGAGAAATATATGATAGATAGACTGATAGACAGTATGTATGTATGTATGTATATGTGTGTATGTATGTATGTGTGTGTGTGTGTGTGTGTATGTGTGTGTATGTATGTATGTATGTATGTATGTATGTATGTATGTATGTATGTATGTATGTATGTATGTATGTATGTATGTATGTATGTATGTATGTATGTATGTATGTATGTGTGTGTGTGTGTGTGTGTGTGTGTGTGTGTGTGTGTGTGTGAGAGAGAGAGAGAGAGAGAGCATGAGAAAGAAGTAAATATATTTTGAGCAAAATCTCAAAAACAGCTCAGAAAGAGAGAGATAGACAGAGAGACAGACAGAGAGACTGAGAGAGAGAGAGAGAGAGAGAGAGAGATGAGGAAAGAGAGCGGGAGAGGTATGTTATGTCGAGATATAAGGTCGAGAGTGTGTATATATATATACAGTATATATATATTATACTGTACTATATATACTTGTAGTGATACAATATATACTGTATATATATATATATATATATATATGTATAAATAAAAATCTAAATCAGCTAAATGTGTGCGCAAAATGCCGAAACGTGTGGTAGGCGGTGCCCATTATGGCTGGCCTTGTCTGTGACGTTGCGTAACAGTGATGTAAGCACGTGGCAGTGGCTTAGCCACAAATAACTATCGGTGCCCGTCGGTGGCTATTTCGGTGACAATGGTCAGCTAGTATCAATACCTATGCTGTCTAAACATACCCGAGCTAGACCATAGTTCAATGTGTGGCTAAGCTAACCGGTTAGATAGGGTCGGGTACGCCACTGGGGGTGGTAGACATACAGATGATGATGGTGTGTGTGTGTGTGTGCAGAGACAAGGTAGCAATAAACTGTATGTATGTACTGTATGTATATTATGTTTTTTTGTTACCTTGGTATTTCCTAGTTTCTAGTATAATAATAAAATTAATAACTTTTTTAGCACATACATACATACTAAAAATTTGTGTATTTTATTTATTTATTTGTAAAAATCATAATATATATATCTCCCTGTCCACATTATAATCTAACTAAGCTCTCAATAGATATTATATAGTGAGAGTGTGTATATGAGACTATTTTTTTTTTATTAATAAATATTAATAATAAAAAGTTATTTATTTTTGTTGTGTTATTATTATTATGATGTTTGTTGACTGTTAATGAAATTATTTTTTAATAATTTTTTTGATGACAAACTTTAAATTTTAAATATTATTAATATTGTTTTATATAATAATTTTAATTTTTTTTAAACATCAATATATCTTAAACTGATTGATTGTTTTATTTGATTTTTTTTTAATTATATATAATAATTATTTTTTATTTTTGTGATGAAAACTTGATGACACTGACAATTGATTGATTTCACAACTAATTATAATATCTATATATATATATAACAGTATATAAATATTTGATGAAATTTTTTTTTAAAAAATTTTATTAATAAATTATCATGATGATGATTTTAACAAAATTTGCATTGCTGATTTTATTGATATTATAAGGTAAGAATTTTATTTATTTTTTAATTAATTTTTATTATATTTTTGTTTATTAATAGTTTTTATTTACTATCAATAATACTATGAAATTTATTTATTGTTTATCAAAAAAAAGATATTTCAATTTTATTTTATTTATTTGTTTTATTAATCAATTTATTTGTTTGTTTATTTTATTTTTATATTATATTGTATATTAGTTTCACATAAATACCTGAAATATTTTTTTTTGTTATTTTTATTTTGATAACATTTATCTATTTAATTATTATTAAGAAATATTATACTGTAATGTGAAATATTTTATGTGAAATATTAGTAAAAAATATTTATTTATTTTTTTATTTCAATTTAATAATAACTTATTAACAATTGATATAATTAATTATATAAAAAAAATAATATTTAAATATTAATTAGATTTATTTTATTAAAATTTCTAAATATATTTTTTATATTACAATTATAATATAATTTGTTTTATATTTATTTATTTTTTAAATATTGATATATTATTTCAATAATTTGTTTTTATTTCAAATATAATTATAGAATTGCGAGAAAAAAAACTAATAATAATAATAAAGAAAAAAAAAGTTTTTTTTTCAATCATTGACTAAACTAATTGACTGACTGACTGACTGGCCATTCAATTGGGGGATACATAAGCTTAATACTAATTATAATTATAATGATGAACACCCATACCATGTCGTCAACAATACCATCAAAACTGATATGTTTGCCCATCAAAGAGCTCCAGCAGTATATGTTATCGTTGGAAATGGACAATCAGCGGCTGAAGACCGAACTGACCACTCTATCGCAGTTTAATTGTATACTAGAAAATGTCCGAAAATCAAGTACCAAAGGTTTTCAGGCCATGCAATTGGTCGACCAAAATAAACAATGCCGGTGCAATGAGCACCTGAATGGCCCACTGAGGCGTATGGCACAGGAAGCGGGTATTGAGATCAAAGTCTGGCAGGAACAGTACGATAAACTAGTGTATAAGTCGACAACTGTAACCACCAGCACCAGTACCCCCACCGCCACCAACATCACCAACAATAACAATGACAAGTGCTATATAACGGATAGGCCGACACCGCCGGCAAGTTTTTGCGATACCGAAGAAGAGGTGGAAGAAGAAGATACTAACCGATCGACGGCCAGTCTGTCGCCGCCGACGACGACGACGACGACCAACACTAGGTTTTCCACTGGACTGTTGACACCGCCGCAGGAAATGTCCGAATCGTCAGTATTCATGGGCGCCGATACCAGTTATACGACAACTTTTACGCCCCATCACAACAACCAGTCGGCGGCAGTGTTTCGCCGCCGATCGCCAACAAACTCTGTAATGATGGCCAACCATAATAGCCATAATAATCGGGAATCGACTAAACAAAACAAYAACAAACCGTATCTAACATTCAACGGTACGACCAAAGAGCTGTTGAAACAACATAACCATAAACACGAAGACATGTCGCCGATGGCGGCGATGGTAACCGACGACGAAACTGTTTTACAATACGTAGCGCTGAGTCCGTCGGCCACCAGCGAGTCGTCGTCGTCGTCATCGTCGTTGTTGTCCTCAACCCGAGTCTACAGCAGCGATCAGAGCAGACGCAATGGTGGCCAACAACACAGTGGCCTACAGGCCTGCGATTGGCCCGACTGTGACCGCCGTTTTGACAACGAAGAGTCGCTAATACATCACCGCAGGAATCACATCCGAAAGTCGATCTATCACTGCGACCGGTGCGACATCCGGATGTTGAGCCGCCAAGAACTGGACAATCATATGAAGAGTCATCAGAAACCGTGTGACCGCCATATTATTGCCGACAACGACGATGACAGCAGTTCAACGATTCAGCAGATGATTGACAACAATACGTCATTGCCTGAAGAAGAAGAAGAAGAAGCGGTCAATTTAACTAATAAGAGAAGAACCGGTAGTACTAGTAGTGCACCGGTAGTTGTTGTTGACAATAGCTGTCACTTGGCTGATGATTATGCTGTTGTTGTTGTTGAAGATGATGGTGTCAAACGTCGGCGTAAATGTAATGATTATATCACTACTAATAATCACAACAACAACAACAACAACACTACTAAACCAGAGCTGACATTCAAGTCGGCTCTCTTTGACCGACTGACGGCTACCGAAGCCGCCACTCCTACTACTACTACTACTACTACTACTCATCATCAAAAGTCTTCAGTATCGCTGCCGACATCGTCATCATCATTGATGCCGACATTTATTGTCGATAAGACTATCATCAGCACCACGACATCGACGGCTCAACCAATGATGACATCGCCCTCAACAACAACCACAACAATGATCCCGAATCACACAACTACTACTACTTGTCCTACAACTACCTGTACTAACCGACCGCCGGACGAATACAAGCGTACCCGTTATTCGGGTGTTGGCCGATATCGGTGTCCGTGGCCCGACTGTGGCTATACACCGCATTTCCTCCGCGACCTGCGCCGACATATGTTCAAACATACCGGCGATAAGAAACATAAATGCGATTATAATGGTTGCGATTTTGTTTCAGTCTGGAAGACATCACTACTGCAACATCAGAGGAAAAAACATTTCATCAACAATACCACCACAACAGCCGCATCGGTGACCACTTCTCATCAACAAAATAATAATAATAATAATAATAATAATAATAATAATAATAATAATAATAATAATAATAATATTATAAGCAATTATAATAACAATACATTGTTTGGCCAGAAAATATAAATTGTTATTATTATTATTAATGTATATATATATATTGAAAAATATTATTTATATATATATATATATTGTTATTATCTTAAATATATATAAATTTATAATTAAATTGTTATTATATAATAATTTTATTATTAATTAATTAGATACCCCATTAGTGGTATATAATTAATTATTATTGTTAATTATATTATTATTATATTAATAATAGTTTTTATTTTAGTGATTATTATAGTAATAATAATATTATTATTTTTTATTCATTCATTTATTGTATTTTTATTCCTAATTCATTCATTTGCTGTTATAATTGTTTTTTTTATATAATAAGATATATATATATAAAAAAAGTTATAAATTGTTTTTTTTAATTTATTATTTTTTAACTAATTGTTTTTGTTATAAATTTTTTAAAAAAAAATTATGTGTATATATATATTTATATATAATAATATATTGATATTTTTGCTTAAAAATATAGATTTACGATTTTTTAGAAAAAATCAGATAATATATATTTATTATAAGTTTTAATAAGTTAAATATTAAATAAATTTTATTGAACTAATTGTGATGATATGCTTGATTATGATTAAGTATATTAATAATATTTTTTTTGAGTGTTAAAAATAATAAATTAATTTTTTGAATCACATAATCTAAATAATTATTTAAAAATAATATTAAATAATATTCAAAAAAATTAATATAAAATTATTACTAATATCTAGTGTAATGAAACAATTTCAGGGATAAAATAAAATAATAATAATTTATTTTTATTAACAGAAAAAATTTGAATAATTCAATAATTTATTAAAATTGTTATTAAATAATAATAAAATAACCATTTATTTAAAAATCTATATATTTATATTTATAATTAGATTGAATAATAATTATTAAACTATATTTAATATTATAAATTGATATTTATTTAAATAATTATTTAGTATATTATAATTATTTTTAGCTATTTTTTAAAAATAATAATTAGTCATCATCACTAATATTCCTTAAATAATAAAATAATTTAATAAATGTTTTTAAAAAATAATAAATGATAAGTAAATTTTATGGAAAATTTATCTTGATAAACTTTTTTTTCAAAATTGATTGAAATTTTTAGTCATTATTTTATTAGTGCTATTTAATAGTAATAATAATAATTATGTACAATAATTCATTTAAAAAAAAGTTTACTATTATTATTTTAATATCATTATAATTTTTTTCAAAAAAATAATTATATTTTATTTAATTAAATTATCTATTGAATATTAACAGTAAAAAATTATACACACAAATAAACATTTATTATTAAATTAAATAAACTTTTAAGTTAAGTTTTGAAAAATTCATAAATATATATAATAATAAATTATTTTTTAAAAATAAAAAAATATTTATTATTCAATTAAATAAACTTTAAGTTAAGTTTTTTTAAAAACACAAACATATAATAATAATATATTATTTTAAAAACAATTAATAAATATATAGTAAATAAAATATATTTTTTTTAAATTCTCATAAAATTCATAAATCTAATAATCTTAAATAAATATCTATATAAATATATTATCTAATAATAAACGAAAATTATCGGTAAACTAAAAAATAATAAAATTTTAAAGATATAAAAATTATTATTATTATTAATTAATTATAAATTAAAGATTAAAAGAGATTTAAAAATAACTATAATATATATATAAAATTAAAAAAAAATAAAACTATAATATATATATAATTACATACATAGTATATAATAACATAATAATACATTATATACATGTATAATAAAAATAAATAAATATTATTTAAAAAAAACTGTCGGTTATTGATTTGGGTCGGATCTGTCGTTCACCGTTAACCAGATATATATGAAAAGCCTTAAACAATAGATAGGATCCGAACAGCCGTTTCTGGTGGTCAGTCCAGTCGAGTGGTATCCGGTTATATCTATGGCCACCACCTTTTGACTGGTTGGTCAGTCTGTCCAAACCGATGGCTGCGATTAGCATCGATTCGCGATCGAGGGCTTCCTCGGAATCAACGCTACCGAAACAGGTCACCGAAACCACGCCCTTACCACCGGTGGACCAAATCTGGGCAATGCGTTTACATTTAGCCGATGATGATGACCTGTGACCTGCTCTCATGGTTTCATAGATGTGATCGTAGGCCCGATTTCCTTGACCTTTGCCCACATAGAAGATTGATTGGACAAACCGGGCGAACATATCTCCAGATTTAGTGATCATCGATGAAGACGACAACAGTAGACGACTATCTGTGAAACGGATGCCGACATCCGACATATAGACATCTTGAGTCATGTTTTCAGTAATATTTGGATCCATTAGTAGGTAATTGAAATAGCATTGTCTGGTTTTTCGGCCGCCGCCGTTGAAACGATGATTGTCCTCAAAATGACCGGTCAATTGCCGATCGAGTCGGTGACAGTATTCAAACGGAAATGTGTGTCCACTTGTAATCAATTGGTTCAACTCATGGCTATAGTAGTAGTTGTTTAACCTATAGTTTGCGGACAGGTATTGCGGTAAACCTCTAGTGCGGCCTATTTTGTTAAGCCATTTGTTGATCGCGGATCTCATAACTTGTATTTATTGTATATATTTTTTTAATGTAAATATCAATTAACAACAAAAACAATTGATTTATCAGTAAGTTGTCCACTAAATTAATTGGTCAACTTTGATGGTCAACCCTATCTCCTATACCTCTATATACTGTATATATATCTATGGGTTTGTATGTATATATCATATATATTAATAATAAAAAAAAAGTTATTACAGTTTACTGTATTGAACACAAAAAAAATTGTTATTCAATTGAAATACAGAAAACTTTTATTAATTATATTTTTATAAAAATAGTATTTATTTATTTTAATTATTATAATAATAATCATATAATAAACGACAAAAAAAATTTAAGTCCAATCAGACCAACAAACAAACAAAAAACTGAAATATCATAAAAATTAATTGTTTTTTTTGAATTTATTTTTTTTAAGATTTAATAAAATACAAACAAACAAACAAAAAATACAAAAAAATAAAATATCAATCAAATCATTTCAGAGATGGACTGATCAATGGATGAATGGATGACACCATGAGATCCCAAAATAATTTCAAATTGTTTTTTTGTGTGTTTTGTTTTTTGATTGTTTTTTTTTGAATAAAATAACAAAAAAAATACTTAGTGTCCCTTATGTTTGTTGTCATCGGGTTTTTTGACGGGTTTTTTGGTGTCCACCGATGGTTTCATCATTGGTTTCTCATTTCCTCCGCCTCCTCCTCCAGGCTTTCCTTTAGCTCCTTTAGCTGGTCCGCCACTTCCGACATCCGGTCCGCCGCCCATCGGTTTCGCTGACGGTTTCTTAGCCGCGGAGTCGGGTGTCGGCGGCGCCGGTGGCGGTGGTAGCGGTTGCGACGGTTTTTTCGGTTCGGCCGGCTGTTGTCCATCGGGTTTTGTCGGCACTTTCGCCTGCTTTTTGGTCACTTCATCCGGTGATTGAGGAGGCTTTGGAGCTGTCTTTGGACCAGCACTACCACCACTTCCAGCCCCTCCTCCACCACCACCACCACTACCACTGCCTTTTGAGTGACTGTCACCACCTTTTTTGTCGGCGGCGACCTTCGCTGGCGGCAACTCTTTCTTCTTGTTTTTGGTGTCGCCTTCTTTCGGTGGATGGCCTCCGCCGCCACCGCCACCATTGCCGACGTCCGGCTTACGCATCAATAGATAATAACCTAAACTGGCGGCCGCACCGCCCAACACAACCCAACACAGACCGCGAGCACCGCCGCCGCCGCCCTTTGCCTTCGGCATAGCTTTCTTTGCGGAGGCTGTCGACGATCCGCCCATTTTGGACGGCTTTTCTGTATTGTCACTCATGCTGTTGTTGTTGTGGTTGTGGTGTTGTTGTTGTTATCTTCAAACAGTTTTTATGATTGATATCTAATGGATGAGATAGTCTATGGGATGATCTATATGTTTATATGGGACACCAATTTGATAGGTCTATTGGATCTGATAAGTAGTGATTTGTTTTGAACTGTTTTTTAACTGATTTTGTTTGTTGAAAGTGTTAACTAACTGTTAATTATTTTTTGAATTATTTTTTTTATGTTTTTTTTAATAGTTTTTGTATTTAACACCTATTAAAAAAATATCGCGCAAAACAATTATATCAGTAATTATTAGATAATTTTTTTAAAATAATTTTTTGATACCAATTAATCAGTGATTATATTTGAATTAATTTTTAAAACTATTGAAACAAACAACAAAAAAAAACAATTTAATTATTGATTTCACGTTTTGTTTTGTTTGTTTGATGACATTTACTATCAATTAATTAATTTTTTTTTAAATATATTTAGATATTTACTATCAATTAATTATACAATTATTACTAAATTATTAATAGCTATGAAAGTCAAAGAAAAATCTATAAATTTTGATTACGATATCAAAGACGAAGAACTGGACAAATGTTACGATCGGGTGATCAGCATATTGTCGGTAATCTACAAGAAAACAGCCACTGACCAGAAATCTCAGTCATCATTGTTGAACCGTTTGCGTCCGATAGCGGACATCAACGACCATATGACCCGTTTGAACAACGATCGGGAAACTGCACTCCGAGCTAATCACGAACTGTCACTGATTGTCAATCTCTGGTCTCGCGAGTGTCAGTCGATTGGCTGCCAATCGGAACAAGCGGTCAGAGAAGTGGAAAAAACCAGTAATTTTGTACACTTTTTATGGAATCAAGAACTGGATTATCAGAAATTTATGGCCAAAGCCATGCAAATGGATGTACTGTTGGCGACAACGACACCGACACCGACAACAACAGCAACAGTAGCCGAACATACCGGTGCTGTCACTGCCGATGGTGTCGGTGGTGTCGGACATAAAGACACGTAAATATCGTATGAAATAGTTATACCAACAAAAAAAAGTTGATTTTTTTGTTTGTTTTGTTTATCAGATCTGTGGCCAACACTACCACATCAAAGTTGGACATTAAGACTACTGATGTCTCGCCTCCTCCTCATCCGTCACCGCCACCGCCACCGTCACTGACAACACATAGCGAACCGTTAGTTATTTTTTTTTAATTTCGRTAAAAATTAATATTAAACTAATTTTTTAATCAATCAATAGTGTAGTAAAATTTGAGACAATAAACAGTGTCGTCAAAAATGATATCAAACTCAAGATGACTATCATTAATGGTAAGACTGATGATAGTCAAGTGGACTATCAATTGGACGAATCKGTCAAATTGGTGGATGAATTGGTGGCTAAATATAAGAGACATCTGAAGGCCAGCCGACACCTGAGCTTTTGTGTCCAGGTTTTGCGGGCCATCAACGAGTCAAACAAGAAAAAAATTGAAGATTGGATCCATAATACTGATAAACAATATGATTATCACCAGTTAGTGGCCGATAAAAGTCAAGTTTGATTCATACAAACAACAAAAAACAATTATTTAAGACATTATCTGATGAATTGGTCAGTCAATGATATATATATATGTCTATTAAAAAAAATTTTTGAATCAATCAATCAATAAAAGATAATCAATAAAATAAATGATAATTAAATGTTAATTTAATTAATTAATTCAAAACTTTTTTTGAAAACTTTTTTAATGTTTTTTTTTGTTTATTAATGATTTTATTAGTATTTAGTAATTATTATTATCTATATTTCAATTTTTTCTATAACTATTATATTATAATTATATTATTATTTAATATAAATAATTATACAGTATATTTAGTCTATTAAAAAACTAAATAATCATTATTATTGTATATTAATATTTTAACAAATAACAAAAAAATAGATAAAAATTGTAAACTCATTTTTAGTTTTCTTAAAATAACTTTAAAAATATAATAATAATAATAATATACTCATAAAATAAAATATGGGACACACACACACACAGTGTGTTAATATAATTTAGTAATAGACCAGTTAGTTATATATATATAGGTATATATATGTATATTATTGTTGTATTAATGGTTTATTGGAAAAACAATAACAATTTTAATATTAATATAATATATATATTATATCACACATATCTAAATGATTTTCAACAATTTTCAAGTTCAGTATAATTTTATTTTATATATTTTTTTTGATCATCAAATTTAGTCAACAAATAAATAGTTTATTATAACCTATTATAAAGTATGTTAATATTTCATAATGCCTATAATAAATATATATGCATTTTTATACAGTATTTTACAGTACAATATTGATAGATAGCAAACTGATTAAATAATATTTATATATATATATATATATAAATTGGTGACAATTTAAGTGGATTTTTTATAAAAATAGTATCAATGATTGGAATTTAATTTTTAATGATATATAAAAATTTTTATAGATATATATAGATTTATATATATATATATATATATATATATATATATATATTAGTTTTTTTTATTAACTGTTATATAATTTGTTAGTAATTGATATATTATAGTTTGGGCTAAACTTTTATTATCATTACAATTAGGTCACTAATAAAGTCATCTCTCTCTCTCTCTCTCTCTCTCTCTCTCTCTCTCTCTCTCTCTCTCTCTCTCTCTTATTGTTTAAACATTAATAACATTATTAGCCACACATATAATTTAATTTCTTTTATTTTTATTTTTTTAAAAATGTAGTTATGATTTATATTTTATAAAACAAATTATTTTTCATTGAGTAGTAGTAGTAGTTATAAAGTTATTTATAAACTAAAAAAATACTAAATATTATATACAGTATATATATTAACACTGTTTGTGTAAGTTTACTAAAAATAGTTATCAACTAAATTAAAAATAATTAAAATCTATAGATTACTAAATCAAATAATTGTGATTTACTTTTTTTTTGGTAAAAATATTTATTTACATTAGTTTCAAAAAACAACAAAAAAGTATACAATATTTATTATTTTTTTTAAATGTTATAATCATAATGTAAAACAATGTGTTTATATTATATTTAATTTAATATATTTTTATAATTAATTAATAAATAATATTTTATTATTTATTAATGTTTTTTTTATAAATCATATTAAATGTATACTAAATTTTTTTTTGATTAAATAATTATTTTTTTGTTAATTATTTTGAAATCATTTCATAAAGTTTTTAATTTTAAAGTTCATCAAAATAATATATTTACAAAAATATAAATATTTATAAAAATTTTAAATTATTTGTTTATAAAAAATAAATACTTTAATAAATAATAATAAATAAATTAAAAATAAATATTATTTCATAATAATATTGATGTTAATGACAATGTTGTGCAACAATAGACAGACACTAATAATAATAATAATCGTAATAATAATAATAATCATAAAAATATGAAACAATTGCAAACAATATTCAATGATTTGCAAACAAATTATTTATTATTATTACTATTAAACAAAAACTATTTAACAATATATTTAATTGTGATATTATTTATGCATAACAGCTATGCATTCAACAGAACTAAAAGTAAGTATTAAAATAAAAAATTATTGAAAAAATAAAATTTAAAAAAAATGAAAAATACTATTAAATAAATAAAATATATATAATAAAAGTTGAAACTTATATACAGTATATAATATACACTCAATAATAATTATCAATACTATTACTGTATAATAATTAGTTTTATCTGCATATTATTATTATTATTATTTAATTGTAATTATCATGTATGTAGTTTTTATTTTTTTTATGTTTTAAAAAATAAGATAATTTTAATCGTTATTTTCAAATATATAATATTATATTATAGTTTATTTTTTTTTGTTTATATTTCGCAAACAAAAATTTTTTAAAAATTTTGCAAACAATTAGTAGTAAAATCATAATATATTTTATTTGATTGAAAATTTTTGTCAGTCAGACAACAACAACAACAAAAAAGTATTTATATATTCAATACATACATACATACATAATATATTATATATAATTTTATGCATTATATATGTGTATTCAAAGTTATGTATATATATATATATAATGTAAATCATGCGTTAAGTTTTTTTTAAAGGTCTAATTGATTGTCAAAAATTATATATATATATAAATATTTTTAACTCAAAAAAATATGAGTAGTTTTAAATTACTTTTGAATGCCATTTATATATTCAATATGTATATATATGTATATATATATATATATAGATATATARCTTATATATAAATTAAAATTGTAGATGTATGACATGTGCATAATAATAATAATATAAATGTATATCTATTTAAAAGTTAGTATATATATACAGTATACTGTAGTAGTAATATTKTATATATAAATATGTTATTATATATATATATATATTTTTAAAAAACTTATTATAACATTATATTATTTTTTTTTTTTTGAGAGAAACTACTTGTTTAGTCAAGAGTTAGTAGTGTTTGAGTTGTTTTTTATATATATATTTCGCAGTCAATACACTACTACTACTACTACTACTACTACACAAGTATTTCATATATAATATAAATAATGAAATACATGTTAAATATAATATTTTTATAATATATATTATTTGATAACAACTGCTACTAGTGTTTACTACACTTTTTTTGATAAACATTTTTACTTAAAATATATATATATATATATATATATTATAATTTATTTTACAATTTAAACAACTAATTTATTTTTTTAATTTGTGTGGTTCACCCCCACCCCCACCCAACCCTCTCACTAACTAACAATATCTATCTTCAAGGAACTATCGGTATATTCAAACGGCCCGACAAACTAGAGGCCATAGCCAGCTATCTGTCACCCGAACCTGATTCCCGACTCCGCACCCGTTTCTATTTGTATACCCGCCGTAATGCCGATCAATCACAGGAGCTTACCATTGGTAACCCGGGYCGRTTGGCCCGATCGTGGTTTGATCACCGTAGGCCAATCAAATTTGTTATCAACGGTTGGCTGGATAACCGATATTTTGCCAAATGGGTCCGATCGGGTATCAGTGCACTGTTAGCCCACGGCGACTAYAATGTCATATATGTTGGCTGGAAATCAATCAATGAGCTGTTTGTGGCCGCAATTACCATCAAATTGTTTAGTCAAGATTTGGCTCAGTTTATCATATTTTTAAAGGTTTGCTAAAAAATTCATTATAATTACAATTATTTTTAAAAATAATATTTATTAATTTAGTTAGATTTAGTTAAAAATATTTAAATTAGTTTAGTATATAATTGTTAATTTGAATTATTTGATTGAATTATTGGAAACTTTTTTTTATTATCRATTTAATATTAGTATTATTATTATAGATTGTATTTAATTTCTTTTTATAAAATTATTTTTTGTTTGATAGTATCTTTAATTAAATTATATGTATATTAATTTATTAGTAATTACTTATATTTTATTAGTTTTGTAATAATTTTTGTGTAAAATAATACCTGTAATTGCAATTGCAATTTAACAGATATATCAATATAATATTATTGTACAGAAAATTATATTATAATAGTTTTTTTTTAAAAATTATTAAAATATTATTATTAGTTAATTTAAATTATGATAAGTCCTTATCTATTAATAAATAAATAGATTTAATTTCATTATACAGTATATTCAACAAATAATTTATTGATATATATTTTTAATTTTATTTTTAAATATTTATCTTATTTTTTTATATTGGAAAATATTATATAAAATTCTTACATTAAATTAACATTTTTAAATTTTTTTTTATAAATATTATCATAAATAGTATGATTGAAATAAATAAAATAAAAATAATAATTATTATTATTACATATTTTCTCATTTCCTGATTGGTTTCAACAACAAAAAAATAAAATAAAACTAAATAAAACTTAAATTATATATTTATTAGGTGTGTGTGTGTGTGTGTCTTATAAATAATAATTTTATTCAATAATGTATTTAGAAATAAAATGTATTTATWAATTAAATATACAAAATAAGTGATTGATTGATACCTATATATAGGTATATATATATATACTGTATATACCGTATGTCGTCCCGTATTAACCCCCTGAACCTCTCAGCTCGACCGATGACTACCGGTGTGTTTGTGTGTATGTTAAGTATACATCAAAATTACAAAAACCGTTAGCATTTGTCGGGCTCTGGGGTTTGGTTGGGTATGTTTGTTGACTACAATAATACTGTATATACTGTATATATATCCTATTATTTAATTATTAATTATATAGTATTATAGAAATTAAAAATATTAATTAATTAATTAATTAATTAATATAATAATAATAATAACAGAATACTTATGGCATCGATGGTGAAACTATTCACTGTATCGGCCATTCATTGGGATCGTTATTATGCGGTTTTGCCGGTGCTATCACATACATGGGCCGAGTTAGCGGTAATAATAATAATAATCTTAATTTATAAATTACAATAATTATCCCCAATATATTGATAATTGTATTTTCAATTACACCCCACCCACACCACCCAACCCCCCAAAAAAAGTACTGGACGCTGGACCGCGTGCTTGGTTTGAACCGTTACCCGAATGGCAACGTATTAACCGATGGCAGGCCGGGTTTGTCGACGTCATACACAGCGACTACAACCCTAAACTGTCGTGGGGTCTGACCTTACCGGTCGGCGATGTCGACTTTTACCCCAACTCGGCAGCAACTCAGCCGGGATGYGCCCGCGATATGATTGTACAGGCCGTACGCGAACTCCGGGATGAAGGCCTGGTAGTCGGTGTCTATCAGTGGCTCAGGTATACACTGTTTTGTTCGCACTATCGTTCCCATGAATGGTGGTTCGAGTCRGTGGTAGCCAATCACCATAAGTGTACGTTCATTGGTGTCCGATGTCCATCCTATAGTATGTTTATGACCGGCCAGTGTGGCTGCCATAATGATAATGATGGTTATAGTGGTAGTRGACAGTCATCCTTGTGTGCCGTTATGGGTATCGATGCCGATAGGATGGTCGGTACCGGTGCTGCTGCCAGTGATGTCAAACATAGGTCAGCCGGCAAATGGTTTATCAAGACATCCGATTTTATCAAAGAGACCGGAAGTCATTGCCGTAAGTATTGATTAAAAAAAACTTATTATTTATTTTAATGGTCTAACTATTTGTTGGGTAAAACTTTTTTTTGTTTGCTGTTATATTAGTTATAACTATTAGGTTATGTCTATTCAAAAAATAATTAATAAATAAATAGTTTATAATTTTTTTTTTGAAAATTTTAATTATTTTGTTTTTTTTGTGAAGGAYTTGTCTTTCATCTAAAAAAAAYTTAATCTGATTTTTTTAATAATAATAATAATAATAWTAATAATACTAATAAACAAAATTGTAATTTATATGTCAAATGAATAACAACAACAAAAAGTTTGAAATAAATTTTTTAATATAAATACTAATATAAATTATTTTTATTTATTTATATATATTTTTAAATATATGAATTAAGTTTATATTCATAAATATTTAATATCTCTGTTTTTTTATTGAAATTATATATTAATAGTATATATATATCAGGAGTTATGATTTAATATATATTTTTTTTTTAAATAAAAATTATTATAAATAAAGTTAGTATTATTATAGTCTAATATAATTGAAGCCTTAATTTAGATTATTTATTTCAAACTAAAAAAATAGTTTATTTTATTTCACTAATTTAAATGTCAATCACAAAAAATACTAGTTTTTAAAATTTTTTTAAATGAGTTGTGTTTTTATTTTATTAGTTATATTTTTTACTTTATTATACAGTGTGTATATTTTTGCTAATAAAATATTGATAATAATAATAACTATTATTATTATTATTATTATTATTATTATTATTATTATTATTATTATAAACTATATAATAATAATAATGTGAAATGATGATTTAACAATAAAAAAATAAAATTAAAAATAATTTTATAGCAAATAATTTTAGTTAATATAGTATTGCGAAATAATAATAATAATATAAAAATACCTAAAAATAGCAATCATTTCCCAATTTTTCTAATAAATTATAATATAATAATATATTTAAAAAGATAACTATTATATTTGTAAAATACTTAATATTTTTTGAAAGGTGTTTTTGATAATTATTTTTTTTAAATAATATAAATTTATATTCAATATATATATATATATATATAAATATTTATACAATATATAATATATACAAATATTAATATTTGGGTCACTATTTATACAATAATATGATTGCCTACCTGAGCTACGATATATATAAATTGTATCGATTTATTTAAATTATTATTATTATTATTATTTAACCATCATCATTATTTTATTTATTTATTTTTTGAGACACCAATTGAATCACAAAAAAAATCATATAATAATAATAATAATAATAATTATTATTTTTATTTCAAATRAAAATTATTTAATCGATTATCACAACAATAGTTTCAATAATTTTTTTGTTGATAAATTTAGATGATTTATAATAAAAAAAATTTTAGTTTAATTAACCTCTTTTTTTTGTTACTGTATTTTTATCAATTGCTAACCAATTTTGTTGGGTGTTATTTTTAAAAACTAAAATTAAAACTATATTTTAAAAACTATTTAGTAATATACTTGAAAAACTACTTTTGATTTTGTTTTTCCCCATAAATTGTTTTGAAAATAAAATACATGTATTGTTTGATAACTTTTGATTGACACTAATTATATCTATTAGTTATATAGTTATCTATAATTTTGTGTTAAATTTAACTTATTTTATATCTTTATAAATATATATATTTTTTTATATTATCTATATTTCCTATCAATACTGTTGTATATAGTGTTTCAATACCAGATAGTCATACAATTGTCGGTACAATTGTTTCCGATTATCAATGGGACGGTTGTACTAACCATTCACGGCGAAGACAGTGGTGATATTAGCGAAGAGCTGATCCATACGGAAGATTTTCGTCTATATCCTGGCCTACGGTTCGGTAAGCTGGCCGTCCGTATGCGTCAGATTGGACACATCAAACATCTATCGATTAGTTGGTCACCGATGCCGATGATGACGACGACTATGTTGATGACAGATAGACAAGCACTTCCATCACCAGCACCGCTAAGTAGTAGTTGGATTAGCTTAGAGTTTGTCAAAGTATCGCCAATAGTGATGACACCGGAGCCGATAACACGACTGTTTTGTTGTCCATCACAGATGATTATCAAACCGTCACAAACAATAACATTAATAGATTGTTAATTATTAAAAAAAATATTAACTAAAAACTAACTATTGGTAATTATAATTTATTCATATGTTATTATATAACATTCACAAAAAAACAATTAATTTATATATAAAATAATTAATTATAGTAAAAAAAATTATATTATTACGGTAATACCCATATATAATTTGTTTATAAGATTATTATTAAATTTATATATATATATATACACTAATAAATCTATTATTTTACGGTAACTATAAAACAAAATTTTCATTACCGGTAACTAATTATTAATATTATTAATAATAATTGCATATATCATATAAAATTGTTTAGTTTAAAAAATTAATAATAATTGTTTTGCAATATAAAATCAAGTCATTAAATACTAATAATAATAATAATAATAATAAGTTATACAACTTATTAAGTTTTTTTTAATTATTAAATTAATTTATATATATATATATTGATTATAATTATACTTTTATACTATAATTTACATCACAATTATTGGAAGTACACAAAACTCATATCATAGATACTGTCCACACATTTACTGTTAATATATTTGACAAATCTAGTTGTTTTGCCATCTCTGTAGACAATATTCAGATTATTACTGTASGGATCAATTGTCAACAGTTCTTCATCTACGCCTTTGCCAATATATGATACAAAACCACCGGTTTCTCTGTCAAACTCGCGATTATCACAATTAAAATGTATGATAACGTCCAGWGCGGCCGACTTTTCAAGCAATTCAGCCGAATTGTCGTGAACTAAGGTATAGTACGATGGAGACCATCGTCTGATTTCACCTCTACTACGAGGGTTACTGTTTTCGGCTGTGGTAGTGGTGATGGTAGTGGTAATGGTAGTCATCAACAAACAAACAAACAAATAGATAATATTAGATAAACTATASGACACTTTTGATTSAACACTTACCAGTAATAGCTATACCATCGTTATGTTTATGGTCGCTATCTTCATCTGATTCATTATTTTCAGATGAGTTGTTATCTTCMGAGTCGTCGTCATCGTCATCATCAGCAGCAATGGCCAACTCGTGTAGTTTAAGACCCGTCAGATTCGATAGTATTAAGTACATGGCTTCCGATCGGAACAGTTCGTAGGCTTCGAGTACAATAGCCGGACAACTGTTGACTGATGCGCTGTCGTAGCGGCGCATATTCGGCGGTCCCGTACGACGCCAGACAATAGCTTCGCTATCTTTTAGCGCTCGGGCCAACTCGTGGTACTTGTCGTAGGCGAAAAAATCTTGCAAAACAATTTCGGATAGATCGCCGAAACGCGATCTGATCTCCCATTGAGTCGAATCGTCCAAATAGAGCGGATTGATCCACGACTGGACCACATCGAGCGGTACATCGGTGGCCGGTTCGGTCGTTAAYTGTGGTTCCAAATTGGGTTGCGGTCGTACAATACGCGGTCCGTGAAACCAGCCGTTAACACTGAGTCGTATCTTTGAATCGCTAACTACTTCCGATACTTGATGCCAAGTAACGGGACTGACCTCGAAAAARGCAAATCGGTTCCATTTGGGCGCCACTGATGCCACAATGTCGGTCGGTTCGCCTCTATCTGTGTATTTGTATAACAATAGGACATTAGACATACATTCAATAAATACGGTAAATAAAACATCCATTTTTTAATCGGTACTAACCGTTTGAGTCAAACAAATCGAGTAGTCCGCCGTCACTGGCCGTCCAATCGGGAACTAAATATAGTATAAAAGCCACTCTTCGGCCGTCGGTATCCTCTTCGATGGCRTCGTCGTGACATAAAAGATAGTCTATGAAAGAGAGAGAGAGAGAGAGTTAATGTCTTGTATTGTCAKCAAAATCAATACCCCTATCGACATACAAATACCGACCATTTTGCTCGTATCGGCTGACAGTTAGCGCAATGTTGTCGTTCAGCTCGAGACCAGTTAATCGTTGGACAAACGGCTTAACTTGTTTGGCAAACAGCCGACACAATCGGCCAATCAGTCCGTCGGTAATATTGTTCAAATCCTGCGACTGTCTCAACCGATACAAGTCGTTGTTCTTCGACGTCAAGTCCAACTGATTGATCTCACGCTTGAGTTCAGCCAAAAAGTCTTGGTTGTTGTCGTCGTCGTCGATAAAGTCGTTAAATGCCATCACTTTGAACGGCTTTGTAATCAATTGGATGTCTTTGTCGACGACAGCGGCGACAGTGGTGGCGGCGATCACCTCATCATCGGCGGCGGCGGCAGTGGTCGGCGTCGGCTTAACACCCGTTCTGTACCATTCGGTCAACTGATCCAAACGTTTCGGGCGGAGATAGTTGTCGTTGATATTGACGACATCGATGTCATCGATGATGTCCTGGCCATTGGCGGCGGCGGCGGCGACGGAACTGCTTGTTATCTTCTGTCGTTTCTTTTGGCGATCACCGGTGAGGTCCTCATCGTCGCCGCCATTGGCCACCAGTCGAGCCGTAGTAGTAGTTGTCTTGGGATCAGTTTCTTTGCTCATAACTTCATTGGATTCATAAATCAATCATTAAATCACAACAAAAAAAATTCAATGTTTTTTCAAATGTAAACAAATATTTATTAATATATATTTTTTTTTGTTTTGTTTATTACTATTACTGTAATAAAACACGTGTTTATAATACTGTATATTGAAAAATATAATGTATTAATAGTAAGGGATTGTATTGTAATCTTATATCTATTTAAAAAAAAAAAATTTGAATTTTCAAATACTAATAATCAAATACATTATATTATTTATAAATAATATAATGTATTACTTAATTAATTACATAAAAAAATTAATTAATTATCAATTTGTCATTTAAAAAATCAAACAAAATTATTGGTTAACTATAAGTCAAGTCAATGGTTATAATAATTATTAACTATTTAGGTATGAAAAAAATGTTTTGTAATAATAATCATATAATAATAACTAAATTTAAAGAGTATTAAAGAGAAATAATTAAAAAAAAAATTAAATCAAACAAAAAAAACAATTGACTATTAAATTGATGATAAAATATGTAATGAGAAAAAAACAGTTATATATATATATATATACTTTATAAATGTGATTATGATTTACGGGTAATTAAAAAAATTGTATCAAAAATAATGATTGCATTTATGTTGTCGTTGTATTCAATGATTTTTTTGTCGGTAATATACCGGTAAACAAATGTAATGTAATAAATCAACAATTTTTTTTTTGATCTGTGGTTTCACTAATCTATAATTACGGTAATTGTTTTGAAAACATAATTATCAAAACAAAACACATATATATAGTCAACGATTGAATGCAAACGGCTTTCGGCCTAAGATCTTGTCTTTGAGCTCCTGTGCCGACTGTAGCCGTTCGTCAGCCATCTCCAGCCGACGTCTCTCTTTCATCTCCTGTATCTCTCGTCGTTTGTCTTCCAATTGTTTCATACGTTTCAAGTAGTCGTTGTCAATACCGCACTCGACTTCGGCCAGTGCAATGCCAAACGGATCGCCAGAGCCGCCAATATTGGCCACAGATTTCATGTTGACAACAGGTAAGGATTCCGGTGCTGCTGTTTGTTGTTGAATCACTAGTTTGTCAGCCATAGTAGCAGCAACAGCAGCTACCTGTCCTCCTCCTCCTCCTCCGCTGCTATGATCACCACCACCACTAGTGTTAGTAAATCGACACTTGATCTGCGGTTTGGTTGATGTGATATTCGCTGATGTATTTGACGTCCTATTGTTGTTGTTAATAGTTATCAATATATCGTCTCGTGGTTTGGCAATCGTTTTGAGACTTCCTATCGACGGCAAACTTGTTGGTAGAGTCATCGCATTGCTAAGCCGTGAGCCCAGTGTCGATGAGTATGATGACAATGGTGTCTGCAAACCAGTCAACTGTAAGGCAAGCGCTTCATTGGTCTTCTGTTGGACTATCAGTGCATTTACTAATAGCTGATTCGGATTAAGTATACCTAAATCTAATTGCTATTGAAGATCAAAAAACATTAGATCCCAGTCATTATACAAAAAAATGGTGGATATATTGGTGATAATAAATGCATACATATTTCATTTCGGGCGTCAAATTCAATAGTTGACTCAATTGGCAATCGTTTTTCAGGGCTGATCTGATTCGGCTATCGGTGTTTGCTTTGGGTATAAACTGTCTCAAGTCTCTGCCACCACCACCTCCGCCCCTGCCATTATAACGACTACCAATTATGCCTAATCGGCCGCCCATATTGGGCAACGGTAGTCTACGATTAGAGCCAAATTTATTGGCAAACCGGTTCTGCTGGTTGTGCTGCTGATGGTTATGATGATGATAATCGTTCAATCGTTTAATACCATATCGTCCATAATCGCCGGCATCCCTATCACGTCGTCGTCTTCTTCTACTACTACTACTACTTCCACGTTTGCCACGCATTTCTCTAACCAATTGTCGACCCAATTCGTCCAGTGAATCGGGTATTTCGCGACCACTACCACTACCGCCACCACTACTACTACTACTCGTCAAATGGCCGCTCAATGTCTTTGTCATCAAACTGATTGTCTGCTGTCGTCGTTCCGATCGAAACTTATCTCTCGGCTCGTCGTCATCGTCGCCGTCGTTGTCGTCATTATCTTCTTGTGAATCATTATTATCATTGTTGGTGTCGTCGTTATCGATATCGTAGACAATAAGCTGCCGGTGACCACCACCACCACAACCACCACCTCCTGAAGCAGTCGACAATCGACTCGTAATAACATTGTTGGTATCAACGCTGGTGGTGGTGGCCGTCGTCGTAGTGTCCATAGCGTCACCGTTGCCGCCGATATCGTCTTCGTAGTCGACCTCAAGTAATGTATTTTCTTCTTCGCGTGTTAGCTCCAGAAGATCATTGCCGCCGCCGCCGCCACCAACCGATGTCGTCGACGATGTGTCCAATAGATCCATAATATCTGCTGCTGAATACCTAAATAACGAGTGGCCGTTACGAGACGGTTCCGGTCGGTAATTGAATGTATGTTTTGTGAGTTGATCACCGAAATCACTTCACCAATGATGATGATGTGGTGGTGGACATCAAAAAAATGTTGGATCAAATCGTTTATATGATTACTTACATTTCAGTCACCAGAGATATGTGATAATAATAATAATGGTTTCAGTAATTGTTGGATCAGTTTATAGACAAAGACAAAGACAATGACAACAATCAGTCAATCAATGCTTTTGTTTTGTTTTGTTTGTCTTTCAATAAAATAAAAATCATTAACTCATTGACTGATTGATTGATTGATTGATTGATTGATTGATTGATTGATTGATTGATTGATTGATTGATTGATTGATTGATTGATTGACTAATAGACTGATTGGTTAGCAATTGAATGATTGGCTATAACTGTATATTAATAATATGTGTTATACTGTAATAATAATAATAAACCGCTAAATATTGAATACAAACTGTTAAACACTGTATTAATAATACTGTAATCAATATTAATAAACACATTGGCATTGCATTACTGTTTATTATTATATTTTATACAATAAATAACGTCACAACTATTAGTTATAAATTTAATTATATATTTATTAATACATGTATACATATTTTTTTTTGGTCTAATAGGGGTCTAATAGTTAGTTGACGTATTTTATGTATTGAATGATAAATTTATTATTATTAATATACTGTGTGTATATAAAACTAGCGCTTAATTTGAAATTTTAAAAAATTTAATTTTTTTTTCATACAAAAATAATTATTTAGTAAAATATATTTTTTTTGATTATTTTTTTTAATAATAATAATAATAATAGTATTCAAAATCAAATTAATATATATATATATATCACATTAATAAATCATTAAAAAAAAGTAAATTATTAAAGTAAATTGGATATAAAATTTATGTACAATTAATTAATTAAGAAAAATTAAAAGTCAATTACAAATAATATAATTAAATATATAATAAAATAAAGTTACTTAAAWTTTTTTTTATTAGTTTCAAATAATAATATACATACAAAAATAATTATTTAGTAAAATATATTTTTTTTTGATTATTTTTTAATAATAATAATAATAGTATTCAAAATCAAATTAATATATATATCACATTAATAAATCATTAAAAAAAAAATTAATTATTAAAGTAAATTGGATATAAAATTTATGTACAATTCATTAATTAATTAGAAAAATTAAAAGTCAATTACAAATAAAAGATAATTAAAACATAAGTAAATATATAAGTAAAATAAAAAGTTACTTAAAATTTTTTTTTATTAGTTTCAAATAATAATATACATACAAAAATAACTATTTAGTATAATATATTTTTTTGATTATTTTTTTAATAATAATAATAATAATAAAATAGTATTCAAAATCAAATTAATATATATATCACATTAATAAATCATTAAAAAAAAATTAATTATTAAAGTAAATTGGATATAAAATTTATGTACAATTAATTAATTAATTAAGAAAAATTAAAAGTCAATTACAAATAAAACATAATTAAATATATAAGTAAAATAAAAAGTTACTTAAAAGTAAAAGTAATTTATAAATATTTGTTTAAGTCGTCCAACGAGTTTAGATAGTAATCGGGAACACATTTATGATCCTCGGGATCGGGTGAGTTACGAAAGTTGACCATATCATCGTAGGTACCGATACCCGACTGGACAAACAATGTTTTCAGGCCATTGTTACGACCAAAAACCATATCAGTGGTCAGCCGATCGCCGATCATAATTGTCCGCTTGGGATCGATCTCGGGATGTTGCAAACGGATAATGTTGAAGAAATACTGGTAGGGTTTGCCCAACGGTATCGGTTCGCGACCGGTCACTGCCTGAATGGCGGCTACATAAGCGCCAGGTCCGGGAACGGCTACCCGAGGATCGGGATGCGGAAACGATTCATCGGCATTGCTGGCAATGAACAGACAACCAGGATCTTTGACATACGTACAGGCTTTGGTCAACTTCGGAAACGATATCTGATTGTCAAAACCGACGACCACTGCCCCAACATCGGGATCAATGTCTACTTCGGCCATTCCGGGTGTCCAGTGTCTGGGTGTAAAATCAGGTCCAACACCCATCGATTCGATACCCATTTCGGCCAGTTCGCCGGCAATACCCGATTGGCCGACAATGAAAACTTTGCGCTCGAAACCGATTGACTTCAGATAGACGGCCGTCGAATAGGAAGTGGGAAACAGTTCGTCCAAATCGGCTTCAAAACCGAGTTTCAGTAGTTTGTCGTGAAATTCGTAACGGGTTTTCGTACTGTTGTTCGTAGCAAAACATACCCGTTTGCCTCTCGACCGCAGGTTATTGATGGCCTTGGCTGCACCCTTGACGGCACCATTGTTTACCCATAGGACACCATCGCAATCGGATAATATAAAGTCAAACTTGTCCAGAAATTCCTGGACCCGTTCCTTACTGTCCAAATTGATTGGCGTTACCGGAGCTGGTGTCGACTGTTTTTTCCGCTGCTGTTGTTGTCGTTGACCGGCGATGGCGGCACTCATCAGACGATTATTCTTCAGATTCATCTGATTGTTGAAATCGTTTTCCAATTCATAGGTAGACATGATTTTTTGGTAGTTTTTCAATAGTTTTCAACAAAAAATATTTATAATTAATAGCAAACAAAATAAATTGATACTAAAAATATATATATAGTTTTAGTTTATAATTATAATAAACTTTTTTAGTAAATCAATTGAAAGTATTTTTGAAAAGTTTTTTTTAAATAACAACTAAATGATTAGTTAGTCAGTCAGTTAACAAATGATGATTTTTATGGCCATAAACGATGGTCTTATATACTAAACAAAAAAAAATCCTAACCTATAGATCGGAAGTCATATTATACAGATTTGTTAGACACTACAGGGGTATACACTGTACATACATGTGTGCATCAAAGTACAGTACAATGTATGGATAGTATAGATATATTAATGGGTCGGAAAAAACTTTTCCATCATTTATTTAACACTAATAGATAGGACAGGTATTACAAAAGTTATGTATGAGTTAGAGATAATAAAGAGAGAGAGAGAGAGAGAGAGAGAGAGAGAGAGAGAGAGAGAGAGAGAGAGAGAGAGAGAGAGTATGTACTTTCATAYACACACATACAATCACGAGGAGATTGGCGATAGGAAAGGGAGGGTAGAATAGTTTGCCCCCATTCCCTACACGTGTATAACATTGCCCCCTCCTATAGTTATTTAGGATGTCTAAGTCGAGGATTAAATGTTTATATATTTAATGAATACTAATTTTTATATTAGTTTTATATTGATATATACAACAAAAATAAAAAGTTTATAATTACTACTACTACTACTACTACTACTACTACTACTACTACTGTATTATAATTTATAATAGCAAACTTTTAATAGTATTAACTTTACTTTATTTGGATACTGTAGTTGTAATTTTAATTAAATATTAATTTTATTTAATACTCTATTATATATACACAGTAGATAGTATCATCCAGATTATTTTACTATCAAAAAAAATTATAAAATAAATATATATAAAAATTTAGAAACTTTCCATTATTAATTATTAATAATATTAATATTATGGGTATTTTACAGTACATTTACATTCATTATAAAATTTATAACATTTTTTTTTTGGTGCAATATTTATTTATTTATTTTAAAAACTGATTAAAACTACTAATCATAAAATTTAATAATAATAAGAAAACATTTATTATTTTTGATAATAACTAAATTAATTGGGGGAGGAAAGGGGGATGAGTGTGTGTGTGTGTGTGTGTGTGTGTGTATGTGTATGTGTGTAAGTGATAATAATATTAAATTTTAGATAATTGTATCTATATAATATTTTTTTATTTTATAAAAATTAGATATATAGTAAAATAATTAATTAATTAATTAAAAAATATATATAAAATATATATAATTTAATGACAACTAAACTGTAATATCTATTATAGATTTCATAAAAATATAGTAATTTTTTATAATAATTATTATTATTATCTAAAGTGTCTCTTAAAGTTTAAGTGTCTTTAGAAAAAAAAAATATTTTAGTTTTTGAAAAAACAATTTTATTGAACTTTTTATTTTATTTATTGTTTGATTAAGTTTTTTTTTGTTGTTGTTATATATTAATATTTATTTATTTTTTTCATAATACACATGTATCTCATACACGTGGGTTCATTGCTATTAAATATTTTATATATATTATACAACAACAAAAAAGTTTATTAGGTATCCCCTTATATTATTAATGGTGTATATCTTGATGTATATAAAAATAAATAAATTGAAAATAAAAGATTTTTAACCCACAAACTATAGAAATCAATGACATAGAAATATAAATAAATAAATAAATACAAACACACACACACACACACACAAAATATATTATATTATATTTTATACTAATAGGAAAATTCCCGTCAAATTTATATATTATTATCAAAAAAAAAAATCATTTTTGATTTTTATTTATTAATTATATTGAATTATTATATAGACATTTGCACAGTAGACTTGAGTTCAAGGATACAAAACATAAGGAGTAGTTGAAGTGTGAAGGACTGGTAGTTTTATATTTAGATATATTATATATATATTTTTTGCTGAAAACTGGATATTATTTAATATTATTATTTAGAGGATTGAAATTTATATATAATATATAGTTTTTTAAAAAATACTAAAATAAAAAACAATAATAAACTTTTTTGTTAGCATGCATATCAAATATTTAAATATTTTATTTTATTAATAATTTTTAATTTTATTCAAAATTACTTGTTATTCAAACAACTATTGGAAACCAACAAAAAAAATTATGCAAATATTATTGGGAATTATTAGTATATAAAATATGTTTTCTAAAAAAGTAAAAAATATAAATTTTTAGTTTAATATTACTTTATTATTATAATATTATTATTGAATATTCATTTTCAAAAACAAATTTATATTTGAATAAAACTTATGAATTCATACAAAACTATTAAAATCATATAATGTTAATAATATTATAACAAACAAACAAACTATGAATAAAATATTGAATTAAAATATTTGTATGTTTTTATTATTCAATAGTAATAAAAATTAAAAATGTTTTTATTTTTTAAATTTTTGTAAATATGTTTATGAATTCTGATTATTATTATTACTTATGTTATTTATAGTATAATTTACATTAGTTTTAATATATTTGTATAATATTTATATAATAATTATTTAAATATAACTTAATGTTATTTATTTAGATTTTTTTATTTTGATTAAAAAAATTATTATTTAAACTATTGTACTGAACTTAGTTGATATGTTTTTTATTATATAAATAATATTTATTAAATATATTCATTTAAAAAAATAAAAAATCAGTTTAATATTACTTAATTATTATTATTATTGAATATTCATATAAAACATTAGGAAAATTACAATATTTATGGACAAAAAATATTATTTAATTATAATAATAATATCAAATCTATTCAATACATTTGTTTGATTTCTTTATTTTAAAAATTATAAATATTATTGAAATATGTGTTTAATTTTTAAATAATATTTTTGTTTTTTTTAAAAATTCAAATTACTTCAGCAAAAATTTTATTATAAACAATAAAAATATTTATAATAATGTGTTTATATAAGTGTGTGCATATATAATATATAATTATATATTATATATGTTTGTGTTTATAATGTAATAATTTTAATGCATATCATTGTACGGTAGTATACTAGTAATGTAAATATTTTTTATTATTAAACAAAATTATAATATAATATTACCGTACTCATGTAATATTTTATTAGAAATAATTTTAATTAAAAAAATAAACTTACAATTTTTTTAAAACTATATTTTTATACATGTACTGTGCTAAATAAATTATAAGATTATATAGTTCATGAAAAAATATATATATACAATGAATATGATTAATAAACATATATCAACTGATTAATTATAATACAGTATATACGGTATATATATATATTATTGATAGATATATATATAACATATGATATAATATTATAGAATATATTATCAATGAAATTCTTGTCTATTAATCATAATTATTATTAATATAAAAAATTTTCCATTAAAACAGATTCTGTAATAATCTTGAATATTATAATATATTGAAATACATATAAAATTTTAAGGAATAATAGATTGTTTCAGTTTATTTATTTTTATGTTTTTTTAAAAAAAATATATTTTGTTTACTGTTAGATCATAGCAACTAATTAATTAATTATTTTATAATCAATTTTTTTTGACAGTAAATAATATTTTTAATTTAAAAATATGAATATATAAACCAATGATGTGTTAGACAACATTTCTAGGTTATAGTAGTAGTAGTAGTAGTTGTACTCTATTGAGTTGGTCCTACAAAATAATATATATATATATATAAAAGAGTTTTTACTACCACTAGTCTCAAGGATACACGTGTAGTAACTATCCCCACAGCTACCCCCTATCGCCCCCCCTGTTTGGTGATGGGAGGAGGGGAGGAGGGAGTCCGGAATGGGATGACTCAGTCAGCCTATAGTAACACAATTTTTTTTTTAAATTGAAACTATCAATAATACAGTATAGTTATGTACTGTAGTACAGTATATAGTTTATATACCTTTATATATATAAAAAAAAAATAAATAAATATACTGTAATACGTGATGTTATTAATAAAATACAGTAAATTATATAAATATATATAAATTTTAATATATTTGATATACAGTATAATATTAAGTATAAAACAAATACAATACTAAATATTATCAAAAAAAAAATTATAATTACAATTAATAATAATAGACTATTATTTAATGTGCTATTTATTATTGCATAGTTATTTCTAGACTGTTAACAAATGTAAATAAAATATCAAGTGTTTATTATTATTATAATTATAGAATAAATAAATAAATATTTTATTACAAATTTATTATTATTATTATTATTAACATATATGAAATTTTTTTTTAAAAATTTAAATGCACTTTTATTATATTATTATTTTGTTATTATTAAAATATATTGTAAAAAACTAAATTGTATTAAAATAAAAAGTAATAAATAAATAAACTGTAAAAATCACCCAAACAAACAAATATTTATCAGTTTAAATAACATTATGAAATTTTTATTTAAAAATAATTTAGACTAAATATAACTTATTAATGATTGATTTTTTTTGGATTTAATCCATAAATAAAAGCCAGACAACAACAAAATATTATTATTTTTTTTTGTTTTTTGTTAAAATTATTTGATAAATATAAAAATAGAAATAAGATATTTATAATTATATTTATATATATATTATTTAGATGTTTGCCAAATAATAATAATACAGTATATAATTGTAAATATATATATATATATATATAAAATAATATATATATATATACTGTATATTGAAATTCTGGTAAACATTTCCGTCAAAAAAAAACATAACAATAATATTTGAAAGTTTTTTTTTGGAAATTATTTTATAGTAAACATTTAAACCTATTTACTGTATAATTAAGTTATTATTGTAATAAAATATATAATATATATTATTTTTCTTAAATAAAAACTACTATTGAAATACGTGTCAATAATAAAATAAAATAACAAAATTGTGTATTAAATTACAAATAAACAAAAAATAAAATAAAAAGGGGTTTCCGTTCAGCCAGTGATCACGCATTCAGCTTATAATATATTTTCAGTTATTATTATTATTATTATTATATAACTAGTATTTTTTAAGTGTTAAGGGATTTTAAATATACATACAAATAGACTGTTAGACAACTATTTGGCTGAAAAACACGTGATAAGTATGTGATCACCAGTTATTTTTTGATGACATTTTTATATCATATAATATCATATATATATGGACGACATTCCTCAAGATCTGGTAGTTTTTATTTTATATGTATTTGGCTGTCTATGCTGTTGTCACCCTATTTTTATATAAAATATGTAATTGTATATATAATAATAATACAGTATATTATTGTATATATGTTGAATATAATATTGTAATTATAATCTTATTTTTTTTATTTAAATAAAAAAAACTAATAATTCGATCATTATATTGATATTATACACGTGTAGTATATTTTTTTCAATAAAAAATTGTTTTTTATTAATTTTATATATATATATATAAGAATATATAAAACTATATATATCTGATAGTAGTAGTAGTAGTAATATTAGTTTAGATAAAAGATTATATACAGTATTTATTTTATGCAAAAATAACAAATTTCTACTAATAAGGAATATTAATGGAAAATTTCCAACAAAAATCTTTTAATTCAAAAAGTTTTCAAAAGATTTTTAATTGAGGCTAAAGTGCATATTAATAATAATGATTTTAATTATGTATATAACTTTTACTGTAAAATACTATAATATATTATTATTCATATTTATTTTATTTTATTTTTTTGATAAATTCATGATTTTAGGTGCAAAAACTTTTCCATATTATCCAACAACAAAAAAAATCAAATATTTAATAAAAATTATTATTATCTTAAAAAAAATCAATTGACAACTTTTTTTTTTCTTTTTTATATTTTAAACGAAACAAATTTTGAAACAAATAGTTTTATATGTTGTAAACAAGGGTTTTATATTATATATTATATATAAATTTTATAGATATAAATAAAATTGTATGTGTATATATTATATTATCAATTTGTATAAATAAATAAATAAATATACAGTAATTTATTTGTGTGTTTATTTATAATAATAATAATAGCACACACATACACATACACATACACATACACATACATACACACACACACACACACACAGTGTATGTGTAATATAACTACTTTTAACTAACTTTATTATATTACAGTATACTGTATACAAGTTATTGGCAAAGTTTATTATACGGGTGCACGTGGTCTAAAACTGATAGTCTATCCCCCCTTTTTATTTTGAAACGACATCCCCATCCCATTACGTGAGTAATATTAGGTATACACCCTCGACAGCAAGCAGTTATTCCCCCTTATCTCTCTCTCTCTCTCTCTCTCTCTCTCTCTCTCTCTCTCTCTCTCTCTAAACAGAGTCAAAAAATCCGGTACTTAAGGGACTCTGAAATTGCATTTCAAGTCATTAGTTTTGAAAAAACATTTGACTCTTGAAATAATTTAAAAGTTTTTTTTTAAACAAATTTCATTGAAAAGAAAATAACTTTTTAAAAAAATTATTACTTGAAAACCACTAAACAGTGATCTGATTTGAAGTTCAATAGCAATAACATCAACAAAAATAATTAACTGTAAGTTTTTTTTGAATATAAAAGTTATTTTAATTTTTTTTAAATAGTCAAACATATACTAAATTTTTATTTCCTCCCTCTCTCTCTCTCTCTCTCTCTCTCTCTCCTAAAATGTTTTTTATAGCAAAATGTGTGAACAAATAATTGGCGAAAACGAAATCCTGTCGACAATGAACAACAAGACATTATCATCATCGATGGTAACCAAAGAGGTCGGACTGTGCCAGTCGTACGAGCGCCGTATGACTGAATATATGACATCCGTACCCCATATACCGCCTACACTGTTTGAACTCAGGCTCCGACACAACGAAATCAAAACCGATATTATCAGACAATATAAAAACAATACCATCAGCAGCACCGGTATCAACAACAAACAGTCGCCCCCATCGACGGCTGCATCGGTCAGCAAATTGGATAATCTGATTGAAAAAGTCTATCAAAATTTGGCCAAAAAAAATATCAAAGAGTATAAGACATGTCAGGCCGGGTTCATCATTGGCTGGAAGTGCAATACAAACAAACCATCCAAACCGACTGTCCAGTCCAGTGACGATAGGTTTTAATTAAAATTAATTAAATAATAATTAATTAACTGATTTTTTTGTGGATATATCCTATCATATATTTCACTCATATATTATTAATAATTTTATTGCCATAAATATATTTTTTTTGTGATGACCTATTGATATTAATATTATATTATTATTAATACTATTATAACTTATTAATAATAGTGAGTGTGATTTCATAAAATTGTAAATAATTATTATTTTTATTTTGTTAATATTTAATTATTATTATTATTATCAATATATCTGATTTATATTAAATATATATTTATTTATATATATATATTAAAATATGATTATTATTATTATTCAATGCCAATGTTTTAATTTTTTAGTTAGACTTTTATTGAAAATGTAAAGTCATTTATTGTAAATACTTTATATATTTATATATATATGAAAAACAAAATATATGTTCAGATTAAATGATTTTACAGAAAATATTATATTGTATTTTTAATTTTTATTATTTTAATTCAATATATTAATGTTAAATTAACATTAAATCAAAAAAAATTGTCTATAAAACAAATAATAATATTTTATACAGTAATACAAACTAATACAATACAATATATTTAAAATGTGATAATTATTATCAATAATAAATTTAAAATTTTTATTTATAACCTAATGTTATATTCAGTATTAACTTATTATTATTATTGATGCAAACATTGATGCGTTCAATAATTAATTGATAATAACTTATAAAAAACCAGTTAAGAATGCTAGAAAGCATTATTAGAAAAAAAAACTTGAATATCATAAATATGTTGAAACCAAATAGTTGGTATAATTATATAGTATTAATTTATATAGTAACAAAAATAAAAAACTGGTAAAATATACATAATTTAAATAATGTTATGTAGGTTATCTAATGACTCGGTATGACAAAATAAACTCAACCATAGTCATGTAGGGTATCAAATGACTCGGAATGACAAAATAAACTCAACTATAATCATGTATGGTATCAAATGATTCGGTATGACAAAATAAACTCAACTATAGTCATGTATGGTATCAAATGATTCGGTATGACAAAATAAACAACCATAGTCATGTATGGTATCAAATGATTCGGTATGACAAACAAAACTCAACTATAGTCATGTAGGGCATCAAATGACTCGGAATGACAAAATAAACTCAACTATAGTCATGCAGGGTATCAAATGACTCGGTATGACAAAATAAACTCAACCATAGTCATGTAGGGTATCAAATGACTCGGAATGACAAACAAAACTCAACTATAGTCATGTAGGGCATCAAATGACTCGGAATGACAAAATAAACTCAACTATAGTCATGTATGGTATCAAATGATTCGGTATGACAAAATAAACTCAACCATAGTCATGTAGGGTATCAAATGACTCGGAATGACAAACAAAACTCAACTATAGTCATGTAGGGCATCAAATGACTCGGAATGACAAAATAAACTCAACTATAGTCATGTATGGTATCAAATGATTCGGTATGACAAAATAAACAACCATAGTCATGTAGGATATCAAATGACTCGGAATGACAAACAAAACTCAACTATAGTCATGCAGGGTATCAAATGACTCGGTATGACAAAATAAACTCAACCATAGTCATGTAGGGTATCAAATGACTCGGAATGACAAACAAAACTCAACTATAGTCATGTAGGGCATCAAATGACTCGGAATGACAAAATAAACTCAACTATAGTCATGTATGGTATCAAATGATTCGGTATGACAAAATAAACAACCATAGTCATGTATGGTATCAAATGATTCGGTATGACAAAATAAACAACTATAGTCATGTATGGTATCAAATGATTCGGTATGACAAAATAAACAACCATAGTCATGTAGGGTATCTAATGACTCGGAATGACAAACAAAACAACTATAGTCATGTAGGGTATCAGATGATTAATATAATGAAATAAACAAATATAATCATGTTTGGTATTAAATGATTTAGTATAACAAAATAAACAGTTAAAATCATACTTTTGCTGCCATTTTTTTAAAAATTAATATAATTTTAATCTATTATATCTTATTTTTAATACTATATACAATTCTAAGCGCTAAAATTTACCTTAATTTTTTATACATTTGTCACCATTTTTTTAAAAAAATAATTTTAATTTATTATATCTTATTTTTGATGCTCTATACGTTAAAATTTTTACCTAATTTTTTTTATTTTGGCCGCCATTTTTAAAAAAATAAAAAAAATAATTTTAATTTATTATATCTTATTTTTGATGCTCTATACAATTCTAAACGTTAAAAATTTTACCTAAATTTTTTTTTATTTTGGCCGCCATTTTCTCTATGTTCCCGAAGAGATATCAAAATTTTAATGCATATTTTTATGCTTGCTTTTGATGCTCTATTCAAATTTATACTTAAAATATTTTTTCTTAAAATTTTCTTTACTTTGGCCGCCATTTTCTATATGTTCCCGAAGAGATATCAAAATTTTAATGCAACTTTTCAATACATTATTAGTAGTCCTCTAACCGAATCTGAAGTCAGAATTTCAAAATTCGCAAAAAAAATGCTACACACACACACACACACAAAAAAGGCTCGTATAGATTTCAGAAAACAAAACTTTTCAAGTTTTTTTTGAAAATAATTTTATTTTTAATTATTCATATACTGTAACTACTGTAATGTTATATTAAAAATAAATATAATTTATAAATAATTACAGTAAAACTCATAAGACATTAAAATTTCATTATTACAATAAAATATTTTATTTGCTATTTATTTTTGAAGAATATTACAGTATTAATAATAAGTTAAAACAATTTTATTTTATTTTTTTATAAATAAACAAGTAACATTTGATAATATGTTATAACTTATATAAAATTAGATGTTTTATATATATATATAATATTTAATTTAATTTAACAACAAGGAAGTTTTCCACACAAAAAAATAAAATTAAAATATAACATAACATAACGTTAATAATTATACCAAAAAATAATTAGTAAATTATCAAAGATATACAAATTATATAATAATAATAATTTTATATCAAATTTTTTATACTAGACTTTTTTTTATAGTTATAATTATTTATTTAAATAATAATAATATCACTAATAATTATAGTTAAAGTTTGACAAACTAGTGGTTGGATTGGATATATATACGGTATATATAAATACAGTTAGTTTTATCATAATATTAGTAATAATAATAATAATGAAAATAATATTAATAGTAAAGACTTTATGTTTATTGGCTGATGTCGTGATGTCGTATGAGCTATACTACCACTACTACCACTACTACCATAGCTATCAGCACTGGATGAACAAACTTTTGAGGACAGATAGTAACCATCGCACTGTCTGTTCATTATGGCAACAGCATCGGCATCGATGGGCAACTTTTCAAATGCCCGGGCCTCCCTGATGCCACACTCGGGTTGACGCGATCGGGCAGCCCTGGCAAAACAATGTTGGGCCCGCAATACCCCACAACAAGTGGCCCGTTTGACCGGTTCGGCCGACACATTAAAATCGTACCTTTCCATGGCCTGTTGTACCCCGTACCTGTACAAATTGGTACAACGGGTTATGTACGGTTCCATACTCAGTTGACATTGGGGATTATGGCTCAGGTCGACAGTACCCAGGTCTATTTCGGGAAACTGTCCACACTGGGCACCTCCTCTAGTGGGCCATTGTCCCGATTGATTAGCGCACAGTACTAATAGACATTGAAATCCTATAACTATTAGCCAATTATTATTGTTTGTCATTAAAATAATTAATTAAATAATTAATAAGGTTTCACATAAATTTAATTTTTAATAAATTTAGTTATTATTGAATTGAATTGAATTTTTTTTTTTTAATCACTTCAATTAACAGTGTTTTTCTCTCATTTATTTATTGATATATATATATAAAGTATTAATTATTTATTTATATTTATATTTGTATTTTTTGTTGGATAATAAAACACAATTGCAATAACACTTTTGTTTAAAAAATGCTGTAATATATAAGATATTGTTAAGTCAACATTTATTACCACATATTAGAAAATTATTATTTTTTTTGAAAAAATTTACACTAATAAAATAAACATAACAAAAAAATTATATTATTATTATTATTATTATTACAACAGTATTATTACAATTATTAAAATTAATGACTAAAATGGTGTTAACTAAAAAAATAAATAAATAAAATCTAAGTGTTATTTTGTTAATTAGTTTAATTAAAACTAATAAAAACTAATATATATATATAACAGTACACGTAATAGTATCGTTATCGAGATATATTCAATATATATATATATCTATTTATATATGAGTAATAGTTATACATATTATTATTATATTGAATATATATTTAATAAAATGATATACAAGGACATCAATTGTGAACCAAAAAATATTAAAAATAAAATAAAAATCATATAAATTATATCACACACAAAAAATATAAGTTTTTCCAGCAGTTTCTTTTAGTGTCAAATTATCACTGATAATGTCAATTATTATCTATTATTTTTTTCTTGTTGTTAGTTATACTGTAGATGAGAGAGAGAGAGAGAGAGAGAGAGAGAGAGAGAGAGAGAGAGAGAGAGAGAGAGAGAGAGAGAGAGAGAGAGAGAGAGATCATCAAAAAAATGTTGTTAACTAAAAATAATGATTAATTTTCTGTTTAATACACAGTGTAGAGGGGAATAGTTTTTATGTTTATTTACGATATATAGTATATTATATATATATATATATATATCTAAATATATAATATTTTTTTTCTCTCTCTCTCTTTACTCTAAATAAGTTATTTTTTGTTGTTTATCATAGATTAACATTAATTTTTTCATTGGACTAAAATAGGAAACAACATATATATATATATACTATATATATATTCATAATATAAATTTCATATTATGTTTAATATAATTTTTAGTGTAATTTTTTTTAGTCATCACTATATGTGTATTGCATTATATAATACTGTTATTAATAACTTATACTTTGATGAAATGTTTGCCAAAAAATGTTAATCTTTGAAAATACAGTACAAATAATAATGTTTATCTGTATATACAGTATAATATTTGTTTAAAATATTGTTTGATTTATTATATAATATTTAATTAATTAATTAATTATTATTATATACCAATATTTTACATATAAAACTTAATTATTTAAATTATTAATCTTGAAAAAATAATTTTAATTTATTATATTTATAAAAACATTTATAAATTGATTTACTTGTGTTTTGTTGTTTAACTTATAATTTATTTAATTAAATAATATTTTGTGTGTGTATAACAAATCTAATCACTATTTTTTAAAATAAAAATTAAAAAAATTGATTCAATATTTATTAGACAATATTAAATAATTTAATTGAAATGCATAGAAAACAATGATTTTATTTAATTAAATTAATTGTTTGAATATAACTATTGATAAAAAATAGTTTAATTAAAACAAAAAAATTGGATTTGAAAATCTGTTAATTAATTAATTAATGAAATTTAATTACCAAACAAACAAATAAATAACAAACAAATTTTGAAAATTAATTAAACTTTATTACATTTTTATTTTATTTTTTAATTATCACAAAAAAAAAATATTTACAATATCTTATCTAATATTAAAATGATAATACATTTAAAGTAAAATTTTTAAAAACTATTTTATTAAATTAATTAAAGTTTTATACACATATATTATATGATGTGCTTTTTAAAAAAAAAAATTAAATATCTCCACATTTAAAAAAAAATAATAATAATTACAATATTATTTTAAATACAATAAATTAATTAAATGTCAATTAATGTTAAAATTAAATTCAGGTTTTTAAAAAAAATCAATGAAGAAAAACAATACTAAACAATCAAACATTCAAACAAAAAAAATTATTGATTTAATTTAAATGATTTAATGAATTAGACAACAATCGGACCGTAAATGTTGTCGAAATATTTTCTGTCAATTTCTTTATCATCGGCGCCGCCGTCGCCGCTGACATGACTACTGTCCAGGTCTTCGGTGGTGTCCATTTCGGCGATATGTTCGGTAATAATAAGATTGGGTTCCCGATTAGTGGTCACAATCATCAAATGATAACGGATTATCAGAAACGGCAACATAAACGGTATGGCAAAGAACAATGTCATCCGGAGTCCAATTAGTCGCGATTTCATATAGTTTAACGACTCGTATGACTAAATAATATAAAATGATTGAATAGATAACCAGATTATTAGGTTTTTTTTAAGGTTTGATTGATTGGCTAACTCTATCGCTTCCGCCCCCCCCCCCAACACCTACCCGACCACTGATACCCAATTCATTGATATCGTTGTTGTCGTTGTTGTTGTTGGCACTGCTCTTCCAGCCTCTAGACATCATCATCAGCTTCTGGATGTCGGCAATGTCTTTCATAACCGTATTGAATGTATTCAATAGTACCGGTAGTTGTCGTCGACCTACTCCTCCTCCTCCTACTCTTCCTCTTAGGTTTGAACGCAACGACAATATTGACCACATTATCAGTCAGTCAGCGATAAAATCCAGATTACAATTAATTTTTTATTTTTAAGTTTAATTTTATTATAATCCAAAAACAAACAAATCAATTGCCAATTATTGAATTACCAAATTATCAATAGTTTTATTATACAACAAAAAAAATCAAACTGTATTTGTGTCTCGCGATTATATATATCTATATATTATAGTATTATGCGATTATAGTTACAGTATTTCATTAATTAATATGAAAAAATAAATAAATAAAAAAAACAATTACCGTAAATGTCAAATAGTTTAACTAAAAAAATAATTTAATTACCAGAAATTAATTAATTAATTTATTTTATATAAATTATATTTTAATTTAGATATTAAACAATTACCGATAAAAAAATTTGATATTTTTATTTTTAATTCCAAAAAATTTGTATAATGTATACAATTATTGATAGTTTTGAATTAAAGTTTTAAAAAATTATTTTAGAATAAATATATTTTCAATATAATAATAATAGTTAATAATTAATAACAATTTAGTTATAATAATAATAGATAAAAATTTATTTATTTTTGCAATAATTAATATAATTTTTTTTCGCTATTATTAGTATTATATTTAGTATATATATAAATAAAGTTATATAAATATTCTATACTAATAATACTGTAGTATTACTACTGTATATAAATATAAGCAAATTTTATTAAAACATTATTTTTTTTTTAAAAATAACTATTAATAGTAAAATATAAAAATCTATCTACTACAAATAAATATTTGATTAACAAAAAAATATATATAATATAAAAAAAATTTCAACAACATTATTAGTAATAAAATTATTTTAACAACTTTGATAAATACTCACTCATAACATAATTATTGATAATCGTAATTATGATTATTGTAAAATATATAATTAGTGGGTAAACATTATTACTAATAATTATGTTAATAATATTTAAAAATAAATTAATTAATTAAAACTTGATCATCATCAATTTATTTGCCCATGCCCAGGTGCATTATCCGTCTAAAAAATGTTGGACCATTCCAGATACCCCTGGTGCAAAAATTTTAAAAAATAAACAAACAAAAAATGTTATTAATAAATACTAATAATAAATTATATGTCAGTGTTTTTAAAATTATCGGGTCTCATATATATATTAATATTACGGTATATCTATATAATAATATAATAATAATTATCTATCAATATCATATAAAGTACTGGATATTAGGGTAATTTTTTTTTTAAATATACCGGTAATTATCTACAATAATAATTGCATTATTATTTCACACACACATACTATTGTAATCTAAAACATTGCATCCATTGGTTATTATAACCCTAACTACAGATACTAAACACACACACACACACACACACACACACACACACACACACATACATATATACACATACACACACATACATACATACACATACACATACGTACATACATACACATACATACATACACACAAACACACACACAATGTACGGTAAGTACGGTATCGGGAGATCCCGATAATTGGTAACTAATTTATTGTTGGGCTCATGTATTACTTCAATAGGCCGTTCCAATACATTTGTGGCATCAGTTCTTTTTTCATAAAATACATCGAACGGCGTTCCTTTGACTGATCCACGGGAAACGTTTCCAACGGTTCCAGATTGTAGTCGAATTCGGCTAAAATACATTTATCAAAACCGGTAACCAATGGACACGATGTATAGCCATCGTATCGGGCATAGGGTTTCTGGCCACGCATAGTGGCCAACAAATTACGTGATACAACCCCTGTCTGACCGGCTACGGCAGCCGCAGTTTTCGATGTTGGCGCACTGGTACAGTCGCCGATACCGTAAACGTTCGGGTATTTCAYATGTTGTAGTGTTTCCCGATCGACGGCCATATAGCCGCCCGATTGTTCCGTAGCCAATGAGTTGGCCACTATTGGCGGTGCACTCATCGGCGGTGTTACGTGAAGCATATCGTAACGGAAACGCCTGAGCTCTTTGGTCTGCAAATGTTCGAACACAGCCTCCCGTTTGTCGGCCACCACTTCGACCAGATTGTGCCAATGGTTGACCTGAATGTCCCGCTCTATGCATATCTTATTCAATGCTTCGGCATATTTCGGTACACCAAATATAACGCCYAGCGATGTATTATATGTTATGTTAATTTTGTCCCGAAGTCCACTCTTTTTGTTGTCGTTGTTGTTGTCATAAAAGAGATAAAGTATTTCATTATTGATTTAATTATTTTTGCAAAAAAAAGTGATAATATTTTTTTTAAAGCTAAAAATTCATGATTTCAAATGCTATTTCATAATATTATTAATTACTGGTAAATGTATTGAAAGTTCAATGTTATAGCAATTATCATCCAAATTGAACTGATATATCGTTATATTAATTGATAAAAAAAAAGTTTTATACGATATATTGAATATTAGTACCGGTATATCAATTGTTACCGTTTTGAAGGTCAAGGGGAATGTCTACTCTACAGGTAAGCCATCAACAGATTAACAACAGTTAAGTACCGGTTCTATGGTTATCACTATTACTACTACTGACTAATACCGTATACTACAGTAGTATGCGGTATGTATCGGTAAATCAACTGTCAAAATACCTGTCGCCAGTGGGCGTCCGCCAAATACATGATCTTTTGGGGTGCGCCGGCACACTTGATACTCGTATTGGGAAACGTAAAGATGGCTGTCCCGCCTGCCGGTACCGACTGAATAGCTGGCCATGTTTTCAATACCGTTTTCGGCGAATAATTGGAACAAACACTGGCCGATTGATCCAATGCATCCTCCAGTCCCTTGACTTTATGCCAATCAAGTTGTATACCCGCAGCCACCAGCAAGTAATCGTAGCTAATCAGGCCGTTAGCACCCGATAGCCGAACCCGATTGTCGTCCGGTTCGATGGCTACGACACGATCGCGTATCCATTTAACCTTTTTGGGCATTACACTGGCCATCTGCCGACCCGATTGATCGATAGTTTTGATGCCGGCTCCGACCAATGTCCACATTGGCTGATAGTAGTGCATCTGTTATGGAGTTAACGATGACCGCGAAGATAGATAGAGTGGTTAGCGGGTTATCAATCAATCAATCAATCAATAGATAGGATAGGTTATACCTCTGCCGGCTCGATGACGGCCACCTGACCCTTGTTCATTGAGGCCAATACTTCGGTAAATTTGGATGCAACCGATAGACCGCCGGCACCGGCGCCGACAACTACCAGATGATAGTGATCCTTGTTTTTAGGCGCCGCCGCCGTCGATGTTGCAGTAGATGAGGCATATCTTGAGGCCAGTAATTGCCGACAATTAGTCGCTGACAATACTAGATGTCTTGTCTGCGGCCAGACTAACGAAGAGGACATAACTTTTTTTTTGCTGATTGATTGAGGTATCAGTTGTTTTCAGTCTTCAGTTGTTTCCAGTCTTCAGTTGTTTTTAAGTCTTCAGTTGTTTTTAAGTCTTCAGTTGTTTCCAGTCTTCAGTTGTTTCCAGTCTTCAGTTGTTTCCAGTCTTCAGCTGTTTTTAAGTCTTCAGTTGTTTTTAAGTCTTCAGTTGTTTTTAAGTCTTCAGTTGTTTTTAAGTCTTCAGTTGTTTTTAAGTCTTCAGTTGTTTCCAGTCTTCAGTTGTTTCCAGTCTTCAGCTGTTTTTAAGTCTTCAGTTGTTTTTAAGTCTTCAGTTGTTTTTAAGTCTTCAATTGTTTTCACATTTTATTTAATGATTTTTCAAAACATTTTTCAATACTTCAATGTTTTTGTCAATTAATTACTGTTTGTATTGAAATATACTGTTAAAGTGTTTTATATTATTATTGTTTGTTATTACTGTATGTTGTTATCATTGCATAGCATTTCACAGTATAGTAAGTGTGTGTTTATGTGTTAGTTTAGAGAGCGTTCAGATAAAACATATATATATTCCTTAAAGTAATTTCCATTTGAAATAACTTTATTTAAAATTTTAATATAAATAGGATATAAATTAATATTGAAATTATTATTATTATTTTTTAAAAATATAGTAAAAAGTAATTAAATTAATTATTTTTTTCATTTATTTATAACTATTAAATAAATAATTAGTTATAAATTGTTTTTATATTTTAATTAAGAAATTTAAATTATTATTTTTAATTTGTTGTTGTTTTTTGTTGTTAAAATAAATAATTATTTGTTTTTTATAATTATGTAGTTTTAAGTTTTTCGATAGGCTATAATATGTAATCAATTATATATTTTACTAGTTTTTAATAATAATTTAAATTTTAGTTTAGTTTTCATAATAAATACAGTATTATTATTATCATTGATTGATAGGAAATTTTCGATTAGGAAAATACAATATTATTTGGTAGATAAACTCCCTGTCATATCCTTGAAGATTGTCATTCAATATACAGATATTTATTAATAAAACATTTTTGAGATATAGTTTTTATAACAACTAATATTTTATTTATAATTGAAATGTATTGCTTGACAACCAATTGTACTCAACTTAAGTGCTAAAAGGATTACTTACTGAAAATGCTTACTAAAAAAATATATTATTATTAATATTATTATTAAATATTACAATATATATAAAAAGTTTGATTACTTTTAGTATAATACAACATAAAAAACAAATTTGAACTTCAAATTAGTTATATTTTTAGGACATTTGATAAATTATTAATGATATAAAAAAATATATAATAAAATCGCTATAAATTGTTAATATTTTAATAAAATAATAATTTTTTAAAAAAAATTAGCATGCAGAATATTGTCCAAATTATTTTTTATTTTTTAAATACTAAATATATTTAATTGATTTTTTTATTATATAAAACATGTACAGTATCTAAATTACAACAATTTTATAAATATTGTAAACTTTACAATACATTTACCTGGATGTTAGTAAAAATATAATTGCAATTATTATTATATTTATTTTTTAATTAAAATTGTTTGATTGATATATAATTTTGATGATATGTGATATACAGTATGATAATTGATATATAATGACTTATAATATTTTTTTATTAAGTTTTATTTTATTGAATAAATATTTCTATTTATTAATATATATTGATACAGTATACTTGTAAATTACAAATTGTAATATAAATAATAAAATCATAATTTTTATATTTATTATTTAATATGTTTGCATAATCTAAATACATAATCATAATATTTATTTATTTTTAAAAATAACACATTAATTAATTAATTTAATTAGTTTATCTAAAAGTTCATATTGAATAGTACTGTATATTATAGTTTATCAAAAAAAATTAATTAATTAAATAAATAAATAAACTATAAAATAAATTTAATTTGAAAATTATAATTAAAAAATCAACTATGATATAATTAATTTAATTTACTTTTAATATATATATATTTATATTATATATCATATATATAAATAGGATATAAATTAATATTGAAATTATTATTATTATTTTAAAATGAAAAAAATATAGTAGAAAATAATTAAATTAATTATTTTTTCCATTTATAAACTATTTAAAAAAAACAATTAGTTATAAATTGTTTTTATATTTAAATGGAAATTTTCTTAAATACATAAATAACAATTATTTGTTATTTTTTTAAAAAAAGTATTTTTTTACTTATCATATATTTTATTATATTAGGATTACTTTATCTATTAATTATTATTTTTTAAAATCCATTAAATTGAATATTATTTAATTGATTTAAATTTTTTTTTGTTATTTTGTTTTTTGTTTTGTTTTTTTTTAAATTTTCAAAGTAGTGAACATCGATGTTGTTTCTTGTGTTTGGGTTTCGGACAGAGAACCGCTCGGATGGCTTCGTCGAAGACATTCTTCAGTCCTTTCTGTGACAGTGCCGAACATTCCTGATATTTGGTTGAACCGATATCTTTGGCCATCGATAGTCCCTGAGCGTAGCTAATCGGTAATAGACGACGATCTTTGAGTTTGTCTACTGTTTTCTGATCGTCCCTGAGGTCCTGTTTGGTACCGACCAGTATGATCGGTGTATGCGGACAGTGATGGCTAACTTCGGGATACCACTACGTTTCAGTGGGATGGTAGGGTTATAGAAACAAAAATGATATGTTTACAAATTTTTAGGTGGGTGGGTGAATGGTGGGGTGTTCAGGTTTTATATAACTTCACGCACATGCATACATACATGCATACACACACACACATAAATACATACATACACACACATAAATACATAGATACATACATACACACATATGTATGCATACATACATACACACACATAAATACATACACACACACATATGTATGCATACATACACACACACACACATAAATACATATATATATATATATATATATATATATATATATATATACAAACAATTACACATACATACCTTGGATCTGACGTTTTCAAATGAGGCCGGATTGACGAGTGAGAAGCATATGAGAAACACATCCTATTTTATTTGGAGATAAAATATTTTAATTTTTTTTTAAAAAGTAATATATTTTTATTTTATTAATACATACTGTTTGCGGATAGGATAGTGGTCTCAGTCGGTCGTAGTCCTCTTGACCGGCCGTATCCCATAAGCCCAAGTTTATGGGCTTTCCGTCGACCATAACATTGGCCGAGTAGTTATCAAACCTTTTTTTTATATATTTTTTAATAAACAATTATATAGATATAAATACTTAATATTTTCATATAAAGTTAATTATAATAATATGATATAATAAACTATCATCAAAATACATACAGTATATCATAAGTACTGTATTTTTTTGGTCATCAATTGCTTACAATATACTTACACTGTTGGTATATATTCACCGGGAAATGCATTTGTTGTATAGCTTATCAATAGACATGTTTTACCCACGGCTCTGATAATTAATTAATTGTTTTTTATTTATAAATAATTATTAATTGATTTAATAAATTATATATTAAATACTACTAACAATTACTATTAATAATATTATTATTAGTTTAATACTTACCCGTCTCCTACTACAACACATTTGATGGCTTGCATTGTGTGTATGTATTAATATCAGTAATAATTGTTATGTAATGTTTAGTTAATTTAATAAAATATTTTGTTGTTGATAGATAATTATATTTATTTATTAAAATTAAAAAATGATAAACTACATTAAACAAAAATTTTTATTTTAATAATCTCAAAATATTATTTTTTGTATATACAATACTAACATCATAAGTTGTCATTAAAAATATATATATATAAAAACTGTTTGTTCAGTAGTTTACACATCCAATAGTGTATATAATTTATATTATATAACATAAATAGTTAAATATATATATATAAAAGTCAGTGAATGACGGATGTATTCATAGTTTTTTTTTATGAATATATATATAAATATATATATAAATGTTTTCATTAGTATTGAGGATGTGTTGCAATAATCTGTAAATCAATTTTTATTTTAATATACAAATATAAACTATATATATTTAAAAAATTATTGTATTGTATATTAGAAAAATTTTTAATTGTAATTTGCAATCATAATATTTTACTGTTTACAATATTTGATGTCCTTAAAAATATAAGCCTTAAATGTCAAACATATATATTATTGTATAATAACTAAGACATTATGCCAAACAATTGAAACCTTTTATCCACTATTTTTTTGGTATATTTGTTTCAGTATATTATTATATAACTTAAATCAAAATTAGTACTATTATTATTACTATCTAAATATATATCGGATTATTCAAACATTATCTCATTAATTGATTAAAACAAAAAATTATGTTTAAATTTATAGTTATAATTAATAATGATATAATTAGAAACTTATTATGCATTATAAAAAAATGTTTTATATTGTTTTTTAAATATAATTTGGTTATAACTAATATGTTAGCTATTTGATTGATTTCAAATTTAGAGTGTCTAATCTAAAAAATAAATTAATTAAAAGTTTTAATTATATTTTTAAATATATAATTATTTATTTTCATATTTTACAGTATTATTTTGATTTTTTTGTTTGTTTATTAATTTCAGTATATTATTATTATTATTATTACTTAAATCAAGATTACTACTATTATTATTACTATCTAAAGATATATCGGATTATTCAAACATTATCTCATAATTAATTAAAACAAAAAATTATGTATATTAATAAATCTATAGTCATAATTAATAGTGATTTTAATTTGAAACTTATTATGCATTATAACAAAGTTTTATATTGTTTTTTAAAACATAATTTGGTTATAACTAATATGTTAGCTATTATATTGATTTTAAATTTTGAGTATCTAATCTAAAAAATAAATTAATTAAATGTTTTAATTATATTTTTAAATACATAATTATTTATTTTATTTATTATATATTTTTACAATATTATTCTGATATTTTTTGTTTGTTTATTTATTTCAGTATATTATTATTACTTAAATCAAAATTAGTACTATTAGTAAAAATAGCTAATTTGTTAGCTATTTTATTATGTCTAATAAAAAATTAATTACCGTAATTAAAAGTTTAATTATTATTATATTTTTTAAAAATACATAATTATTTATTTTCATATTTTACAATATTATTCTGATTTTTTTGTTGTTGTCTTTATTTTAAAGATATAAACACTTGTATTGTGTTTTTGTATGTTTAGTTGTTTTCGGACAGAGAACCGCTCGGATGGCTTCGTCGAAGACATTTTTCAGTCCCTTTTGGGACAGTGCCGAACATTCCTGATATTTAGTCGAWCCGATCTGTCTGGCCATCGATAGTCCCTGAGCGTAGCTAATAGGTGTCTGGCGTCGATCCAGGAGTTTATCGACTGTTTTCTGATCGTCCCGTAGATCCTGTTTGGTACCGACCAGTATAATCGGTCGGCCAGGACAGTAGTGGTTTAACTCCGGATACCACTATATCATCGACAGCAGCGGTAYGGGAATGTTGGTTGGTTTGTGTGTGGGGACAGTTAGRTTTAAATGTTAATATCATTAAAAAATCAGGTAATGACTTTTGAGGTGGGGTGGGGTTTAGATGGGATATATATATAAGGCATATATACCTTAGACAAGACGTTTTCAAATGAAGTCGGATTGACGATTGAAAAGCATATGAGAAATACATCCTATTTTTGTTGTTGACATAAAATATGACATAAAGTTTTTGGGGAACAAATTTAGTTGAAAAATAAATGTTTGTTTTTTTTGTTGGTTGTAATTAATTAATAWAATTAATTAATTAATAYATAAWTTTTTWAAAGGATACAATACATACTGTATACGGATAGGATAGCGGTCTCAGTCGGTCGTAGTCCTCTTGACCGGCCGTATCCCATAAGCCCAGACTAATAGGCTTTCCGTCGACCATAACATTGGCCGAGTAGTTGTCGAAACTTTTTTTTRTATATAGTTTTAAATATGAAACAAAATGTTTAAAACAATAACATTAATATTTTAACCGATATATATATATATATATATAAATTTATATTAGTATAATAATTATCAAAATAATTTATTTTTTTAATTTTTTACTTTTAATTTTTGTAATTACTTACACTGTTGGCAGATATTCACCGGGAAATGCATTTGAAGTATAGGCCATCAATAGACATGTTTTACCCACGGCTCTGATTATTATTATTATTATTTTGTATTGTTTGAAAAATTATTAATAATTTATTTAACACTTATTATTATTAGTTTAATACTACACTTACCCGTCACCGACTACAACACATTTGATGTCTTGCATAGTATGTATGTTATTATTATTATTTTATTTAAATCCCAGATTACAAAATAAAAAAATAGTAAATTAAAAATAAAATATTAATCTAATTAATAATTTTTAATTTTTAATATTTACTATCATCTAAAAAAACTACATTAAAAATCAACTAATAATAATATTACTAATAATAATAATACCATAAGTTATYATAAAAATTGTATATAAAAGTCTCGAATGTATTTCTAATGTTTTTTTCTAAAATGTTTATTTGCATTGAGGATGTAATGTAATAATAATAATAATCTGTAAATCAATTTAATTAAAAAAAACATATATTATATAAACTATAAATAAATTTATAAAATTCAATATACAGTATACAATCATAATACAAATAAAAATATTGTTTTGAGAAAATGATTTTATTTTTAGAAACATTAATTATGTTATATATATATTTCCTATAAAATAATTACATTAAATATTTAAAAATATCAATTGTTTTTTAAAAATTTATAATTATATAACTTATATGATAATTGTTTAGTTTGGCTTATAATTTGTTATAACTATTTTTAAAAAAATAAAAATTAAATTATATATATATATATATATATATATATATATATATATATATATATACTGTAGATTATATAACAAAAAATATCAAATTTATAGTTTATTTATAATTTTTAAAAAAAACTATTAAAGGATATACTGTAAAACTACTACTGTATTGAAAAATTATTTTTATCAGTCATATACATACATACGATATAGACTTTATTATTATATTTACTATGATTTCTCTATAACTAAAATATTTTCAATTTTTTAAAAATGTATTACATTTACAATAATAAACCCTATCTAATAAGGCAAACAAAAATATAGGACAACCATAGTGGCCAAGTAATAACTATTAGACCTAATAAAAAGTATAGTAGTCTATGTTTTGGTGGTCCATCACCACCAGCCGTACCGTCACCAGTACTCAGGGCTCGTTGTTTGATAACATGTTTGGCAACCATTTTCCTATCCCATACCAGTCCCAGTCGGGCAAACAAATCRATRAAACCGGTAGTCATATTGAAATTATCTGTCCAACCATATTCAGAGGCCGAGTAGTCCCAGGGATATCTGTTTTTTGTTGTTGACAGTATATATATATATATATATAAAGAGATTATCTCTTAATCTCATAGATAATMATTAGATAAAATTTTTATGTTATATTTGTTTTAATTGTTAGGAATTTTATTAGTTGCTAATAATGTTGTTATAAACTGTATATTAATAATACAGTAATGTATGTAAAAGTTTTTTTTTCAATTGAAAGTATTAATTTTATATATTTTATTATGTAATATGTTATATAATAATTATGACTAAAAATTACAAATAATTAATATTAAATTTTATATATTATATAACTTATTTTTTTAATCATAGCATCCTGTTAGCAATTTGAACAAACAATTATTTAAAAAACATATTTTAATTTCTAAAAATAATAATAATAATATCCTAATTATATTTCTGAAAAAAGTTATCAATTTATACAAAATAAAATAAAACATAATTTTATTTGATATCATATTAATTTATTAAACAATCTATTATACAAAAAAAATGTTATTTGAAACTACGAGAAACTGTAAAGTTTAAATTAAATTAAATATTAATTTTTTATATAGACATTTATTTTGCAATAGATATTACAGTATTATTTTTGGTCATAAATTTATTATTTATTTTTAAATTATAAAAAAAATTAATTAATTAATTGATATCAATATAAACTTACGTATGATGATAGTTATGATAGCCCTCTCCTATTGTCAAATATTGAACCCATATGTTTTCACGGGGCTCTATACGTTTATCGTATGGCCTACAAAAAATCATAATATAATAGCTATAATTATTGTTTGCATAGATAGATACTAGGTAATTTTAATATAATTATTTTCATAATATTATATAGTTTGCTTATTTGAATAGTTAGTATATATACATACACACACATACACACACACACAAATACACACACATAGATACACACACACACACACACACACACACACACACACACACACACACACACACACACACACACAAAAACACACACACCTGGTCCCGGATAAGTGTGCGGCCGAGTTGACCAGCCATGCCATATGCAGGCTCATTATGTAGCGAAAAAAGTTGCCAAACATTGCCCGTATAATAGGTTCGCCCCAAAAATATACCGGCACCGCTATCGGAAATATACCCCATATAATTATTACCTACAAAAAAAATATTACCTATTAATTAGGATTTAATATATATATATATTTATTATATAAATAAAAATACCAGTGGTATATAAAATCGTCGCTGAAACCGGACAATAGGATCGGCCCATACATCGGWCATATCAATACGGCTACCTTTGTCCCGAACTTCCGGGTGTTTCCTGACCAATAGCCAGCCCATATGGGCAAAGAAAAATCCCCGACGGGCATTGTGAGGGTCGGCATCGGTTTCCGAGTATCGATGATGAACCCGATGATCCCGAACCCATTCATAGATRTCGTTTTGCAGCGACAATGTCTGCATCATCATTAGCCACCAGCGTAGCGACCAGTGGGCCCGATAGGATCGATGTGTCCATAGTCGATGGGCACCGGCCAGTACACCGAACGAAGCCCAGTAGGCGATACCATAAGCCCATAGAAATGATTGCCATTTGCCGTATTTGATGCCCAAAAACCAGCCGTAAAAGCCAAACACATGCAATACAGTCATAAYAATAACATTGCGCCAAACAATCTGCAGTTTGTATGACTTTTTCGATATATTATTATCATTTAATTCATTATTATTATTATCTATGGATTTCTCAGTTTCTAACATTATTGCAAAAAATATATATATAATTTTCAATAACAAAAAAATTTAAACTGTTATTAGTTTAGCAACTTATGAAATATGAAAATTACTAAATAAATTATTTGATATTTTTTACATAATTTCTTAACTATTGCCACAATCATTGATTTCAATGTAGTGTCTAATAAATAAATTGAAAGCTTTATTAAATACTTATTCATTTATTTAGTTATTTTTTTGTGATATTTACAACAGTATAGTATCATATTATTTACAATGTTATTAAAAATATTATTTTTTTTATTATAAATGTATAATAATTTAATATTTATATGAAAAGCATACACAATATCTTTGCAAATATTGTATATATATTTTATTATTAGACAATTTTTTTTTGAAAYAAAATCAATTTTTTAAAAAGTGTATGCAAACAAAATTATAATATAATTTATATGCCAATCAATATATATATATATATATATATATATATATCRTAGCACTTGACCTTATTGTTAGTTACTTTTACTTTTTAAAAACAYTTTTATTTATTAATTGTAACAGATATTTCAAATATCATATTTGATTAGATCTTGAAAATTAATTATTTTTTTAAATAATAAATTTTKCTTTTATATTAAATTAACAGATTACCATAAAATATCATATTAAGTAAAAATAATTGTGTTTACAAAAAAAATATTTTTATTATTAAATAAAATAATTTTTTAAACAAAATATTATGTAATTTTATATTGCATTAATAATATTAATATTTTAATAAAATTTATATATTTACTGTATATATATATATATTTACAACTATTATATAATTTATAATTAGATAATTAATTTTATTTGTAATTTATAATTAATTGATTAGTTTATAAACACTTTTAAATATAATTTTGTTGTTGTTTTTATTATATCAACACACATTTAGTGTAATAATTTATTAATTTAATATTTATTATTAATAGTTTTTACACAAATTTATTTTTTAGTGACATWTTTATTTATTTATTAATAATATATGACTAATAATAATACTATTAATAATATTACTAATAAATTCAAAAAACAATAATAATAATTAAACTATTTGTTTGTATAATTTAGTTGAAATAATAATTATATTTATATATAATTAGATATTTAATTAATTTCATTGTTTGTTATATAGGTTTGTTATGTCTGACTAACTATTAACTAACTAACTGTCCTCTACTTTGATTGATTTTATATCTGTCAGTGTAGTAGTCTTTTGCGGCACCTGTTTATTGAACAGCTTCTGGTGATCGACGGATAGACTTCCTGTTTTCGTACGTTTTTGTCGACCAAACCAACAGAAATTGATCCAAAAGACAATAATAAAGACACCGATTATTAGTACAATTAGTCCGATAAATACCAAAATAGTTATCGTATTATTGCTTTCATCGTAACGACTTTCAGCCGTAACCAACAGTACCGTCGGTTCAACCATTARTTTATATATTCAATATATATTCAATATATATATATATTAGAAATACAATTAAATATTAGTTACAGTATTAGTTATATTACTACAAAAAAAATTAGTATTCAGTAATTAGAAAATAAATAAAAAAATAATAATTAAGTGATCTATTCATCTAAATTATTACAATAAGTTTTATTGTCAAAATTAGATTGAAATAAATTATTTTTTTCAAAAATAAATCTAATTAATTGAATAATAATTAGCATGTTTAATAATTAACTAATTATAATTATTGTCTATTTAATTGTTTGGGTGCGTGCTTTATTATTGTAATTTATAAAAAAAAAATAATTAATTAATAATATTAACCAATTTTTTTTTTATTACTTTTTATAAATACATTTTTTAATTATTTGTTTTAGTATAACKTTTTTGATTGAATTATTTCTCGGAAAATAACTAACTAATAGTTTCTGTCAGTATATTTTAACTTATATTTTAATTTATTGCTATAGATATAGATTTAATACAAATTTCTTAACTGGTTTTTTGCTAATAAACCAGAATATTATTATTATTATTATTTATATAAAGTATACATGTATTTAACACTAACAATAAAATAGATATTATATTGTATATTATAATACAGTAAAAGTCAATATCGTGATCTACGGTAATAATAATAATAATAATAAAATTAATAGTAATARTAATAATAATACTTATAAACTTGACATTTGACAGACACATAAATTTATTTTTCATATATTTATATATATATATAATATATTTTTTATTGTTTAAACATTTATTATAAAATAATATTACATAAGCTTTTGWTATTAAGTTTTATATGTGTTTTTTGTGTGTTAACATTGTGTCAAAAAAATAAATTAAATTAAATAGAAAATTATTAACTATATATTTATTAAATTTMAAAATTAATAAAATTTTTGTTGTTATTGATATTGAAATTTGGTAAATAAAAATCAATTTGTTAGTTAAATTATTTTTTTATGTATATRTTAATCAATATCTATACTCTAAATATTAATTTTAAAAAATTTATTTCATATTAGTTATAAATAAGTTAAAATATAAAATACAGTATTTAAATATTTGTTTTTTATATTGAAAAAAAGTTTTAACCACTAAATTGTAAATATTTTTTATAAAAAAATGTATTATYACTAATATATTTATATATAAGTTTTTAGTAGAAAATTATAATAATTTTTTATATAGTWTTATATTGTTTTTTTGTCAATAATTTTTTAATATAATAACTTATATATATATAATATCATTTTGTATATTTAAAAAWAATAGTGTAATAATTRAAGTAAATTTTTTATTTAATTTTTTKTATTAAGAGAAAATCTTCAACAACAACAACAACAAYARCWACRAAATGTCTTACCTGAGCTCAACCTACTCGGCCATCAAGTATGTGGGCTATCAATACTGGATCGACTGTCAGGATCSSCGAACTAAAGACTATTTTCTAGTCGATGTTCATCCGATAACCATAGCCCTGATTATGTCCGCTTATGTATGGTTTGTCCGATCWGTGGGACCTAACCTAATGAAAAATCGACCGCCTTTTCAATTGACAACAATTATGCGCTTATACAACATAGTAATGGTCATAATAAATGGCTACTTTTTTCAACTGGTYGTCCGAAACTGTGACTACGGGCGCCGTTTTCTCGATACCCGATACCCGGATCGATCGGACACAACGGACGAGACAATGTGGGAACTGTCGATGGGCTGGTGGTATTGGATGTCGAAATTTTTGGATCTATTCGATACTATACTATTTGTTTTGCGTAAAAAATCTKCKCACATATCSTTYCTTCATCTATACCATCATACYATAGTACCAGTATTTGGTTGGCTATTCCTCAAACACAATGCCCTGATGCCMGCTACCGGCCTATTCGTCCTAATCAATTCATTCATACATATCATAATGTACTCGTACTATGCCCTRTCGACACTGGGTCCCCACTGGCGACCCTATTTATGGTGGAAACGTTATATAACTCAGCTACAATTGGCACAGTTTGCTTTCGGTATGCTATACGGCACTGTAATGGTGTTCCTTCAATCTGGTTATCCTGTATTTTGGTTCTGGTTTGGCCTAACACAACCCGTATTTTTCTTCTATCTATTCTATGATTTCTATCAAAATTCATACAATATTTCTAGAAAACAAAAATTATTAACTGAKAGTAATAACAAAAATGATTGATTTTTTTGTTTGTTTGTTTTAATTTGTTTGTGTTTTTTTTATTTGTTAGTTAATAATATTGATTTAAAACAAATTACTGTWTTTTTATAAAACTATACAATTAATTATTTTTCGTTGTCGTTGAGTATCKCTAATAAAKTAATAGAAAAATTCATGGATATTTTACAATAATGTATTACAAAATAATTTACATGTCATGTATGTATGTATGTATAAGTTTTATAAAGTATATAATTTTAATGTATAGTTTTTTTATATCAAATATTTGAAAATGTTAACTGAAATATTTTTTTATATGTTATGTATAATTAGATAACTAAATTCAATTACATAAAAACAACAAAAAAATTTTTTACATATATATATATATATATATAAATTTCTATAATTGACAATAAACTCTATCGGATCTGACTTTCAAAGCCAAACACTCTTTGTATTGATTRTGTAGACAATCGTTGACATCGCAGCTAAACAGTAGCCAATTATAATCACCGAAACTGGTATCACAATTGGGACACATTAGATGTCCGGCACGCATATCGCGACTGGTTGTTTGTGTCCAATAGGTTTCCAGTGGTTCAATAAATAGTTTACCACAACAAACACTGGTATTATCACTACCATCGCCACCATTACCACTAGTGCGACAATGCTGCTGCTGATGATGACTATGATTATCACTATCGAGTAGATCACTATCATAACTATGATGACCATCACTAAGTCCACTGCCATCAACATCACCACTACCCCCTCCTCCTCCTCCTCGRCCGCCAATAATGTTAAGYTCACTAAACAATTCAAAGCCACAGAGTATACAATGAAATTTTAATCCTCTACTTCTGCTGCTATTCTTATTGTTGTTGTTGTTGTCGGTGTTTGTGTCCGTGTTGTCGGTCTTCAGCAATGATTTGTTGTTTAACAGCGTCAGCGGCTGCGGTGTTGGCGGCGGTGGCGGCGATARCAACTCTTCGGTMAGCCGTTCGGCCGATGATATCTTATCGAAATAATTGTGAACACAATTGGCTTCGTGAAGGACAGTCTCCTGTTTCCACTTAATCAACTCATTGGTTGTTTCCAGTATATTGACGCCCGACGACGCCGATGATGATGGTGGCGATGGCGCACCCATACATCTCAGCTTATACGTCAATGTCTTCAGCAAAAATTCACGATATTCTCGACAATAGCCATCGATGGTAAACTTCATTCGCTCGAATAGCAACAGCTGCTGAACAAAGCCATCGTTGGGAAAGATTTTACGCTTCTTCTCCACCCGTCTTCTGGCCTCCGAATAAGTCAGTCGATGTTTTTGCATAAGAAATGCTATGACTATTGTCGCACTTCGGGAGACACCTCCTCGACAGTGGACATACACTGAAGCGTCTGATTTTTKTTTTTTGAGAACAAATTAAATATAAAAAAGTCTTAATTGTTGTTTCAATAATCATATATATAATGGTTAACCACTTAATAATCATATTAAATGTTTAGCCATTAATATCCAAATACTAACCATTTTTATGGGCTTTCGTAATATGTYTGAARCAATAGTCAAACATCGACAGCAGRTCCTGATCGGGAAAATCGCCGGCCTCTACATAGACATAGTTAATACCATTGAAACGTTTRTTATCGGCAAYCGGTTCTTCGCCAATGGTTATTATCAGACCGATATCGAGGACATCCATTAGCCTCTTGTCTTTGACSGGTAAATCGCTTCCTAAATACAATTTCTTGACAATCATATTRTACTCCTTTTTGTTAGACCAGWARTCATTGTAATGATGACTACTAYAGCTATTGTCTACTACTATAGCCGGTGTTGTTGTTGTTGTYGTCATCGATGACACTGTGGTATCGTTTTTCTTRAATCTCTTGTATCTATTACTACCACTCATATTGTGTTTTATTTTTTGACACAAAAATATMTATTATTATCCAAATTAAGATAATAATAATAATAATAATAGAAAATATTAATAATAATTATGTTTAATCTTATTATAATTTAAAAAAAAAAATTTATTTATATCAACTCAATATTTATTTTATTTTTTAAAACTGATTATCAAAAAAAAAACTGATTACTATTATATGATATGAGTTTGAAATCATTTTTTTTTGTTTTTCCCCRAAATATGACAATAATTTTAGTATCAAAATTGASAATAAYTATAATATTATAAAATATAATAAATTTTTAACATATTATTCAGTATTTTTTTAGGGACTCAACTATAATAATAATATATATATATAATTAATAACTTAATTACTAATTGACTTATGTGACCAAAAATGTTATTTTTGACTATTTTTTTCACCTATAGTGATAKATATATATATATATATATCAAGTTTAAAGCTTATGGATATTTTTGTAGATTATTTCACTGATAGTGTACTGTATTATTAATAATAGTGTGACAAAAATWATTTTGTTTGATTATATTTAACTTAATTTTATTTAAACTAWAYTATTTTTATATGTTTGATCAAGGTTACCCATTTACATATATATATATAAAACTCAATTTAATTAATTTAAATSCYTAACATAAATATGTATATAAAAATAATAAACTTTTAATAAACAATATTTATTTTTAAGATTAATTAATATGATTAATACTGTTACTATTGTAATAGTTATATATMTATATATGGTATATATAAGTGTATATAAAAATTGTTAATTTAAATTTATTATCTTATATAAAATCCATTATTATTTATTTAATAATTAATACATTTAAKCATAAGTATATTGAATAAACAATTTTTAAAAATAATTATATATATATATATAWATATTATAAACTTATTAATAATAATCATTATGTAATAAAAAAATAATTTTCTTTATTAACGTTATTTACAGATCWRTTAGTATTTTTAAAAATTAATTAAATMAAATATTACTTAATAATAATAAWWAATAWTATTATTTTATTAAAAATATATTACATTTKTWAATAAAATTTTTATATATATAAWWAAATGGTTTATMAATGATATATATTTTACAATAAAAATTATTTTTATAAAAAACTATTATTAATTGAATAAATATAATGTCATTTGATTATATTAGTAATATTATAATAATTATAATAACTTTTAYTATAACTCAATCATCAGTCAATGAAATCAATTGYCAATTAMTTGAATCRCTAATAGAAGACAATGTTTTAAATCTATTGGACTTTAATCTACCATTAMTTGGACGACAAGATAGACAACACCAACACCAACACCAACACCAACACCAACAACAACAACAACAACTATACCAATACCAACACCAACATCAATACCAAAACCAACATCAATACCAACAACAATACCAATACCAACAACAACAACACCACTACCAACAACAACACCAACACCAACACCAACATCAACATCAACATCAACAACAACAACGGGATGGAAATATATATAAGACRWMAACAAMAACTACTAMTACCGGAACTGMCGGACAACAACATAAAACTAATGGCCAYCAGAAGCTAATGTCAYCAWCGGATGATCGGTCATCAGTCTATTCARTGATCGACARCTTACCARTTATTTCAACAAACATATTGGACAATGTCTTAGCMGATTGTRATGATAATGGTATGTATAGATTTGCATTGTCAACCGGGTATTTAAATCATAAGTCTCTCTCTCTCTCTCTCTCTCTCTCTCTCTCTATGGGGCCTCGGTGGCCGAAAGGCTAAGTTGTCGGCTTTCGAGTACGATATTCACGTTTGGGCCCCTAAGTTTGTTGGGAAACCAGATAATATTGTCAACCGAGTATTTATATCATAAGTGCAATCATTGTAAAAACGGGGGATATAAATCAATCTCTCTCTCTCTCTCTCTCTCTCTCTCTCTCTCTCTCTCTCTCTCTCTCTCWCTCTCTCTCATATGACTACCTGATAATATCGCACAATATTTTTTKTGTGTGCACCGGTAGTCTATGGGGACATGTATTTGAGATTTTTTTCTAATAATAATAATAATAATAATAATAATATACAGTACARGTATTATCWACTACTAATARATAATTTTAATTATAGTTGATKTATATTATTGTTTTTTTTAGTTATTGTTGTACAATTATTTATTTATTATTATAATTACTAACAAAAATTGTCCATGGTAGTAATAATTAAGTTAATTGAATGTTTTATGATTAAATTTTTTTAAAAATAACAAATTATTGAATTTTTAAAAATTAAATTGAATATATTGATATATATAAATAAATAATATTCAAACATATTATTAAGTATTAATAAGATTATTTATTTGTTTGTTATTTAAATGTTAGATAAAAATCAAAAGTTAAATGTCGATAATAATAATACTAATAATAATATATTCAATACCAATGAAGCCATTGAAGTTAATATCAATCAATTAGTTAATCCGTCAATCGATACCAACTTTACGGGCACCGATAGACTGGTCGATCTAAATAAGCTGATCCAAGGTGTAGTCGATAGGGCACAGTCACTGCCCAATACACTTAATGTCGATACTAAACAACTAAATGATAATTATTTCGATAGTAGTAGTAGTAGTAGTAATAGTAGTATTGATAAAATRATAAATAGTTTATTATCAAAATCAAGTATATATAATAAAATTATTGAACCACAACAACAWCAACAACAACAAGTCGCTGATGMAAATACAYCAACAAATAGTACTCAAGATAACARTWTGAATCAATTAATTAATTATATTGAAGATAATACTATTAAATCRTTGGCCAATAGTCGACTCGTTAGTATTAGASARTTGTTTAATAAAACTAAGATGAATAYGAAACTAATTAAACAAATGATACATAATAGACAACAATTAGTTAATTTAGTTAATAGTTTGACAACAACTACAACTACATCATCAACAACAACAACAACCACTGATGTGACCACTAGAGTGACGGCCACAATAACAACAACAACAACATCGGCTCCGATATCGACGACGACGACAATGATGACAACGACACTGACCGATGAAGAAATGTCTGATAAGGAGAATAATGAAATCCAAGAGTTGTCTAATAGAAAGATGGAAAGTATGAAGAATTGGTTCCGAAAAACTAAAGACAATAAACAATTCTGGACTAATTGGCACAAACGGGCTAATAGTCATCATAGACATAGCCATAAGGATATACCTATTCATAGACTATCACTATAACTACTACTACTACTACTACTACTACTACTATAAGTCTCAATCAAAATTAAAATATTTTAAATTGTTTTTTTAAAAAAAATTTACAAATTATCATATCTGATATAAATAATAAAACTATTAAATACTACTATTAAATCATATATTGTAAATTAATTAGCATTTTTTTGTGTTATCATTTTAAATTTTTATTGTAATTACTAATTTATTGATGATTATGTTATTGATATTTTTTTTATTTTAAAATGTAATTTATGTAGTTTGTTTACTAAGTATTTATTAATTATTATTATTAATTGATATTAAATTACAAATATGTCTGATTAGATTTAATTATAAAGAAATATATATATATACAGTATATATAGTATATTTTCTTAAATAAAAAAAATTAAATCCAATAAATAGTTTAAACTGTCTATTATTAAAAAAAAAAATTAAAAATTATGTATTACAATATAAAAATTATAATTTTGCTTAATTTTTTATTATCAATTGTAATATTTACTAAAATTAATTGTGAGAACATAACTAATTTAACAGAAAATGAGAGCTCATGGTTGGAAAGTATGAAAAATGTTTTTATTTTATTTTTTTAAAATTTCATAAATAAAAATTAAAATATTATTTATATAATTAATTATTTTCCGAAATTTATATGTTAGTTATCAATCAGAGATTATTGAAATTATTTGTTTGTTTTATTTTTTAAATTTTATTTCAGATGATAAAAATGATTATAAAAATCTAAAATTTCTATCAACTAAAAGATTAGACGAAATTAAACAATTGTTTCGCAATATTCAAGGAGAAGAAGCATCAGTAGTTGAGGTGAAGCCAAAAGTATTGCCGCCAACAACAGCTAACAGTGCTGTTGTTGGTCCGATGGTGGCCACCGGTAGTATCGGTGGTCAACGGCGAGGTATGATTGAGGCCAAAGATACTGATGATGGCGACGGCTCGTCAAACATCGAGGTATTTGCCGATAATCGTAATAAAGACAGTATTTTTGTATTAAAAGATGATTAACTTTTTTTTTAAAAAAAAATAAAAATTAAATCTATAAAACTAAATAAATTTTAAGTTTGTTTTTTAGCACACAAACAATTAAATAAATAATTTTATTTTTATTTAATAATATACTGTACACCGCGTAATGATAATGTTTGATAATTTTCTAATATATATTATAATTATTATTAAACTCTATTCTACTCTATATTTGACAATATATATATAGTTTTGTGATTAATAATATAGTTATGAATATATATATATATATTATTTATAATTTTGTGTTACATTTAAATATTTGATATTTCAATCATGTAATACAATAATTATTGCTATAATTTTTTTTTAAATAAAATAAATTATTTAAATCATCAAACAAACAAACTATTTTAATAAAATTATTATGTTTATCGTATTATTGATATTATTATAATTTTAATGTTTGTATTGTATTTTTGCGATAAATGATTAAATAAAATGAAAAAAAATGAAATTAAAATTAATCTGAATATTAATATCTAAAAATATTTAAATATCTAATAATAACAACTACTATTAATATAATAAATAACTAAAACTTAAAAATCTTAATAAATAATTAAATTATATATTTAAAGAAAGCCTACAGAAAAAAATCTTTTATTTTTACGGTTCGGTTATATTGGTTTAGATTTTAAAAATATTAAAACAAAAAAATAAATAAATGTAATCTACTATATATATTGATATTTGTATATCACCTAGTTAATTTTACTTTATTTTTTAACATGGCAAAAATTCTAGACTAGATAAGTTAATAAAATAATTACAGTCTATTTGTTTTTTTTTTATTTGTGTCCCTCTCTATTATTATTACTATTGTTTTTATTTAAATAAAAATCATTAAATTTTAATTAAATCCAAGTAATAATAATAATATCAGTATTAATATAATTATCAATTAAAATCCAATCGTTTTCTAACACCGTTAACAAAACTGACCACTTTGTCGGCTACCGATCGTTTGCGGTTCAAAACAATCGGTTCGTACGTAACATAATTATATCGGCTAAACAGTTCGGCCAATGTCTTAATTGGTGTTACAATCGGTGCCAGAATCTGGTCGTCGGCACATTTGCCCCATACATAAGTTCGGCCCCTAGCGGTCAGTGCGGTCGACGTATTACTGTAGAGATCGGTCCCAATGTCTACAAATTTGAGCGACTGGTTACCGATAGGTACAGGCGATAACTGATCCTGTTTGCTATCGTTACCAATTTGACCGAAATAGTTACACCCGAACGCATACAACTGGCCATCAATTGTCAGCACCAGTACGTGATTTTGTCCGCAAACTATTTTCCTAATCATTACGTCCTCACCAGTCAACCGAATTCTGGTCGGAATGTTTCGAAAGTTATCTGAACTGCCGATACCTAACTGTCCAAAAGCGTTRTGACCCCAGCTATAGGCTTGGCCAGATTTGGCCARTGCTACCGATTGATGATGGCCGCAATCGATGGCCACAATTACTTCCCGACTCAATGCCCGCAATAGAATCGGAATCAATTGATTGCAGTTATTTCCGTTACCCAATTGGCCCCAAAAATTAAAACCTTTTATACATATAATAGTAAATAATAATATTATAATAAAACTTATAATAAAACATATAATAAAACATATAATAAAACATATAATAAAACATATAATAATAAAACTTATAATAAAACTTATAATAAATTTGATTATAAAATATAAAATTTCTATAAATATATATAAAATTAAATMAMAWAAAAAAAGTATTTTWTTACATACTATATACTAAAAAAAAGTYWAAACTTTCAAAAAATATCTAACATAATAATCATAAAATTATTTTAGATATATTTTAGTAAAATAAAAAAAAATTAAATTTTTATGAGACAAAAAAAATTCTAATAGAATTATYTTGATAAAAATAATTTTTTATAAAAAAATTAATATTTTTAAAATTTAAATGTTTTTAAGTAAACTTATAATAATTAATAGTTACTATCGGTAATAATAATTAATAACACTAATAATCCTTTTTTTATATAACTATCTATAATAAATACATTTATGTATAGTTAAAGTTATAATTATTAATATTAGTTAATTAATTAATTAATAATAATAATAATATTATTATTATCATACATGACATGACATACCCCAGACATAGACGAGTCCAGTCTTAGTTAAGGCCATTGAATGAAATGCTCCGCAACTGATATCGACAATCGTATGTCTCGTCAGTTCGYTAATCAGTATAAGTTTGGGTACATAACAATCAATTGTCGTCCGATTGGCCAGTTGTCCGAATTCGTTGTAACCGAAACTAAATAGTTGACCACTTTTGGTCAATACAATAACRTGTCGATAGCCGAACGCAAATCTGACTACTCTTTTGCCGCACAATTCCGGTACGGGTGTCGGTTCGGCCAATGGGTCTRTTGGTACCCAAACCGAGACAACCGTTTGAATTCTCGCCCAAAGCTAATACTCGGTCATCGATGGTCACAATGAATACATCGGTACCGTATCTGTTGAATACACTGAAYGATTTGATTGATTTGATAAACTCTGGCCTCAGTTTTCTTAAGCACTTATAGTTTCCGACAATACTGTCCTCCGCTGCTATMACTGTCGGTGTTTTTTGTTGTTGCCGAAGATTTTTTACGTTTAGGTCCACAGGTTGTTGTCGTAGTTGTCGGYGACAAACAAAACAGACACTTCATCTTTGTATAGACTTTACTATTGTTACTATTGTTGTTRTAATTATTGAAAACCAAATATAAAATTGAGAGAAACACTTGAGAAAAATTAATTGAAAAAATTAATAATATTATTATTAGTGAAATATTAGATAAAAGTTATCATTTAATAATWATATTATTATTTATATCATATATAGTAGTTTTTAAAAATTTTATTTTTGACAATTTRATTAATATAAAAATTTGATTAATTTTAAAAWAATAATWTTTTTATTAATAAACAATTTTTTATGTTCAAAAATTGTCAATTTTTAATTTTTAAAAACTAACTCTATTTATATAGAAATTAATTTTATTAATAACTTAATATATACATATATAATAATAATTTTTGTTAATACTTGATAATTATATAAACCACACAAAAATTTTTATAATAAAAACTAKTMTTATTATTATTTAAAGTATTAGATAACTTTTTTTTAATTAATATTTTATTTATATATTATAATATATTATATATAATAATTTATATTAAAGATAATTATTTTTTATATACTATTAATTTACCAAAAACTACAATCAATGTTTCAAATAGTATATCAGTGTAAACCAAATCATTTATTTTTATACAACAATCAAACAAAAAAAGTTGATCACCAAAATTAGTTTCACTATTAATACTATTAATACTATTGATAGTAAATAATATCATATTGTATGACTACTAACTAACTAATTATAATATAATATAAAATGTAAAAAACATTTTATTAATAAACATTTTCTCATCTCTACTCTAACTATACTCTAACGTCAAATAATAAAAAACTTTATCACATAAAACTTGAAGCCAAAAAATTTTTAGATATTTTAAATACAGATTTCAATTATAAATAAATAACAAAAAATTATTTATAAATAATTATACGTTAATACTATTATAGTACAGTACTATACAGTATAYATATATAATCCACTGTTTTATTTAGTCACTACTAATAACATTAACATAGTTTTTATTTTAAAGTCAATTTCAAAGACAAAATCTTTTTACAAACACATAGTTTTCAATATTAAATCTCTCTCTCTCTCTCTCTCTCTCTCTCTCTCTCTCTCTCTCTCTCTCTCTCTCTCTCTCTCTCTCTCTCTCTCTCTTGCAAACACATTAAAGGAGACACAGTGTATGAAAATGTTTGGCATTAAATCAAAATATTTATATATAATCCTATAATATATATATATACTATAAAAATGTTGTATTGTATTTAATAGTACTATTATATTCAAGTGCAATGTTTAATAATCTATTGCTAAAATAAAGTGTTACTAAAAATTATTTATTTATTTTTTGTATTTTTATTGTCATATATTGTTTATTCTGTACTCTGAAACTGAATTCATTGTATAGTAGTTTGATTTTTTTGACAGTTAAATATTTAAACAATTTATTTTCATAATAATAATTATTTTATGTATATTATCTTGCTGAATAATCAATTTTTTTTTAATTTCAGTTATTTATTCTAGCATTTATTAATAATAAATTATTTACAAATAGTTATAAACTTTAAAMTAAAYGATAAAAAATAATTTATGGAGCATTTATTCAAAAAATATTTTATGCAAATAATTTTATATTACAATAACAATAATTTATTATTTTTGTTTTAAAGTATCGGTAATTATATATACAGTATATATGTACAGTATATAACCTATAGTTTTATTATCTTTAWATTTATTTATTAATTATTTATATTAATTTTAAWAWWATGTATTTACAAAGAAAACTTGTTTATAAATACTTTAAATTTTGTTTAAACTTAAAAATTGTTTTTAAGTATACAGTAAAGGGTTGGCAGATATCTAAAAATATAGACATCAATCATATGCCAGATATTTATTATTTTTTTTRTTATTTTAATTATTGATTACWATTATCTACAGTATTAGTGATGATAATGTCTTTTATGTGATAATAATTAACATCAAAGTCTATATATATATATACAGTATATATGATATAAAAAGTTAGTATTAATTGAGATAATTGACCACTGATTTCGGCATTAATTATCAAATCATATCATATGATATCGGATCTACCGGTTAGTATCGGTGTGTGTGTTAGACAAACAAATAGCAGATCAACGGTAATGTCTAACCTCTAACCCCAATCACAATAAGACAATTGCCGAAACTCGTCGACAGTGGCCGGCAATAGGGATACGGGTAGAAGCGCTTCGGGAGTCTGTCGTACCGATAATAGCCTACGTTTTGTGTCCATCAATGTCTGTCCAGTGATGACACGGCATGAAATAACCGTATTGTTGTGACCAATCCGTAGTACCCAATCATCCGCCGCAGCTGTTGTGCTGTCGTCATCTGCTGTTTGTCTACCGATTGACCACCAATTGTGTTGTTGTTGTTGATGATAATGGCCTGCATTTGGTCATCTATGGCCTGTTGTTTCAATTGTTGAAGTGTTTCGTATGTYAGATGACTATATCGACAGCGGTCGCCAAATCGGCAACACTGRTGYCGGTGATAGTGTTGACAAAATGGCTGTTTATTCATTARTTCATCCCTWAGCCGATCGATGGCTGGCCTCCGAAGTCGCCACCATTCGCTTCGGGCCAACTCGTGTTCGGCACTTTGCCTGTGTTTGCGTCGGTTTTGCGGTAAATCTTTGAACGATCGCAAACAATAGTCACACTTGTATTGGCCAACCATTTTATATCGGKGTTTGTGGYTATCGGTAGACACCTATAACCTAACGCAAGTGTCCAMACAATGATGTGATTATAAGTGTTGTGATAATTGTTTTTTGTATTTTCTATTGTTTTTATTGATCCAAACATATGGTTAATATTACAGTATATTTAGTATTATTGTTATTATTATTAAAYAGYAATACAAACATTACGTCCAAATAAATATAATATATATTTTTTATTTCAAAACTTTTTATTTACACAATTAGTTTTAAACTATATTATAATAATTATTATTGAAATACTAATACTAATGTAATAATGATTTTTTTTGGGTAATAATCATTCAATATCTCAATTAATTAATTAATTACTATATTTTGTGTATTTAATATTTTTTTAACTTTTAATATATTAGTTGAAACTTTTATTTTTGTTTTGTTTTATAGTTGAATATTATTCCAATAAAAAAAAATAATATTTAACTTTTATTATTATAATTATTTATTTGAAAAAAATATATATAATGATTAACTATAATAATTTTTTTTWATTTTATTAGATTTATGAAAGTTGACTTTTTTTAAAAAATTAAATTTTAAAAATAAATTACCCGTGATAAAACATAAAAGATAAAACATGTGATATTTTAAATTAATGCAATTTTGCACAAAAATAAAAACTTACGGTAGTGTATSTGTAKATATATATATAAAGTATATGACATTGTTATCATAAAAAAATGTGTTAAAGATTTAAACATTGGATAAAATAATTGATGACATTATACAAAAATATTTGTTATATACTTGACAAATGATTGTATGAATAATTTGAAAAMTTTTTGATGAAAAGTTTCCCATAATTTTCYAAACAATTTTATTTTGTATAGAAATCAGGAAATTTTTTTTTAGTGAAATATGATTTAGTAAACTATTTTTAATGACATTATATATATATATATATATATATATATATACTGTATTGTAATCTTTCACAAAATCAWTTAAAAAACAAATAAAAATATAAGTAAAATAAAATATTGATTTCATTGTGTAATTTYATARGACTCTGGACTTTRAATCCAAGTAATCCGAGTTCGACTCTCGGTAGAGAACCTCGAGATTTWTTTAAAAATAGTTTTTGTTTTTCAATCAAAATAAATATAATATATTTTAATTTCTATATATATATATATATATTAAATAATTTATATTAGTTTTAATTTAGTAAAATAACATTTTAGGATGYWYACATTTAAAATCTAATTTTAATTTTWGAATTTGCAAAAGAAATTGTTAGGTCCCACCGAGATTTGAACTCGGATCGCTGGATTCAAAGTCCAGAGTGCTAACCATTACACCATGGAACCGATGGATAATTATATCAATTAAAAACATAAATTGCAATTTTTTAAATTTTATTTTTGATTACTATGAATAATTATAATTATCTTCAAAAAAAAAAACATTCAAATAATTACTTATCAAATAATATATGGAAATTATTAAATATAAATATTTAAAGTGTAATTTATTTTTATAAATATCTAATTATTCTATTAATTATTAATAATAATTACTGTATTTATTATTAACACTGATATAAATGTTTGATGGCCTGGATATCTGTCTCACTTAACCCGTATTTTTGGAAAACTTCAATCATTTTATAATGATCCCGGTGCCKGGCATTGGGTAACATAGTCTCGGATCGGCCATCCTTACTGAATGTTAACGGTCCGTACAGCATAACCGAATAGAAATCAAACGGTACCAGTAGTCTACTATTGTCCAACATATTGAACTGATCCATATAACCGTCCATTACGTTATCCGGGTAAATGTCTATRAATTKATTGCGGTCAGTGCGCTGATGTTCGTGATAAAAMCCGATGGCGTGACCCAACTCGTGGACAATTGTGGCAATATTATGGCAGCCGTTGCTCAATGAGACCAGTTGTTTGCCCCCAACCCGACCCACATATGAATAGCAACTATCAATATATATATATATATATGAGAAATATTAAAACAATTTTATAGTTTAATGTTTGTTTGATTTTTGTAGTTTGTATTAATATTATATAAATTAATAGTATAAAATAATTTTTGTTAAATTAATAGAATTTAGTGTATTTACAAAAATCATAAAAAACTTTTGAAAATTATAAAAATTTTTAATAATGATTACAATTTCCTCTATTTGTTTGTTGTTAGAGTAAAATGTAATGATTASTAAAAAAAATTTTTATATAATTAATATTCTTCCTCTAACTAAACCGTTATATAATATATTAAAAAATTATATTATATYACATTTGAAACCTTAACTATTAATAAMAAAATAATACCATGTTAATTCATATCAAAACATATTAATTAAATAATAAATTTTTTGATAAATTAAAAAAATACTAATTTAATAACAATTAATAAATAATAAGTTTATTTCAAAAAAAAATAATTATATACCCGCTCATTTTTGCCAAATATATATAGTCATATTGATTGGTACGCTCGACAAACCTAATACAAGTGTATTGATGGTATTGATCCATAGCATCGACAATTAGATTACGTTTATCCTCTATTATGTAGTAAAAGTAAAATTTTTAATATAAAAAATAATTAACTAAATATGCTATAATTATTATTCAATTATTTTAATTAAATTAAAAAAACTCTATTTATTTATATATATATAAAACAATAATATATAAAGTTTAAAAATTTAATTGTATTAATCTATTATACATAAATCTATTCCAATATTAGATTATGAATATATTAAATATTTTATAATAAATAACTTTTTTTTTAAAAAATATAAATTACCTAGATCTTTATCGATAACAAACGGTATGATACCCATTGACCATAAATGATCTACATTTGTTATGGCATTAAATATTGAATTTTTATTCAATAATTGTTTAATGCCGGCCATATCGCCACCAAATAGATCCCGGTGCTGGAGTACACGTATTTCCAATGGTATATCTGTATTGTTTACTTTTTAAAAAAAATAAATAAATATTAATTTTAATTTAATTATAAATTTATAATTATTAAATGAATTTTTTTTAATAATTACTTGGAAAGCATTCTACTGTTAATGAATTCAAAAATATTAGTAAATATAATATTTTATATATTATTTTATTGTAACTAATATTTAATAATAATTTCATTTTTTTGATGTAAACATTTATTGTCAGTAAAGTAATAGTATTTTTTTCTAATATTTCAAATATTATCAGTGTCATTTTGTTTTTTTAGTCAATGTATTAGTATTTCATATGAAAGTTATAATAACTATTGCTTTGGAAACAATAGATAAAAAATAATAAATATATAATAATATTCTGTTAAATAACTAATAATAGATAAGATTTTTATTTTAATATTATTGTTTAACTCATTTATAACAAATGTAAATAAATAATAATTTGTATTTTAGTCTATCTGTCAAATATATATTTATTGTATTTTATATATCTGAAATATTAATTTATTAATTAAATAGAAAAATTATACATTTTAGAAATACATAGATTATAATAAAAAAATAAATATTAAAGTTTATAAATAATAGTAAATAAAAAAATTTTCAAAATGTTTTCAAATATAAATTGTTTTTATGTATAGTATTATTAATATTTGGTATTTTACAATATTAATATATTATAATTTGTAATTATGATATTATATTTTAAGTTTATTATGCATTATAATATTATTTAAAATAAAAACTTTTAATACTAACTGTTGTTTGATTACAGTTTGACACTGTTTATTTATTAATACTATTTATTTATAAAATGTATTAATAATTAAAAAATAAATAAAATGTAATAATATGTGAATATCTAAATTATTTCAATTAATTATGTGTCTTATCTAAATGAAAAATCTAAAACAATTATTAGACATTAATTTAAATTAATCTTTTTTAAAAGTATAATTTTAGTATATTAGCCAACTTATAAATAATTTTTTAAAAAAATATTTATTTAATTAATATATTAATTAAATAGTACTATATATATATATACAGTATATGTTGTAAATCATTAATTAATTTAATTTATCTGCTATTGGGTGACAAATTAAAATGTCTGTAAACATAACATTACATAAATCATTACAAACAAATACACAATAAAAAATGATTGCTAATTAAGTGAATTTAACCTATTATACAAAAAAAAATAATTGTCTTAAATGTCATTATGTTTTCAATTATAAACATTAAATATATTTTATTGCTATGTAAGTATAAACTATATTTTATTAATTAAATTTAAAAGTAAATTTTAAAAAAAAGTTTACAAACTATTGTGTTATTATAGTAATTAAAAATTGATTTTTTATATTACATATCACATCATATAGTTATTATAATTACATTATCTGTGGCTACAATTGGTGGACAATATTGTGATGAATATTATAATCCTAATAACAATGATGATGATTATTATCCACACGATTCACATTATTATAATGGCTTTAATGATGATAATAATGATGATTCAATGATAGCTGAATTTCGGGCCACCGACAATACTGATCAACTTTTGGATGACCTACTGGATCCACATAAAACACTAAAACAGGCCGATGAGGCCATACATGTGAATCCCAGTTTGCAATCACGTGTAAATGGATGTACAGATAAACGGTGTTTCCAGTGTCTGGATTCGTGTCGTTACCTAAAACAGGCCAAACTATCCAGCAATAAGATGATCCAATACATGTATCTCAGGTTATGTTCAATTGGTTGTAAATCTGATCTGTATGTATAATATGTATAATAAATAATAATATTAATTATTATTATAAACTGGTGTATTATCATAATTTTTTTTATAAATATTACTGTATAATAATCTATTGACTAATAAACACTACTACTACTACTACTACTACTACTACTACTATTACTATTACTATTACTATTACTATTACTATTACTATTACTATTACTATTACTATTACTATTACTATTACTATTACTATTACTATTACTATTACTATTACTATTACTATTACTATTACTATTACTATTACTATTACTATTACTATTACTATTACTATTACTATTACTATTACTATTACTATTACTATTACTATTACTATTACTATTACTATTACTATTACTATTACTATTACTATTACTATTACTATTACTATTACTATTACTATTACTATTACTATTACTATTACTATTACTATTACTATTACTATTACTATTACTATTACTATTACTATTACTATTACTATTACTATTACTATTACTATTACTATTACTATTACTATTACTATTACTATTACTATTACTATTACTATTACTATTACTATTACTATTACTATTACTATTACTATTACTATTACTATTACTATTACTATTACTATTACTATTACTATTACTATTACTATTACTATTACTATTACTATTACTATTACTATTACTATTACTATTACTATTACTATTACTATTACTATTACTATTACTATTACTATTACTATTACTATTACTATTACTATTACTATTACTATTACTATTACTATTACTATTACTATTACTATTACTATTACTATTACTATTACTATTACTATTACTATTACTATTACTATTACTATTACTATTACTATTACTATTACTATTACTATTACTATTACTATTACTATTACTATTACTATTACTATTACTATTACTATTACTATTACTATTACTATTACTATTACTATTACTATTACTACTGCTACTACATATAGAGATTGGGTGTAATCACATTAAAATGGATTTAATTATTATAGAAAATTTTTTATTTATTTTTTTTTATAAAATTAATAATTTATATATGATTATTATTATAATGATTTTAAATTTAATTTTTATATATAAGCCCATGTTTGGATGCCCCAAACTATTGTTTGCCTATAATGAAGGAAAATCCCGATTATTTTATAAGTTGTGTGGAAAGTGCATGCAATCCATTTCAGGTAACAATCAGTAGTTTATTAAATAATAATTAATTTTATGTTTATTTAATATTATTATTTAAATATTAATATTTTATAGCAATTAATTATTTATATTGTATAAACTTGTTAAAAAAATTATTTATTCTGTTATTTTTCTAACATTGATTATAATTATGATTAAGTTAAATACTAATTAACAAACAATAATTATTTAATTAGTTTATTAGACTATTATAAAACAATAATATCTTAGATTCTTATAAAGTTATGTTTATAATATTTATGTTTAAAAAAATTAATATATAAAATTTATTTAATTGTCAAAAAATATTGTTTTATATAAAAAAAAACTTAATTTTCAAATTTAAAAAACTCATCAACTTTAATAATAATTATTAAAAATATGATTATTAAAAATTTAATATTTTCTATATATCGATAATAACCATGATAATTATTTTTAATTATTTTTTTCTACAGGTTGTACCAAAAGTATTTAGAACTGCTGACTATTGTACAAAAGAATAATAATAATAATAATAAATATTTTATTTATTTTTTTTTGATAAAATTTTTATTATTTATAATATTAAACAAAACTAAAATTATAACTTTTTTTTTATTAATATAATTGTTTGTATAAATTAAAGATTAAAAAATGACATTTGTATTGTTATAAAATATTTATGTATCAAATAAATAAATAAATATATATAAAAAAAATACTGTAATATATTTAAGTAAGTGTCTGTACACTGTACAGACATTAAAGTTATTTAATTAATTAATTAATTAAATTAATATCTAATATGTTATTTAAACAACAAAACAAAATGTTTGTAAAAATCACATTTAAAAATTTTTTTTATATCGATAAATAAAATATGGCTTTTTAATTAAGTTTATTTTGAATACTGATTTAAAAAATAACAATTTTTAAAAAAAAACTATGTATTTAATTGTAATATTTAAGCATTTATTGTTTTTATGTAAGTTATGTTTTATTATACTTTTATTATATTATTTTATTATTAATTAAATAATCTATTAATTTTGTATATTTTATTAAAAAAGTTATTGTAATGATTACATTAAATTTGGACATAATTGGACCGCAATATTATGGCAAATATTATGATATACCCATAGATGAGGATGAGTATCAATACTACCATAACTGGCCTCAAGACAGTAATCTCATCAGAAATCAGGACTTAATAATGTCTCGATCTGTGAAAGTCGGAAATCAAATGGATATCAATAAACTATTTGATGATCTACTCAATCCACACAAATCGCTCAGTGATGCCGATAAGGATATACCGGTAGAACCGGGAACTAATTCACGGGTAAACAGTTGTAACGATAAGAGTTGTCTACAGTGTCTGGATTCGTGTCGTTATCTCAAAGAGTCGACTCTATCAGAGAATCTGATTATTCAATACATGTATCTAAGGATTTGTGCCATCGGTTGTAAATCACAACTGTAAGTGCAAATAGTTTTTGTATAAATATTAATAGTTTATATCAATGTGTGTATAAAATGATCAAAATATTAGTTAAAAAAACAAATAGTATTTTTAAAAAAATAATAATAATTAAACACTCATTGTTAAAATAATATACTATTACTAAAATAATCTAATAATAATGTTTATTTATTTGTTTATTAATAATTACTATCATATAATTGTTATAAAAAGTTTTACTCATTTTTTAAATACTTTTATTGATATTTAAAAAAAAATTATTTTATTAATAATTATACGAAAAAATAGATAATATAACTAACAGTATTAGAAATTCGAGACTAATAATTGAATTTAACAAAAAAAAAATACATAACTTTTTATATTTTGTATAAAATTTTTTGAATATTAATATATAAAATAATTATAATAAATTATAAATATTGTTTTTATAGGCAATGTTTGGATAAAAACTATTGTTTGCCGATAATGAAAGAAAATCCCAATTATTTTATATATTGTAGTAACTCGTCGTGCAATCCATTTCAGGTAAAATACAATATCTATATATATGATATATATATATATATATTGTGCTTATTGTTAACTATTTATTTTTGTTACAATTAAAATTCAAATAAGAAATATTTATTTATAAATATAAGCTATAATTTTAGATCTTAAGGTATTTTAAAAAATAAATATTAAGTAGATTATATTTTAAAACAATAATTGTTATAATTTTATTTTATAATAATACAAATATAAAAAAAATTTTTTATTTGATTTTATGATTGAAATTAACATGTCATAATTTTAAAATTAAAAATAATAATACATTATAATTATTATTTTATTCATATACAGTATATGTTTTACAAATTAAATAATCTTTTTTTCTCTTATATAATTAATTAGTAGTAGTGTTAGTTTATTTGATCTTGATAAAATATTTTAAAATGCCTAACCTATTATTTAAAAATAAATAAATAAACTATATGAGTTCACTTATGAAATTGTCTAATATATTTAATAATAAAATATTATATATTTTTTAAATTGAATTTATCATAAACATTTATTTCAATAAACATTTGACTTTTATTGTTGTGAATTATATTAATTAGTTTTATGTTGTGTTTATATTACATACTAATTTTAATAGTAATAATGATAATTATTTTAATTATATTGTATATAAATTATATGTAAATTTTTATACCAATAGATTGTGCCAAAAGTATTTAGGACTACAGCATATTGTGAATAATTATTTTTTGAATCACCATGCTTAATTTTTAAATAAAACTACTGCATATGTATATACAGCAAATTAATAAATAAAATTCTATTGAATAATTTAATATATTATAATATTTTAATTACTTATAAAAATATATATACATATTTATAAATATTATGTTAAAGTCCTAAATATATTTATATAGAAAGTATAACTTAATTAATTAATTAATAAAAAAATAAGATGTCGTCTGTAAACATTATAATTTATAAACAATAATTTATCAAATAAATAAATTTATTTTTAAATTTTGTTTGTTTAATTAATTATTATTAACTAATGTTTTAATAAATTATGCCTTTAATTGTAGAATATTTTCAAATATTGTTTTTATGTAAGTATTGTATTTAAAAAAAATAAATAGTTATATTTATTGTACAGCATTTGAATTAGTAAAATTTTTATTAATAATAAAAATAACAAATAAATAATAGTGTATAAATTAATAAATTTAATAACTTTTAATTATTATAACATATAACTATTGATAACTTAAAATACTAAATATTATATATTAATAAATACAAATATTGATTTATAAATAAAAAAAATATTTTAATTATTATAATTATTAACAAAAAAGTTAAATAAAAAAAGTAAATTTTAAGTTTTTTTTAAATATATTATTTTATACTCTATAAAAGTTATTATAATAACATTAAATGTTGGCATAATTGGACCGCAATATTATGGCAAATATGATTCATATATGGATGGGGAGGACAATGAGGATCAGTACCAATACAACTACAACAGCTGGCCTCAAGTCAATCATATCAGACATAGGGATTCAATAATGCCTCGATCAGGGAATGTCCGAAACCAAATGGATATGATTAACAAACTATTTGATGATCTACTTGATCCACATAAATCGCTTCTGGATGCCGATAGGGCTGTACCGGTAGAACCGGGAACTAATTCACGAGTAAACAGTTGTCAGGATAGGAGGTGTTTCCAGTGTCTGGATTCGTGTCGTTATCTCAAAGAGTCGAGTCTATCAAATAATCTGATTATTCAATACATGTATCTAAGGATATGTGCCGTCGGTTGTAAAGCACAACTGTAAGTGCAAATAGTTTTTGTATAAATATTAATAGTTTATATCAATGTGTGTATAAAATGATACAAAATATTAGTTAAAAAAATCAAATAGTATTTTTAAAATTTTTTTTATTAAACACTAATTGTTTAAATAATATACTATTACTAAAATAATCTAATAATAATGTTTATGTATTTGTTATTAATAATTACTATCATATAATTGTTATAAAAAGTTTTACTCATTTTTTAAATACTTTTATTGATATTTATAAAAAAATATTATTTTATTAATAATTATACGAAAAAATAGATAATATAACTAACAGTATTAGAAATTCGAGATTAATAATTGAATTTAACAAAAAAATACATAACTTTTTATATTTTGTATAAAATTTTTTGAATATTAATATACAAAATAATTATAAATTATAAATATTGTTTTTATAGGCACTGTAAGTGCAAATAGTTGTGTTTAATCAGTTTATAATCACAATATGTATAATCTGATCAAAAAATGTTTCGTAGAAAATAAATATTAGTTTTTATTATTATTTTAAAAAAAAAATTCTCTACTAATTCTGTATCTCATTTTTAATTATTGATAATTATTTTTTAAACACTTATTGTTTATACTATTCAGTAAAATAGTGCGACAAACAACAAAAAAAGTTTATATTATATAATATTCATAATTACTATTATTATAATAACAAGTTTTTATTATTTCGTATTTTGATAACTTTTATTTAGTATACTTTTAATAAATATTATATTAATTATTATTATTATTATGCAAAAATTTACTATAGATTCATTAGAGATAATCATTAAGCTATAATTGAAAGTAGTTTAAAAATTTATATAATTATTTTTTTTATGATAATTATTATATTGTTTGTTTGTTTTTTGTTATTTATAAGCCCATGTTTGGATGCACCTAATTATTGTTTACCGGTAATGAAAGAAAATCCCGATTATTTCATACAGTGTAGCAAATTTTCGTGCAATCCATTTCAGGTAAAAAAATATTATTAATTTTGAATTAATTTTTATAAAAAAAAATTAATTAGAGTTCAATTACGATAATTATTTATTAATTATATTTGTATATAATAATGATATATAAGAATAATATTTATATATTGTATTTATTAATATTTTTTGCGAAAAAAATAATATTTTTTATTTTTTTTTTTGATGCAATTTCTATGAGAATCTAATTCAAAAGTTTAAATAAAATTTTTGAACTCTAATTATAATAAATAATTTTCTTTATTGTCATGTTATATTATTTAATGTTAATATTTTAATTATATTTATATATCTATAGATTGTGCCAAAAGTATTTAGGACTACAGATTATTGTGGATAATCATATTGTATTACCATGCTCAATTTTTCTAATAAAATAAATGTTTCTTATATTAAATTATATTTTTAAAAATTATATTTAATAATTTAATAATTATAAATATTATGTTTGACTGTTTGAATATAATTATATAGAAGTATAATTTAATTAATTAATTGGATGACGAAAACAAAATGTCTGTAAACATTATACTATATTTTATAAACAATAATAATTATCAAATTATAAGTATATTTTCAATTTTGTTTGTATAATTAATTATTATATCAATGATTGATTAATAAATTATGTGTTTAGTTATAAAAGCTATTCAAATTTGTTTTTATTGTAAGTATTATTACATTTGTTTTATTTATGATATAGTATTTGATTTACTAAAATATTACTAATACTATGTTATTGATATTATATAATATTAGATAATAATACTAAATAATAAGATTTTTATAATATTAATAATAATATTTATAATAATAATAATAATATTTATAATATTAGTAATAATATTTATAATATTAGTAATAATATTAATAATAATATTTATAATATTACTAATAATATTTATAATATTAAAAATAATACTGTATTTTATTATTATTAATAAAATAATTACTTTATTTGTTTTTTTTAAAAAATGGTTCATTAAATAGTATGTAAAAGATTAAAATTATGAACAAAAAAAACGTTAATATCAATTATATTTAAAAAATAATAATAATTTAAAATTATTAAAACTTATATATTTTTAAAGTTATTCAAATCACATTAAATGTGGATATAATTAAAGCCCAGTTTTATGACTATTATGATGATGTGCTGCCCATTGAATATGACTACTACTACTCATCTCTAATTAATTATGCGTCAAAAGAGGATCCAATGACTTTAAATGATAAACTATTTGATGACTTACTCGATCCAAACAAATCGATCAGTGAGGCCGATAGGGCTGTACCGGTAGAACCGGGAGGTACTAAATCACGTGTTAGTAGCTGTCAAAACAAACAGTGTCTACAGTGTCTGGATTCGTGTCGTTATCTGAAAGAGTCGCGTCTATCACAGAATCTGTTGATTCAATACATGTATCTAAGGATATGTTCAATCGGTTGCAAATCTGATCTGTATGTATCATCATATACATAGTTTATTGGGAGGGTGGGGTGGGGTGGGGTTACTATTAGGTTACTATATATATCATGTTTGATGTCAATTATAATAAAATTACCACCATCATTAATTTTTTTTAAATATTAAATATCATTCAATCAAAAAAAAAACTACTTAATTGTAAATTCAAATGTTAGTTATTAACAAGTTTTAGACAAACCAATAGATTTATGATGAGATAAATAGTTATACACAAAATTATTATTATTATAAATAGGAAATTAATATTTTTTTTATTGTTAAAAACTTATTTCATTATCATTATATCAGTTATTAGCTATACGTTTAATAGTTTTTAAAAACAACTTACAACAAGTCTAATAAGTAATTCAAAAATAACAATGTTTTTTATCAATTACTTGATGTCTAATTATTCAATAACTTATTTTTATTTTTATAATTAAATGCTTTATTATTATTATAGAAAATGTATATCCGATAACTATTGTTTACCGATAATGAAAGAAAATCCCGATTATTTCATACATTGTCTCGGAAAGTCGTGTAATCCATTTCAGGTAAATTATATGTGTTTCATATATATATATATATATTTTTGTATATAATATAATATTATATATAATTATATATTTAATATAATATAATTATATAATATATATAATTTGTCTACAATGTAATAATATTTTTAATTTAAAATAATTTTTGTTTACAAAATATAATATTTTACAAAAACATTTATTAGTTAATTTAGAAAATATAATTTAACAAATTAATTAGGCTAAAATCTTTTTATATTTAAAAAAAATTAATTAATAATAATATTAGTAAATTAGATAATGACATATTCGCTGAACCAAAAAATTTATATTTATAAAATTAACAAATTAATGAAAATTTATAATAATAATAAAAAACTTTTTAACATTTTTTTAAAAATTTTTTTTGATAATTATTTTATATATAGATTGTGCCAAAAGTATTCAGGACTACAGAATATTGTCAATCATAATTATTAGTCTACTTTTTTTTATTGGTTAACTGATTATATAAAAAATTGTACAGTTATTATAATAAATTAGTATTAGTTTGATAAATAACAATATTTGAACAATAAATGAAATATTTATGTATTAATATAATTTGTCAAATTTTTTTAATTTTGTGTTTTATAATAATAAGTGAAATTTAAGATGAATATATTATTTACTGATCTAATAATAATAATAAAACTAATTTAATTAAATATATATTAGAAAATTTTTTTTTATTACAAACAAAATAATCTACGAAAATAATTCACTTAGAAATATACAAAAACTAATTGGCAATAATGTAATATATGGTCCCAATGCTACACGCATTGAATCGATACCCATTTGTTTATCAAATTGATCAGTGTCATTTCTAATAATTTTATCATCACTACCACTGCCCATCATTTTGCGTCCAAACATAAATATATTTTTATACCACGTATCAAAATTACCTGTCTCACGTGATTGTATTAAACTATATATAAAAATATCCACAAAAAATTAGATTTTATAATTAGTTTTTTTTAAAAATAAATAAACTATAATCAGCAAATTTAATTAGAAATAAATTAACTTTTTTTATAAATTAAAATTATTACCAACTGCATTAGATAAATTTAACCAACAAAAAATATATAAAAATATTTTAGGTATCTGTAGTATATATTTGTAATTAATTAATTAATTAATCAAAAATTCTAATGTTTAATTTTTTTTTGTAAACTAATTATTTTTTGTATGTCAAACAAAGATAAAATAAAAATATTGATGATTAATTCTACTATGATTTTATAAATTATTATTATAAAAAAAAATTAATAATAATTACATACATATCATTAAAATGTTTGTATAATATATGATCGGTTAGACTTCTGTGTACTATTTGTGCGTAACTTATTTGTTGATAGGCTTCGGTAGATACATGCAGGTGCTGATAGTTTTGTGGATCAATTTTAATGATAAACGAATAATCTGTTGGCAATATCAGTACCAGCGATGGCCGCTGAAGATCACCATATATTTTGTTAGTATAAGCGGTAATCTCTGCATAGTCTCCGCCGTTCACTAGTATTACATCCTCGGCCTTTGATGAGCCAAACGCTCGTCTAATTATTTGTTTCTCAATTGGTGTAGATTTATACTTTAAAAAAACAAAACAAAAATTTTTTTAGATAATTAAATTATAATTTAAATTTAAATAATATCGGTTGTATGGAAAATATCCAAAAAAATCAAAATATTCAAACTCATAATTAACTAAATTTTAAATATCCAAAATTTTAAATCTCTAAAATAATAATAATATCCAAAATTTATAGTATCAAAATATAATACATTTGATCCAATTGAATGTTAGTAATTTATAATAATAAAAAATTTTGAATAATTTTTATTATTATAAATTACAATTTACAATGATAATTTTTAATTGTTACTTAATAAAAAAAATTTTTTTGGTTATTTTTTTATTTGGCTATTTTTTATTTTGGATATTTTAAATTTGGATACTAAAATTTTAGATATTTTAAACTAGACTCTCCCTCCCTCCCTCCCTCCCTACCCCTCCCCCTCAAAAAAATTAACACCCTGGTACATTAAATTCTTTGAATTCATGATGCAACATTCCGAATACAATTGTCAGCTCCGGGCGATTGATTAGATCCTCATATGAATCAATTGTTTCCATCGGACTGTTTATATAAATAGATAATATTTCCATTGAAATTAAATTCAATGTAAAAAATTTCAAAAAAAATAATGTCGAAAATAGTATCCAATAGAAACAGTTTCGATTGACTGTAATAGTATCTAATATATATATGTAAAAAAAGTTAAATATATGATAGTTAAAATAAATTTTTTATACAAATAATTAAATTTTGTAATATAAACTTACAGTTCATTAAAGTAGCATTACTTATTTGCCATAATTGATTTGAAAATTTTGAGTTATAATGTTGACTAAATATTGTTATGTTTTTGAATATATAAATACATACAAATAAAACAAATATTTTATTAATTCTGATATAAATTTTTTTTAAAAATACTAAAATTTATTAATTTTACTCTACATTTTTGTTTTGTAATTGCCAATTAATTTAATTTTATAATAACTAGAGTATAACATTGTTGATATTAGCATGCTAATTATGAGACCCAACCAATACTGTTTAATAAATTACATATAAATTATAATAGATAATTAAATAAATATATATATATATATATTTAATGATATCAATACATACGTATTTATCAAGTATGTTAACAATGCCATAAAATCTATTGGATGTTACAGTGGGATAAAATGTGCCAATAATTTCTGTACTTAATTTATTATATGGCCGAATAAAATGAAATTGTTTTAATTTATTTTCATCTAAATGATGCTCATTAAGCAGCATATCTACTCTCTAAATATAATATATATATATATTAATTTTGAAATAATATTTTTTAAAGTAAATTTTTAGTTTTATTCTAAAAATAAAAAAAATTATTTATAAAAATATATTTAACATGCCTTATGTTCGGCATATTTAATTGATAAATCTAATGCATTTAATCCTTTATAATCTTCACAAACATTATTATCCAATGTAATTGGTGTTATACTAGTTTAATATAAATAATAATAATAATAATAACGATTATTTTATTAATACAATAACAATAATTATTAAATAATATATATTATTATATATATATATAATCTTAATTTAATAAATAATAATTTAAAATATAAATAGCTACCCATATTTGCTACGTCTAACTAATTCATAGACTACTTGAAAAAGGTGTCCGCATAGAAATTTTACATCACTGTCAATAAACTATTTAAATAAAATTTAAAAAAATAATAATACTGTATGTGTTATATTAATTTTCATGGGATAATAAATAAATTTATATAAAAATTACAAAAGTTTCCATGGTAAATGTAAAATTGCCTAATTGTTCAAATTGATAATCAAATTGATATGGATGTTGTTCGTTAAATATATTGAAATCACAAAATGTACCAGGTGCTACTTTTTCATACATTTTTAACAAATTAAAAATTAATTAATTAAATTAATCAAAAATTCATAACAAATTCATAACAAATTATTAACTAATAAGTTATTATCAATGAAAATAATACATGTTTAAATATAAATCTAATAAACAACATTTTTCTAAATTATATATTTATGAATTAAATTTAGTATATTAAATAATAACTTTATATAAAATATTATATTGTGCAACTATGTAAATATAATTAAATAAAATATTATATTGATAATAAAATATTATGTTAAAGATAAATATTAATCAATAAAAATTAATTTAATATAATATGATAGGTGTGCTATATAAATATATTTTTACCTATTAATAAATTATGTATAAACTAATTATTTATATAAATTTGTTTATTATTATTATTATTATTGTAAAAATATTGTATATAAATTATACATTACATATTAATATTAAGTATTTTATTTTCAATAATTCAAAAAACAAAAATTAATTATTTTTAACGTAAACTAAAAAATTAATTATAATATTTATGGGTGTAACTAAAACTTATAAAAATATATTAGGTATTATTTGCCTGTAAAATAAATATATTTTAATTTTAAAAAATCCTAATTTTAATTTAATTAACAAATATATAGATTAATAAATTTTACTAATTATTTAATATATTAATAGTATTTTTTTAATGCTATAACATCAGTCCCAAAGTAGCAAAAATTTAATTATATATTGATTTTATTGATGATATTAAATATAAACTTTACTAAAGTACAAAATATACATATAATATAAACTTTGAAATTATCTTATCTTATTAAAGCATAAATAATCATTTCTTTTAATAACATTTATTTTAATGATAAAAACAGTCGCTAACTAAAATTATAATAACTATCTATAGTTACCGTTAAATTTCATATTATATAATTTACAGTAAATTAGGTTGGAAAATATATATTTTTATAGTTTATATATAATTAATTTATCTAAAAATAATAATTTGGGTAAAATTTATAGTCTATATATAGTTATTAAACAGTACTATATTTTAATTATTATAAACAATTTTTAAAAATTAAATTAATAATTAACCAACTATCTTCTTTATAATTTAATATTCAATATTTATRAATATTTAATAATGTTTTACTTATAAATAACAAACAAATTATTAAAAGTAAAATGATWGTCACTTACATGAATTTAACATTTTAAATATAAAATGTCATAAAAAATTTAAACTATTGTACTATAACTTTAAATTTTTGTAAGTTTTATAATATAAAGCAAGTATAGTATTTGATAATTTTTAAATATAAAAGTTTATGCCAACATTTCATCCCATTAAAGTAATTAAATAAATATTACCAATGTATAATATTTAAACAAAAATATATTGCATTATATATATATATAACTAACATAACTTATTTTATACATTATAATTTTTTTTTTATTTTATTAGCTTAACAATAATTTACTGTTTTTTTTTGTTAGTTACAGTTATTTTTTAATAGTTTTTAGTAAAAAATATAAAGAATAGAAATATTTTATTTGTAAAATAATTTAAAATTTAGTTATTTTAAACTTATTTATGTTTATTAAAATTACATAATATATCCCTTAATATTATCAATAATATCAATAAATAAATTTAACTGTATTTTTTAATTTAATATATTGTAGTAATTTTAAATAAATAATTATCAAAAATTTGTTTTTTTACATATAGTTATCATATGGAGACTATTATTAATTAAAGCAAAATCTATAATAATTTTATTGAATCATTTGATCATTTGATCAATAAGTTTGGAAAAATCCGGTTTTGTTTATATATGATATATTTGTAGTAAAAACCTCTGTTTCAAACAAATTGATGAAAAATTGCAAAATATATATATATATATATATATATTATGATTAAAATTATTGGTCGACTCATTGAACAAATAGTATCATACGATACGGCATAGAGATTGTAATTATTATATACTTTTTTTTTTTTTTTAAAAATAGTAATATTTTATTCAAAATAGAAATTTTATATTTAATACATGGGGTAACAAATGATGATTAAAATTTTTAGATATACACCGTTATATGGAGGAATGACTCTTCTCCATTCATTTAAATAATAATTTTTTAGGAAAAGAGGAAAAGATTTTTCCTCAGTTTCCTCTTTGAGTAGAATATTAGAGTTTTATAAAAACAATATGGTAAAAATTTTAGATATAATAAAATAATTTTGTAAAAGGAAGAATAAAAGAAATGATAAAAACTGTGAATTAAAATAATAAAAGAAAAATCTTTGGTAATTTAAGATGAGGTAAACAACAAAATAAAATAATCTAATATTGAAATAACATATTTATCGACTATAAGGCAGTATTTATGGGATCGTCATCCGGTATTTATTGCAATTTGGATATGTTTTCGATGAGATCAGTATTTATTGACGACTCCCAGACGTTTCCTCTTCTCTCTTTCATTGAAGATTTCTTTTAGTTCCTCAAAGCGTATTTTGTATTCCTCTTTCTTCTCCTCTGAAAGGGTCTGTTTCTTCCAGCTTGAGGACTTGTTGTATGGTCCTCCGTTCCAGTCCTCTCCTCTGTGGAATTGGTTCCAGTGTCTGCCAAAGTTTTTGGTGTTTTTGTCGAAAAACGTACACTTGCGGGGAGTCATATCCTCGTCCAATATTTTTCCTCTGCAGCGTGCAGATTCCCCTTTCATTAGTATATCCTCCATTTTCTCTGTATTTCCTTTTTCTTTAACCTCAGGCAAGATGTCCTCCGCGTTATCTTTGATATCTCTATGGTTCTGGTCCCTCATTTAAATATCCCTTTCCTCAATGACTCTATTATCATATAGTATTTTCTTAAGGTCTGTGACGTTCTTCAAGTCCTTATCCATTTCCTCAATGTGTTCTTTCATTAAATCATACGTCTTTGTGAAGTGTGTGATTATGTCATCATATTTCTTCAGGAGTTGGTAGATGTAAGCCGGGTTTGCCTTGTTATTTACCAGAACATTGTAGGGTACCGGTCCTCTTATGTCAGGTGAGTTATTTTCCTCAAATAATTTTGGGTTGTCTTTGCTAACCATTTGTCTCGCGGTGTTGGGCTGTGAGTAGATTCCATATGTCTTCGTGTTTTGATTATTGTCTTCCAATTGTTGGTACATTTTAGTCGGAGTTTGTTCATTGATTCCCAACCATATCTCCCTTGTGTTGACATTATAGTCGTTGAATGCTTTCGCCTCACGAGCCGTGCGATCGAATGATTCCAAGTACTCACTAAATGATGGACTGTTTGTTGTGCATTTCCTCATCCCTGCTGTCCATATGGGAACTGGTCTCCGATTGATCTCCATTGCGGCCATTACCTCATTTTGATTACTTGTTATCTCTGTGGTGCTGATCGCTCCGATGCTTCTTGTAGTCCTCTTCATTGGTGGCGGTATTGCACTACTAGAGCTTTTTGCTCTTTTTGGACCCATTGTGATCACAATTTGGACACTTTAGTGATTAGTTGAATACTATTTAAGACAATTATGGCGACACAACAATGACAGTATTGAGTTTAGTTATTGTTGCTTAAGTGTTATCGTAATGTAATCATTACATGAGTTGGCGCCTAAATATTAGTGTAGTTAATTATAGTAGAGTGTAATGGCTTACATAAATGTTTACTAATTATTTGATCTAATAGTTGCGTACTTTATGTTTATTGGTATTTAATTTTTTGACACTTTTGACAATTGTTGCACAAATTATTATTACATTCATAGCACTTATTGAGGTGTTTTACAATTATGCACCTTTTACTCACAAATCCACACTTTGCCTCAACAACATTACAGTTTGTTTTATTACAATTAATACACTTATTATTATCATTAATTTTGTTGTTGTCCATACTGGCAGTATTACGTGACTGATGAGTTTAAATCTCATGATTTTTCCTAAAAATTGTCTATTTCTTAGGTAAGAGGGGTAGTTGCTGGGGGGTATGACATAACTCTTAATTTTTGAATATTACTATTATCTGCAGTGGTAAGCAGATACTACGTTGCTGTCCGTTAAGTAAACAATCAGTTTTCGTTTTTAAATAATTTCATTTTCAATATCAATATCATTTTACAGATCATTGACTTCAGTGAGTCTGTCTATGAATTTCGTGATATTTTCGAAATATTTTCCTATAATTTCATTTTTTTCGATTATTTTGTTGAATTCCATTATTTCTAGTCCCATTGGTAACAATAGAGTGAGCATTTCCTCTCTTATATCCGAGAATTTATCGCAATAGCTTAGTATATGTTCAATGCTTTGTTCTTCTAGTATATTACAAGGACAGGATCTTCCTCTGGTAATTCTGAATCTATTAAAATATTGGAATGTCCTGGCGTGTCCAGTTAACATTTGAGTAATCTGGAAGGTTTTATATTTAGTCATTACTTTTTTATGCTTGATTAACATCATTATATTTGGAATAAACATTCTCGTAAGTTTTCCTGTAATAGATGAGATATATCTTTGGTTCCATTCCTTTATTGTGGTTCTCCTCAATAGATTTTTTGCGTAGTTTAGCGGTAACTTTGTGTCTAATCTTTGAATATTTTCAGTCTCCGCTTCCTCTAGTGTGAATTCTTTGATTGATGTTAGTTCTCTTTGATGATATGTGTTATCGAGTAGTTTTATTTGAATTTTTAATTTTTTATTCAGCGAGACCTCATGTATATTGAAAACCAATGGATTAGTCGAGTTTCTTTGGTATATAGCATTCTTAATCGCTTTATTCGTTGTATTGATTTGTACTCTTCTATTCATTTCAGCTTTGATGTCATTAATTGCCTCATATATTATTAGAAGTTCAGATTGGAATATACTAATCCCCTCCTTAAATTTGAATTTTCTGCCATTACCTATTAGGTTGTTGTTGATATATGCTCCTCTTGTCTCTATTCCTTTAATTTTTGTGACATATATATAGATAATATTTATGTTTATATTGTTATCATTAGAGTGTATGTAATCTGTAAATCTCCATTTTGATTATTATATACTATTAATAATTTATAGTTATTTATTAGTAGTCTCTCTTTACTCACTTTAATCTATTAAAAACTATTTGTTTAAAACATTTTTTTCCATTTTAACTGTACATTGATTTCAGCCCTCATTCTTACTTAACTGCAATGCACTTACAATTTAAAATTGTTATCAAATAATTTATTTAAAATAAAAACCAATAAAAAAAATATTGATATCAAACTTATTGATTAAAAGAAAATTATTGATAAAACCTATTGATACTTTATCATCATACAATTTTTATGTTTTTTTTAATTATGATCATAAAAATTTTAATAACAGAGAGTAAACAAAAAACCTTGAAATGATTTTAATTTTTATTGATAGATGAAGTGTCAGTCAATATGTTTGTACTGTATTTGTATTATATATATCCTATTATTAATTTCATTCACAAAATATATTTATTTTTTTTATAATTAAATCAGATATAAACTTCTTATCAGATATTTCTTTAAAAAAAACAATTTTACTATAGTTAGGGTTCGGGTAAGTTCTGTCCATTGTTTTATTTTCCAAAAGTTCCCTATTTTCCCTGTTGTCTGGGAATTCCTTGGAAATCTATTTCCTTGTGATACACAACCTATTGAACTCTAAACAACAAATTTTAATATTTTGATTTAAATAACAAATGTTGTATTAAACTGTCAAATAATGTTACTAAAAATTTATTGTGAATTCAAATTGATTTTTAAATATTTCAATGAAATTTTATGCAAAATTTTTCACTCTTTTTTTGGTAGTATTAATTTTAAAAATATAAAAAATATTWTTTTTTTTAATGATRAAGGCAGGGAAAATAAAATATCTTTCTTATTTTCCGGTAAAATTGGAGAAATATTATTGGGAAACTTCCCTCCCTTTTTAAACGTTGCCAGATCCCAATCTATAGTACAGTACTAAAGCAAATAAAAAACATAAATTATAATCAAATTAAACAAATCAAAACTAAAGTGGACTTTTAGAAGAAAACATTTACAATGTATTGGTTTATATATATGTTTTTATTGCACAATATTTGTCTTAAAAATTGTTTTTTCCGTTTATTTCAAACACATCCCTTAAAAGGCGGGATCCCTTTTAATCATAGATTAATCTATTGTATAAAAATAGTGTACAAAAAAAGTTTTTAGTTATATATTTTAGTTATACTTTTAATTGATATAAAGTGTTAATTACTTATTAAAAAACTTTTAACTTATAATTATTAATTATTATTATTATGAGACTCGACGCCGAACTAAATGCACTTTTGCCGGCCGATGAAGAGCTCAAATCAATTGCCGGCAGCAATGGTGGTCTACCGGCAGCACCGGCAGCCGAGTTGACAGCACTGCCCAATAATGTCAAGTTCCGATTGGATGCSGCGGCCGCTGCTGCTTCGTCAAGTAGTGCCGGTAGTTCATCGTCGTCCGCCCAATATCTACATCACGGACCCGTCAAGTTGCCCATCAAAGTGACTAATATAGCCACACAACACCAATTGGTCGATACATTGTATAATAAATCAAAGGTTTGTCTATAAATAAKTTTTATGTCCAAACAATAATAATAATAATTATTTAAACTAAATTAAATAAATAAATATATTTATCATAWATAARGATTGTTTCAGATGAGTAATAAATTATTAATAATGATAATAATTATAATATATAACTCATAATMAATAATTTTTATTAAAATAATTATTACATTTATTATTACACGATTTATGTGTGATTAATCAAAATATTTAAAATTACATTAATTAATTTATTATTTAATTAATATTTAATAATTAATAAAAATTAAATATTTATTAAAATATTTTTTATCCTGATGTTTAATTAAAAAACAAAATAATTAGTCGATTTCATGCACCAATCATGCCTGTCTCGGCTCAATTATGTCACAGCCCGTACCGGCACATATAGTCAACAATAGAAACAATGAGGAGATACTGGATCAGGCCGTCGAGTTTCTTGAACAATATTTTATATATTTAAAAAAGTAATGTATTATTATATTATATATATATATAAAAAATAATTTATAATAAAACAATTTTATTGTTGTTAATATCTATTAGGCTAAGTTCATCTGATCTGGCTCAACGATTGGCCGAAATAGCTACCGAAGTGGAGCGCACCGGTACCTATACAATGACCACCGATGAACTACATTTTGGTGCCAAAACGGCCTGGCGCAATGCATCCAGGTGCATCGGACGTATCCAATGGCATAAACTTCAACTCAACGATGCCCGACACGTACGGACCACTCAGGAAATGTTTGACGCCCTTTGTAAGCACATCCAGTTGGCCACCAATGATGGCAATCTAAGGTAATGTATTGAAAATAATCATATTTTAAAAATTAAAAAATAAATAATAATTTATATATAATATTTGTATTCAAAAAAAAAACTGAGAAAAATATTAGTTATATGAGCTCTAGTGTTGGCTAATTATTAATTACATTAATARACAAATCTAATTAACCCTAATTTTTTGAATTTAATAATATTACTTTTATAAAAAAAATTGTTATTATTGCTAAATTGCACACAATAATCATTATCAGCATACTATTGAACACATGTTAACTGTACTGTATATTTCTAACATTTAATCAAAACAAAAAAATATATATATACTGTAAATAAACTAAACTAAACTAAATTATACATTTTATATCAGTAATAAAAACTAATAATAATAAATAAATAAATTGTTTATTTAGATCATTCATAACTGTATTTCCGCAACGAATTCCCGGTAGAGATGACTACAGGGTCTGGAACTCTCAACTAATCAGTTATGCAGGTATTTATAGACTATTTATCTAAACAGACTGTTATATGACTGTCCACAAAATATGACTGTGCTTTTAAATTATTTGTTTTTTTTCCAATATATTTACTTAACTTTATTTAAAACTGAATAACTTGAATATAACTAAATCTAAAGGTTACATACAACCTGATGGCACTATCATTGGTGACCCGGGGAGGGCAGAGTTCACACGAGTACATAAAAATTTATTATAATTATATATAATTTTTTTCACACATTTTATACTACTTTATATATCTATATTTATAATTATATAAACAAATAAAAAATAATTAAAATAAAATATTTTTTTTTATATAAAGATATGCCAGCGATTAGGTTGGAAAGGAAATAATGGCCGATTCGATGTATTACCTATAGTGTTGTCAGCGCCGGGAGAAGGTGTCCGATTTTACGAAATACCGGACGATATAGTTTTGAGAGTCAAAATCAAACATCCAATGTATGAATGGTTTGAAGATAAGCTCAAACTTGAATGGTATGCTTTGCCGGCCGTTTCGGAGATGATGTTTGATTGCGGCGGACTTCAGTATACGGGCTGTCCGTTCAACGGATGGTATATGGGAACGGAAATCGGTGCCCGAGATTTCTGTGACGTTCAACGTTATAATCTATCAGAGGTTTGTTTTTTGAAGACAAACAAAAAAAWTAGTTATTATTATTATTATAATATTTTTTATACAGAAAATTGCAACACTGATGGGTTTGGACACATCAAACGTGTCGACACTATGGAAAGATAGGGCACTGGTCGAAATGAATGTAGCAGTTTTGCACAGTTATCAGAAAATGGGTGTCACTATTGTCGACCATCACTCGGCCAGCGATCAGTTTATCAAACACATGAACTCCGAATATAAGCAAAGAGGCGGCTGTCCGGCTGATTGGGTATGGATTGTACCGCCAATCAGTGCCAGTGTTACCCCAGTGTTTCATCAGGAAATGATTAACTATACACTGAGACCCAGTTTTGAATATCAAGTACAGTATATTAATATTTATAAATGTTTTTTTATCATTATAATTATAAAACTATTTATTAAAATTAAAAAATAATTAAATTAGGAAATATTGATAATTTAATAATGTATTWTAYTTATTRAGATTATGTTAGATATAACTTAAATAGACTTAAATAATAATAATAATAATAAAGTATATAAAAATAGATAAAGTTATATAATATTTATAATTACAATAATTATTTGCTAATAAATACATAACTTATTAATACTATTGTTATAAACAATAATGTTTTATTAGGAMAAAGCGTGGAAAACACATAAATGGATGACTTCAGTAATAAAATTGAAATATAAATTTGCATCAATTGCCAAGTATTTATTAAAATTAATTTTTATTTTTWAAAACTAAATAATAGTTAATTAATTGATAATTTTAATCATTAACAACAACAACAACAACAAMYAATATAAAAATAGGGGCACTCTATGGACAGTTAGATTGATGAGCAAAATACTRTCGACACGAATCAAAGTGACAATACTTTATGCAACAGAAACGGGAAAATCGGAAACATTTGCACATAAATTGGCAAAACTAATGCAAACATCGTTTTGTGTCAAACGGGTTGTCTGTATGGATGAGTACTTATTTGATGATCTGTTTGCCGAAACACTTGTCCTAATAGTGACCTCAACTTTTGGTAATGGAGACGCACCCGATAATGGAAAGGTATGATGATTTTTATCATAAATATATATATATATATATAWATATAATATTATAATTAATTTATATTAAAAATTATTTTCTACAATAAAAAAACAGGACTTTTGGAAACAGTTAAGTAAATTATCGCAAACTACTGGTGCCTCAGATATGCTCAAACACCTAAGCTATAGTGTGTTTGCATTGGGATCGACACAATATCCYAGTTTTTGTRCATTTGGCAAAAACTTGGATAAAACACTCAAGTGTTTGGGCGCCACATCTGTACTACCAATCGGTTTGGGAGAYGACATGCGGGGTCAGGACAAGACATTCAAAAATTGGTGCCACGATTGCTATAGTCAGGCCTGTCAAKCATTTGACATCAATATTGCTGACACTGACCTTACTTTGAGCTCATTTGACACTAACGACAATGTCTACGATCACCAAAAGGTGAGAATTGCCGAAATGTTGGCCACCAATGACACCACTACCGAGAATCACAACGTGCACAATGAGTTGGCACGACTGCATCGCAAACGTATCATTTCGTGTAAAATAATTACAAGAGTCCGACTACAAGCAAAACAATCTGAACGGCAGACACTATTGGTTAGRCTCACACCATCTAACCCGATGGCCAAAAGTCAACTCAACTACAAACCAGGGGATCATTTGGCAATATTTCCGTGCAATCCAAAAGAGCCGGTAAAYGCACTGTTGGGTCATCTGAGTCGCAGCGGCTACACTGATCCCGATGCCGGCATCCAACTGCAGCGTCTGGTCGATGGCAAATGGCTGGCCGATACCCGATTGCCTCAGTGTCTGACACTGCGATCGGCACTAACACAGTATTTGGACATTAGTTCGCCGCCCAATCAAAAGTTCTTGAGCTATTTGGTCGATATGGCTAACGATAATTGGGATTCATTTAGACTAAACAAATTGGCAAATGTATGTCAAAAAATATGATGACTTATATAATTGCATATTTAACTGATTATTATTWTTTTTTAAAAATAGGACATTGATGACTACCAAAAATGGTATACACATAACTGTCCGACACTGGCCGACGTACTCAACGAGTTTCCATCGATACACGTCGATCCCGAGTTTCTATTGACCGAACTGCCTCTTCTCCAGCCCCGRTACTACTCGATTAGTAGTTCACAAAAGTCGACTCCCGATGAAGTTCATCTGACAATGGATGTCGTATCGTATCATATCTATGGTTAGACTTTCTTTTTTTTTAAAAAAAAGTTTTAAAGAAATTATAATAAATATTAAATGATAATTATTATAACTATTAGATGGAATGGGACCAAAACGGTTGGGCGTTTGCAGCAATTATATCGACAAATTCCCGGAGACAGACATTGCCTGCTTTTTGCGAAGCGCGCCGTCGTTTAGATTACCCGAAAACAAGAGCCTACCAGTGATAATGATAGGCGCCGGTAGCGGAATAGCACCGTACAGGAGCTTCTGGATCGATCGACAGGCAGACCTACAAAATGGTGAATCGTGTGGCAAAATGCTACTGTTTTTCGGTTGTCGTAGTTCTCAGTTTGACAATATTTACGACTCGGACCTAAAGATTTTGTTGAGAAAAGGCGTTCTCCACGATCTGTTTGTTGCCTACTCTCGGGAAAAAACACAGAAAAAGGTATGTCCACTATCTATACATACACCCACTCACCCATACAATTGAAAATAAATTATTAATGTGTTTTTTAAACAAAAATGAAACCCATTCAGCACTACATCCAGGATCTGGTGTTCAAACAGAGAGCAATGATCTATTGGTTGATAACCAATGAAAATGCACACATCTATGTGTGCGGYCACTCACCGATGGCCGACGGCGTCAAAAAGTGTTTTGTTAAAGTGTTTGAAAGTGAGGCCAATATCGGCGAAACTGATGCCCAACAACAGCTATCGATGCTCATCAATGAGGGCCGATATCATGAAGATGTCTTTGGCTTAACTCATACATAAGTTTATGTAAATTTTTTAATTTGTTTATCATTTATTTAAAAATAATTAAGTCTTCAAAAATTATTTTTTGATAAATAAATTTACAAATTTATTGTTTGTTATATTTTATTATATTATGTAACTTTTTAGTTACTCTCCTTATAATACAATTATTGTAATTTTTAATTTATTTTATTACTTTTTTTTATTACAATCAATAATTGTAAATTATYTTTAMTGATTTATTTAATAATATTATTACAATAAAAAAAATAAAAAATAAGTAGTATTTATAGTACTAAATAGTTACTTAAACAAAATAAATACTGTATTTTATATAATAAATATAAAATATTTATTGAAAATATTTTTTTAATTATATAATGTTTATAATACAAAATATATACTGTATTTTATACAATAATTAAGAAAAAAATAAAAAAATAACTTAGCGGTAAATATCTATTAAACTATTTTACAGAATATTCCTCATAAAATAAATTAATATTTTAAGTAATAATTTTTATTATCAGAAATAATTACTTGAATTAATTAAAATAAAAAATATTTTGTTATAATTTTAACAATTAGTTTTTGATTTGGTTACTAAATAAATATGTTTTTTTTTACTTTATTTACCTGTAATTTAAGTCAATTAAATTGTTAATTATATTAACTTTTATTTTGTTAATTGTTTTGATAACATAACTGCTTTTGCCATCTATTGATTGAAAAGTTAAATTACGTTTAAAAATCACTTATGCAATACAGTTAGAGTTCGAACAAAATTTTCAATAAGGGAAGTTCCATACWAAAAAATCCCTATTATTTTTCCGGAAAATACGGTAATATATATTTTATTATCCCTCACTTGTTAGAACCAGGATAATATATTTTATAGTAATTAATTATATTATATTGCTTCTAAGTAAAAAAGTAAAAGTACTAAAACAAATTTAAATACTGTATATTAAATAAAATATAATATAGAAATATTTAAAAAATATATATTTCTTGATACACTATCTATCAATATATCTTTTAAAAAAATTAATTAAATATTTGTTTTTTTTAAAAAAAACATTATACTAAAATGTAGAGWTTAATTAAAATTTAATACATCTATTTCYATCTATTTAATACCATTGAATAATTTAATTATTAAATGKTATTAAATGGTATTAAATAGATTCCCTGGGAATATCCTTACAGATAGCTCAGGGAATATATAATAAAATTATGAGATTATAACATACGAGGGATAGAATGTGTTCCAACCCTAACAATACAGTAGTAGTTGTTGTTGTTATTGTTATTGTATTTAATTAGTTGTTATTTATTATAACCAAAACAAGTGATGACTTCTAATGAATCGGTGATCAATTGGTGGCCATTATTGCGATGATGACGACGACATCAAACAATACAAAAAACAATTACAAAACAAATGGATCCACAGTTAAGACTATTGGCCGACAATGTGTTGGCAATTATCGGCCAAGAAGTGAATCATTTACTAGAAAGCGAAGACCGGGTGTTGAGATCGTTGGTCAACAACTATCTGATCCAAGTGTTGGCAATGCTTACGATCGACACATATCTGTCAGCCATACAACTGTCCWCTGGTTTATTGTCKGCGGTAATTGTCCTCTGGTTTGCCTCATATATCAATTACTATTACTTTTCGCCGCTACTGTCACTTGTCATCGATGACCTATTGGACAGATTTACGGCCGTTTTTATTGTGGTTGATATGGATGACCACTACCGACARTATAGTATTCAAATAATCAATTATACGGCACTTACGGTCACATTTGTCCTAAATTTGATGACACTTTATGCCATTAAAATCAATGTCCGATATCTATGGACAACCAGTGATCCATTGAATACCATTGATGTCTATATATTACTCTTTTGGATCATTAAATACAAGTAATACTAACCCAACAAACAGTTTATTCAACAAAATTAATTAAATTATATATATTTTTTTAGTTTCATATATTATTAATTAAATTTTTTTCTAAAAACTTGATATAAATATACAATATTTTTGTTGTTAATATCACTACTATTATTATTATTATCAGAAAAAAAAATTATTATTATTATTACTTGTACTTTAATTTCTTTATAACTTATCATATTTTTTTCAGTCATTACAGTAATTTTGATTTGATATGATTTAATCAATTAATTACCTCATTATTTGTTTAAAAAAAAGTCATACTGTATATAGTTTTTTACCGTTATATAGATTATTACTACCGGTAATCAATATGTAGTAATAAATATACGTTTAATATGAATAACTATAACTTTTATTCAACAAATATAATATAATAAATCCGATTAGTTTTGTTAAACTTTTACAATAGAAATCTATTGATTGACAACAATTGTGTCCAAAATATAAAAAAAACAATTAATTACATGTACATGATTTTACTGTATAATTATTAGACAATTGATATTATAACATATGAGTAAATATATATATAGGTATCGGTATATAAACTAAGAAAAAGTAAGGTATTTAATATACAATTTGATTATCATTGTCTTTGGCCTTAATTTAACAAAAAGTAGTCATTTTTTCGAAAATTAATTGATTTTATTAATAATTATTTTAAATAAATAAATATATTATTTGTTAATGAATATATAATTGACTAAATGTGATAATAATAACTGTTATAATGACTATTTCATAAATTTACTATAATTGAATTAATATAATAATTTTTTAAATAAATTTAATAATTATTTTTTATGACATTTTAGATGATAAAATTAAATAGTTTTGTATTGCAAATGTTTATTAAATTATTTAAATAAAATATATTTTTTAAATTAATGACAATTTTTTATAATTTAAATTAAGCTATTTTTAGCGTTTATATTAAATCTAAAACTAATTGTAGTTTTACTGTATTAGTTTTATGATATTGTTTTTCCAGTTAACTAATTTTATTATTACATTAATTAATTAATTAATAAAAATAGCTTATCTGTGATAACTAAATAAAAGTTAAGCAATTATCATTTATCATAATATACTGTAATCAATATAATTATACCGACTATTTTTATTACTAACTGTTGTGTAGTACTGTACCTAATACTAGATATTATGTAAAATAATTTAATTTAACTGTTTGTTAACTATTTTTTAAATAATAATAATTTGTATAACTATCAATAATTAATAAACTTAATTCAATGGTATTTTAAATTTAATATTTTATTAAAAATAATTGAGTATATTATTAATTTTTATAACTAAAATATTTAATAAGGTATTTTAAAAAGTTTTAAACAAATTAAAAAAGTCATTAAACTAAGAAATAAAAAAGTTTTTTATTTTAATTAGTTAATTAAAACATTAATTAATTTGTATTATTGTTATTCTAATTATTTATTTATTGATTAAATTGTTATTATGATAGATATATGTAAAATTATTTTTTAAAATTTTGGGCACTTTATATTTAATTTTTGTTGCATTAAACATGTGATAAACAGGTGATTGTTATCAAATGACAATTTATTAACCCATAATTTAGTTTACAACATATATTTAATTAATTAACAGTTAAACCAATTAAATGATTTTTTATGATATTAATCTAATCTCATTCAATAGTAAGTTATCTAATTTATTAATTTAGATTATATTAAATGAATCTTATCTTAATATTTATGGACACTTAATAAATTTTATGACATATATAATCAATAAACAATGAAAAATAATCCCAATTTTTTTTATATGACTATATTGTTTGTCCATCAAATAATTCCGATCTTTTTTTATTGAATTACAATCTTATCAGTTGATTAAAAAATGTGTAACAAAATTTTTAGCTAAAAAATTACTTTATAAACTAGACGTCTAGTCCTTCAATACATCATTAAAGTAATTGTTTTCAACAATAAAATTAACTAATTGACAGACAATTTTTGTTTGCTTTTTTATAATTTTTATTTTATTTTTTTTGGTGAAACTTAATGGAAAGTGCGGAACTCATAACTAAACCCTCGCCCTGGGATAGTATCAGTATATTTTCAAAGGTTACATTCAGGTAAATATTATTATTATTATTTTGAATAATGATTTTTTAAATTTTATGATTTTAATTTAAAATAATTATTAATTTTTACATTACAACTGTATTACTATACACTTAGTTAAAAGTACACATTTGCTAATTAATTTTTATTGATAATAAAAAAGTCTATAAACCTATTTTTATATTTACTACAAGTACAGTAAATAAATTTATTATTTTATAATTAAAGACTGTTTGAAAAGATAATTAAATATAATATATAAAATAAACTATAATTATTAATGAAATATATTAATTTATTTATTTTTATAAAATTATTATTATTATTATTATTAGTTGGGTTTGGAGTATCTTTGTTAAGGGACACAAAAAAGATCTCGACTTTGATGACCTATACAAGTGTTCAAAGACAGACACCACTGATAGAGTYTGTCATAAACTTGAAAAGTTAGTATAAAATTTGTTTTTTAATAAAAAATTATTATTGATTTTTTGTTAATTTTATTTATTGTTTTTTTTAWAAAAAATAAATATATTATAATTCAGACAATGGCTAAAACAATTGAAAAATAAGAAATCAAAACCTAGTCTTTTATGGGCATTGTTTTGGGGTTTTTCGTTTGAATTCATACCATGGATAACACTGTTTATAATTCAGGTATAATTTTTATTGTTTTATTTTTATTTTTAATTACTTAAAATATAATTAATTTAACAAAAAAAAATTATGTATACAATACAGGAAGTGGGTATACGTGTAGCACAACCCGTATTACTCGGTTATGTCGTCCGATATTTCCAAAAGAAACAACACATAACCTTTGAAGCCGCCGCCTGGTCTGCTGCGGGTGTAGTCCTATGTTCGGCCGGTTGTGTTTCATTAAATCATTTGAATTTTACACATCTAATGAAAACAGGTATGCGAATGAGAGTGGCTGCCTGTGCGCTCATGTATAAAAAGGTATTATACAACTTTGTTTTACTAGTAGTTTAGCTATCAATTAATAACAAAAWTTTTTTTTACTATTACTTATAGTCTATGAAATTGAATCGGTCAGCATTGGGTAAGACAACAGTCGGCCAAATATTGAATATGATGTCCAACGATGTCAATAGATTTGATGAGGTTTTTATCAAAAATAACTTTTATTAGTTTTGTTTAATTATTTTTTTCAAAAAAATAAATACAATAAAATTAATACATGTTTTATGGTAATCGTAAAATATAGTTTGCATTTTCTATACACTCGATATTTGTGGCACCCCTTCAATCGGTAGTCATTATGTTTCTATTGTGGGAGCACTTGGAGTGGGCGTGTTTCGCTGGTCTGGCCGTTATTATCTTATTCATACCGTTTCAGGGACTTATGGGCCGACTATTTCAAAGTGTCCGACGAAAGACAGCCATATTGACTGACACACGCATACGTATTATGAATGAAATAATATCGGGAATGAGAGTCATTAAGATGTATACCTGGGAAAAACCGTTTCAGGATTTAGTTGCCAACTCTAGACTGTTAGTAATATATATATTTTAAAAAAAAAAATTATTAAACAACTAAATAACTAATTATTATTATTATTTGTTTGTTTGTTTGCTAACCATTGATCCACTGGCCATCATCATCAGTCAAGAAGTATCAAAAATACGTCAATCAAGTCTATTAAAAGCCATTAATTTGTCCTTTTATTTTGTCGCCTCACGTATTATACTATTTGCTTGTTTCCTAACTTATGTATTAATGGGCAGAAAGTTATCGGCCGAAGCAGTATTCGTTACAATGGCTTTCTTTAATACATTGCGCAACACTTTGACAAAACACTTTCCGCAGGGAATCGCTGCCACCGCTGAACTAATTGTCGCCTGTCATCGGATTCAGGTATACTATCCTACCATTGATTTAAACAATTTAATTTAAATATTATTATTTTGAAGTTATTAACAATTTTTTTAAAAATAATTTTTATTTCTAAATAGGAATTCTTATTACTTGAAGAGATTGATATCAAAGATAAACAAATCAAAGATAAAGAGATGATATCATCTAAAGATATGATTGAATACAATAAGAATAATAGTAATGAAGTTAAAGATGATAAATATGAGACAGAATTGTCGATAGAAAAGGGTGTATTCATTGATAATATGAGTGTCCGTTGGAATGATGTATGAATTGAATGCTTTTGTTTGTCATTAATATTAATACAATTTAATTTAACAAAAAAAAATTAATAACATATTATATGTTAATTATTATTAGCAAATACCTGAACCAACATTAAGTGATATAACTGGTTGTGTTAAACGAGGGGAACTATTAGCTGTCATAGGACCGGTTGGCAGTGGAAAGGTATTTTAAAAAAATAAATAAATTTTTAATTATGATAACTAAAAATTATAGTTTAAACTAATAAATCTTAAATTTATAAATAAAAAATAGAGTTCATTATTGATGGCAATACTCAACGAATTATCAATAATTAACGGATCACTCAAAGTCAATGGCATCGTGTCGTACGCACCCCAGGAGTCGTGGGCTTTCATATCCAGTGTTAGGGATAACATATTGTTTGGATCGGAATATAATGAAACAAAATATAATAAAGTGGTTCACGTCTGTGCATTGGACAGGGATTTCAAACTATTTCCGTTTGGCGACAAAACACTTGTCGGCGAAAGAGGTGTCTCATTGAGTGGCGGCCAAAAAGCTAGAATAACATTAGCCCGATCACTGTATCGGGAGGCAGACATCTATCTATTGGACGACCCATTATCGGCAGTTGACGCACATGTGGCCAAACATTTATTTCAAAAGTAATACTAATAATTGATAAGTGATTGTTGACCACAATTTTGCCTTTTCTTCCCACCCTTTGATCCCTAAAAAACTTGTTTAGATGTGCTGTTGAATATCTGAAAGATAAGGCCCGCATATTAGTTACCCATCAAATACAGTTTCTCAGAGACGCCCATAAGATAATGGTACTAAACGATGGCAAATGTGTGGCATTGGGCTCCTATTCGGAGCTAATTGAATCGGGTATTAATTTTCTATCATATCTGAGCGATAATAAACCGCGCACTGAGACCAATAAAATGTTGGACCAAAACAACTTCTCATTTAGACCGAGAGGTGTATCGTTTTCGCCGTCAATTGCCAGCAGTATTGCCGGTTCGGAAGTAGATCACGAAGAGATCGGTAATATTGTTGCCGAAGATGATGAACCAAAACTGAAAACTGAAACCAAAATGATTGGATCAATTGATTCAAGTATTTATATGGATTATATGAAAGCCGGTGCCGGACCGGTACTTATTATAATAACATTCCTATCGATAATCATATCGCAAGCATTATATCAAGGAAGCGATTTCTGGCTAACTTTATGGTACTGTATATACAATTGATATATATTTTTGTCAATATTTGTCATTAATTTTTATTTATATTTTTTCTTATAAACTAATAGGACTAATGAAGAAGATAACGATGATATTRACGAATCCAATCGCAACTTCAATATAATCATATACTCGGCACTGATAGCCGGTCTGTTTGTGTCGGCACTAATCCGGACGACTTCCTTCTTTGTCATGTGTATGAAGTCGTCAATCACTTTACATAATCGTATATTTTATTCATTATTGAGAGCACCCATACATATATTTGATAGTTCACCAATTGGTATGTATCGATAACACTACATGACTGATATTTTAAGTGTAATTAATCAATAAATTGTATTATTTTTTAATTGTTTATTATAGGTCGCATCTTAAACAGGTTTACCAAAGACACCGGTATTGTGGATGAATTGTTGCCGTCAACTGCTTTTGATTTGCAAATGGTTTGTATTAAAGTTTTAATTATATTAAAATGCATTTACAATAATTGATTTGATAATAACATTATATCAATAATGTATAGACACTGTCACTAGTTATCGGCAATTTGATAGTCAATGCAATAGTCAGTTGGTTTCTGGTATTTCCGGCCATATTTCTATGTATTGTAGTGTTTATGTGTCGCTATTTCTATATCAGATCCGCCAGAGATATCAAACGTTTGGAGGGATTGTGTAAGTGATAGATAAAGACTAAACTAAACCAAAAAAAATATTAACTTTTTATATTTATTTGCATATTATTTGAATTGGTGTTATATATAATAAGCCCGTAGTCCAGTCTATTCACACGTAAACACTACACTGTCTGGTCTGACAACGGTTCGGGCATTCGGTGCTGAATCGATGTTTGAGTCCCAGTTCTGTCGTCACCAGAACGACAATACGGCCACATTCTTCCTGTTTATCTGCACTTCCCGGGCATTCGGTATACTAATGGATATGATTTGTGTCTTCTATATCAGTGCAGTCGTGGCCTTCATAATGGCCTATCCGGATGGTATGCCCGGAGGTAACGCTGGTCTCGCACTTTCGTCAGGTATTTCATTCAACAACAAAAACTGACATTTATTTAATTAATTAATTTTGTTTTGTTGTCCTAACACAGCCCTAACACTGACCGGAATGACTCAATACGGTGTCAAATGTTCGGCAGATCTCGAATCATATATGACAGCCGTTGAACGTATGTTAGAGTATTCGCATATCAAACCCGAAGCCGAACTTAAATCGTCAGCCGATAAGAAACCATCCATTGATTGGCCACAGAGTGGAGAAATTGTTTTCAAAGATATGAGTCTTCAATATAACGAATCGCCGAAACCGGTTCTCAAGAATATTAACGTTAGTTTTAAAGGCGGCGAAAAAATAGGAGTCGTTGGCCGAACTGGAGCCGGAAAGTCATCGGTCATATCGGCACTGTTTCGTATGAATGAACCGACCGGTCAGATACTCATCGACGACATCGATATATTAACTATTGGTTTGCATGACTTGAGGAGAAAGATATCAATTATACCTCAAGAACCAGTACTGTTCACTGGTTCGGTTCGTAAGAATTTGGATCCATTTGACGATCACAACGACGATGAACTGTGGGCAGCATTGGATGAAATACAACTGAAAGAACAGGTAATGCAATTGCCCGGACAGTTGGACGGTGCAGTTACCGAAGGGGGCAGTAATTTCAGTGTTGGTCAAAGACAATTGGTATGTCTGGCCAGAGCTATACTACGGGACAATCGTATCCTAGTCTTAGATGAGGCGACAGCTAATGTCGATCACAGAACCGATGCATTAATTCAACGAACAATTCGCCAAAAGTTTCGTTACTGTACTGTCATTACGATTGCTCACAGACTCAACACAATCATTGATTCCGATAAGATATTGGTATGAATTTCAGAAATCATATATTTTTGTATAATTTTATTAATTACTTATTTATATTGTATATTATATATTGGATGCACAGGTATTGGATGCGGGAGAGGTCAGTGAGTTTGGTATACCTCATAAACTATTGGAATCAAATGATGGTTTGTTCAGCAAACTAGTCAAACAAACGGGAAAACATATGACTATCCGATTAAAACAATTAGCAAAACAACACTATAATCATAAATTTAATAATCAAATCAAAGATAACGATAGTTTACAAGAAAAAGATACCGAAACTGATTGAATGTAATTTAGTATAAAAATTATGTTTAAAAATACAAATATTATTAATATTTATTATATTTATTTAATTTTGATATAATTTATATTTTATTACAAAATCATATATAAATAATGTAAATAATGTTTAAAATAATAAATTCTAAAAAATAATTATAAATAAATAATTTATCATAACTTGTGGACTTAAAAACAAAAATATTTAATAACTTAAAACTAATTTTTGTATAAAAAATAATATTTAAAATTTATTAAAATTTTTAATATCTCAACTATAGATTTATTTTATTTATTAGAAGTAGTATCTGTTTGTTATTATAAAAATTCTTATAATATTTAACGAAAACTAAAAAAAACAAATAAAAAGTTACATCAAATATAAATGTAAAACTAAGATTTATATACAATAATTAATATAGATTATTTAAAAATTACTAAATATTTTTATATTTCTAAGTGTAAAAATAAATTGTTATAAAAATATTATTAAATTTAATTAAAAGCTATAGAAATAGTGGCGTTAGTTTTAATCGGTTTTCTGTGTTTACTATTGAACCAAATGTTTTTAAAAAATATTAAAAATTATTATAACATTAATCAAATTACATTTTTATTTCCGGCAAAAAATTAATAATTATGCAAAAAATATATTTTTAGTAATCAATAGTTACAGAAAAAATTGATTTATTTTAAATATATAACGAAAGTATCAGATTATAGAAAATTATTTTTAGTAACATTTATAAATTATATATTACAATAAATTAAATTTTATAAATATTATATCTAAATATTTATATTAAAATATGCATATGGCACAAACATTTTTCTATACAATTATATTACTGTCTTATATATAAGACATTATTAATTGAATTGTATTAATAAAATATACTTTAAAGTTATAAAATAATGAAACAAAAATAATGAAAACGTTTATTGTCTTGTTTACAATGATTGTCATCATTGGTTTTTGTAAGATTATTAAAAAAAAAATTATTAAAATATATATATATTATATTATATAAATAATAAAAATATGTCTAATTATTGAAAACTTATAGTATCAAACATAACTCTAATTGAATATTCAAATATATATATAAAAATAACATATTTATAATAATTTTAATATATATAATATATATATATAAAATATAAAATTACTTCTTTAAATTAAATTTTATTGTTTTGTTTAAACATTAATTTTAGAAACATTGATGGAAAGCTTCATTACACAAATATCCTTCACAACATACATATTCAGAATGTCCACATTCACCCATATGTTTAATGCAGTCTATATTATTAAAAAATATAAAATATAAAAAATGACAGAAAAACAAAAAGAGAATTAAAAAGACAGACAGAAAGAGAGAGAGAGAAAGATGAATAGAATTAAAGAAACAAAGAAAGATAGAGAGAGAGAGAGAGAGAGAGAGAGAGAGAGAGAGAGACATACAGAGAGACAGAATGAGAAAAAGAAATTACAAATAAATAGACTTTATTGCTATAAGTATTATATTTGTAAGTTTTATCTCATTGTATTATTCTCTAACTCTCTCTCTCTCTCTTTCTCTCTGTCTGTCTGTCTCTGTCTCTATCTTTCTATCTATCTATCTATCTATCTATCACTATTTATTTAACATACTTATATCAACATGTTTATTTCCATGTTCATCAATGTGTATACGAATTTTGTAATCCTTTGTTTGACCTAAATAAATTGTAAAATAAATAAATTTAAATTTAGCAGAAAATACAACAATATATCTATAAACTCCTTAAATTATATTAATTAAAAAGTAAAAATTACCATTTATCGTATCAGGATCTACATAAGGATGATCGGGATCTAGATATATATTCATTAACATTATTATATTTAAAAATCATTACAATTAAGATAATTATAATTATTAGTAACCAGAGACAATTATCAAATAACATAAAATTTACTCACGATTTTTATTATAGGTAGCAACAAATTCTTCATGAGTATAATCTAGTAGGAAAATCATTATATATTAAAAAAAATATTGTTAAATTTAATATTTTTATTATTAAGAACTATATTTTTGAAAAAATTATGAATTTACCACGGGGATCTGTATAAAAAGGCTTTATAGTTTGTCCTACAATCAACAATTATAAATTAAAAATTAATTAATTATTAGTTCAATATTTTCTTAATAGTATTATATAATTAAAAATACAGAAAAGTGAGAAAACGTGTTACCGAGTGAAATAGCGAAAGAGAGAGAGAGAGAGAGAGAGAGAGAGATAAATGAATTTTGATAGAAATAAAATATAAATAAATAATTTTCTAAACTTCATACCATATAGATATGATTTTTCAGGTTTAGTATTATCATTATCTGCTACACTAGCTGTCTCTATAAATAAATCATTAATTATTATATTACTTTTATAAATTAATTATAATTATTATTTAATACAATACTTTATTTACAAATTCAATCTCAATACTAATTTAATAAAAAATAATAAAGTTACCTTGTTCATTAGCAGAATTATCATTATTATTGGCAACTAGTAGTATTTCGGAGAGATAAAAACAAATTATATTTATTAATAACATTATTTACATTATTACCTTGTTGATCTGGAGTTTCATTTTCATTAGTAAACACTTTTTCTATTTCTATTAAGAAAATATTAATCAAAAGTATCATTATTAAGAAAGTTGAAAATATTTTTATCATCATGATATTAAAGAATGAAATAAACAAATATTAATTTGTTTTTTGTTTGATAATTTAAATTTACACAACTACTACTTTGTCTATTTAATAATTTTAAAAACATAAATCTTAAATTTAAAATATCAAATTAATATAAATACGTATGTTTTCAAAAATATATTATAAATAGCATATAATTTGTATTTTAGTCTAAATATAAAAATAACACATTTGCAAATTTGTAAAAATATTTATTTAGGAAATAAACAAATTTTAAAATAGCGATTTTTTTTATAAATATAGAATATTACAATTTGTTTATAAAATAATTAAATTATAATTGAACAAGATTAATATTTGAATAATCCTATAAAACTATTATTTTTGTCATTAATATAAATAAATTTTTAAAATATTATTTAATATATTAAAAATCTTATTTAAAAAAATAATAAAATAAAATCTTTGACATCGGATTCAGATCTGATACCGCATTCAGATCTGCTGACATACATATCTGATATCGCATTTATATATGACTCGCATTCAGATCTGACACCGGAGTCACATCTGACACCTTAGTCACATCTGACACCGAAGTCACATCTGACACCGGAGTCACATCTGACACCGGAGTCACATCTGACACCTTAGTCACATCTGACACCGGAGTCATATCTGACACCTTAGTCACATCTGGCACCTTAATCACATCTGACACCGGAGTCACATCTGACACCGGAGTCACATCTGACACCGGAGTCACATCTGACACCTTAGTCACATCTGACACCGGAGTCACATCTGACACCGGAGTCACATCTGACACCGGAGTCACATCTGACACCGGAGTCACATCTGACACCGGAGTCACATCTGACACCGGAGTCACATCTGACACCGGAGTCACATCTGACACCTTAGTCACATCTGACACCGGAGTCGCATCTGACACCGGAGTCACATCTGACATTGCAGTCATATCTGACACCGGAGTCACATCTGACACCTTAGTCACATCTGACACCGGAGTCACATCTGACACCGGAGTCACATCTGACACCGGAGTCACATGACACCGGAGTCACATCTGACACCGGAGTCACATTTGACACCGGAGTCACATCTGACACCGGAGTCACATCTGACACCTTAGTCACATCTGACACCGGAGTCACATCTGACACCGGAGTCACATCTGACACCTTAGTCACATCTGACACTACAGTCACATCTGACACCGATGTCACATCTGACACCGGAGTCACATCTGACACCGAAGTCACATCTGACACCTTAGTCACATCTGACACCGGAGTCACATCTGACACCGGAGTCACATCTGACACCGGAGTCACATCTAACACCGGAGTCACATCTGACACCTTAGTCACATCTGACACTGGAGTCACATCTGACACCGGAGTCACATCTGACACCTTAGTCACATCTGACACCGGAGTCACATCTGACACCGGAGTCACATCTGACACCGGAGTCGCATCTGACACCGGAGTCACATCTGACATTGCAGTCATATCTGACACTACAGTCACATCTGACACCGGAGTCACATCTGACACCTTAGTCACATCTGACACCTTAGTCACATCTGACACCGGAGTCACATCTGACACCGGAGTCACATCTGACACCGGAGTCACATCTGACACCTTAGTCACATCTGACACCGGAGTCACATCTGACACAGGTTAGGTTAGGTTAGGTTAGGTTAGGTTAGGTTAGGTTAGGTTAGGTTAGGTTAGGTTAGGTTAGGTTAGGTTAGGTTAGGTTAGGTTAGGTTAGGTTAGGTTAGGTTAGGTAGGTTAGGTTAGGTTAGGTTAGGTTAGGTTAGGTTAGGTTAGGTTAGGTTAGGTTAGGTTAGGTTAGGTTAGGTTAGGTTAGGTTAGGTTAGGTTAGGTTAGGTTAGGTTAGGTTAGGTTAGGTTAGGTTAGGTTAGGTTAGGTTAGGTTAGGTTAGGTTAGGTTGAATTGAATTTTTTGAATTTAAAGTGTATTTTATTCATTCTTTAGGAGAGATTATTACATTTATATATAATTATAGCAAAGTATAATTATTAGTAATTAATTATTTAATAATAAAAGTGATGCCTATTTGTTATTGAGGCGTTATATAAAGTAGTATTAATTATAATAGTGATAATATTCATGTATATAAAAACAATATTTAAAAGCGATATTTAAAAGCAGTTTAAAAGCGATATTTAAAATTGTGATATAGTTAAAACATATGATTATCAGTTATAAAAGTATAAAATTACATGATAATTAATTAATAA